GATCTGAACTTGTTTAAATATTTTGATAAACTCTTCATTAGGTTCAACTCTTTTCTTAAGTTTTGGTTCTAATACCTTATGAAAGGGAACTATTTTTCTAAGTTCATCTTGGTGTGATAAAATAAGAATGAGTGGTACTTCTGATTTTTCTTCTTTTGATTCTTATTTTTCTTCATCTAGATTTTCATCGTCAGCAAGTAATCATTATCCTCATCATTCAACACTTCATCATCATGAACTTATTTTTCTAAAAAATCTGGTGCATATGGATCTTTGAGTTACTTATACTCCTCAAAGTGGTCACCACTTTTACATTTTTAAAACCTTGAGATGTAGATGGTTCGTGGTTATTAAAAGGTTGATTTCGTGGGTTCATGATGAGTTTACTAGGAAGATGACCTGTTTCACATTTTGAATGGGCGAAGATTAGTTTACATCTCTTTTTCTATCCTAATGGTTGTTTGCTTGTTTTCTTGCTTAATTTGCTCCATCATCTTCATCATAGAGATATTTGTTTTTTGAAATTGCTGCATCATTTGTCCCATAAACTATTGCATCAAATTTGAATTCATATCAGATTGATTTTGATATGAATTATGATATTGTGGGCTGAAATTGGGGACTGAACTTGAAAAGAATCAGTAAATTTGTGGGCTGGTGGCTGATGAGTACTTTGCTAGAAATTATGAGTATTTTGCTGAAAAGAGGGCTTAACATTATATTGTGGTTGATGAGCATGTCTAAATGCATGATTAGGTCTAAGAAATGATTGACAATTTATAACATGATTTTGAAAATTTGAAATAAGGAGAATTTATAGTATGATTGTAAATTTATAGTATGATTTTTTTTAGGAGGATTTGACTAGTTCCTATGATCATGAAGTGCATGTGCATGCTCTTGATCTAAATTAGGACATTGAGATTTATAATGATCAATCCTACCACATGATGAACATCTAGGATATGAATTTGTTGTGCAGGTTGTGTAGGTTTTTCTTTTTATGTAGCAAATGATCATATAAAATATTTAACTTTTGATGCACCTCACTAACTTCATTTCTAATGTCTAATACATCATGATTTCTAACCTCAAATATTCATCTTTTATTTTTATTATTGATGCGATCATATAAAGCAAAGATTCACGTTCAGCTACATTTTCACTTAAATTTTAATATAACTTATAAATTTCATCCTCATCCTTAGTCATGAATGTGCCTCCACCCAACATCTATAGTGTTTTTGTGCTGTTCATATACACCATCATAAAATACATGATTTAATTGTCATTTGACAATTCCATGATATAGACATCTCCTTTGAAGCTCCTTGAATCTTTTCCAAGATTTATAGAATACTTCTCCTAATTTTTTAGTAAATTAGAAAATAGCTTTCCACATGGCATGAGTCTTGCCAACATGATAGAATTTTCTCAAAATACTTGCTCTACTTCTAACCTTGTGATAATCTCATGTGGTAATGATGTGAGCCAATTTCTAGCTTTATCATGTAATGAATATGAAAAGGGATGTAACCCAAGTGCATCTTGAGGAATATTAAGAATATGAATAAGTTCACATGTAGCTAAAAATTGAAGAATATGTTGATATGGTTTCTTGTTAGCTAACTTACGAAATTCAAGAAACATTTGTAGAGTGCTATGACAAATATCAAAATGAACATTTGACAAAATAGGAGAGCCTAACTTATAAAGTAAGTCTATATAAATTAGGTGTATAATAATCACACATAGGTTTAAAACATTAAGTATTTTCAACATTCTCACTCTCTTGGGCTGGATAATCAATCCTAGGTGTCTCTACTTCTGTAGAAGATGAATTTCTTCTTTTTTCTATTATTAGAGTCTCTAATATGGGTGGTAATTTTCATTTTTCTTGTGCTCCTAAATTTTTAGATTGGTTGGAAGCTGAATTTTCTAAGATTGGTTGCAAGCTGTGTCTACTGTTCATAAATTAGGTTTTTCAAAAATTAAATCTAGCAATGATCATGACATGAATATATAATTCTAATAAATATGTAAAAGAGAAGTATAGAATCAGTACAAAATCTAAAATATTCTCAAGTAAATAAATAGAAACTAAAAATTTAAAATTCTAACTTATGAAATAAATGTAAATAGAAATCAAATGAGCCTAATAAACTTATTTTCATATTTTATTTTTTGAAATACTATTTAAATGAAAATAATAAAATAATTAAATCATTTTTTTAAAAATGACTAAAATATATAAAATAATATCAATTAACACTGATTAAAAACAAATCTCCCTAACAACGGTGCCAAAAAGATGATGTGCACTTGTCATTGTGTTTAAATACACGTTATCTAATAATATTTATAACTAAGACTTAATAAAATATTAGCATAGAAGTAAGTCTCAAGTCAAACATAAGAAGATTAATTAATCCATAGTGAAAACTAATTTAATTTATATATAAAGTGATTTTAATATTTATTAATATTTAATAGAAATAATAAAATAGAAGGATGAGGTGAGAAGAATAAAGGAAGGGAATCATACAAAAGGAAAAAGAAAAAGATAGAGAGAAGAGAGAGCTTTCATGAGATAGAGAAGAGATGAGATCTCTTACGAAAGGGAGAAAAAGAGAGAGGAGGAGAGAAAGCTCTCATGAGGGAGAGAAGGGATGAGATCTCTCGCGAAAGGGAGAAAGAGAGAGAGAAGAGAAGAGAAAGCTCTCACGAAAGAGAGAAGGGATGAGATCTCTCACAAAAGAGAGAGAAAGAGAGAGGAGGAGAGAAATCTCACATGAGATAGAGAGAGAGAAAAGTCTTCAGAAGAGAGAGAGAAGGAGAAAGAGGGAGATTGATCAAGAGAGAGAAAGAGAAGGAGATTGATGGAGAGAGAGGAAGAGAAAGAGAGAGATCTCACGAGAGACAAAGAGAGAAGAGAGGTCTCACGAGACAACAAGAGAGAGAAATAAGACAAAATTGAAGAAAGAGAGAAATATAGTCAACCCATTTTCTTGGATGAATGTGTGCTTGAGGATTCACACACATGACATGAGGTCAACTGTAAATGTCTACTATTTATTTTAATAGTTGAACACTCATTAATCAGCCTTTAATCTCAGTAATTTCATATTAAAAAATAGAAAAATACTCATTATTTATAGAACATCGAGAATATGAATACATCAAGATTCAATTGTAAAAATCAATAAAAAAAAGTTAGAAATGATCTTAGCTTGATCTCAAATAAATTTTGAAGGATTCAAAAGAAGAATGAAGATCATTCACAAAATTTTGAATTAGTTTTACTTATTTCAATCAAAATATGCATGAAATGGAAAGAACTTACTGTAAAATGTAAATAAATGACAAAAGTAACTTAGTAAATACTGAAAGTAGGAAATAAATTATTACCCAAATTTAGTATATCTCTTGAGTAACTAGAGACACTGGTGTGGCGGCTTGGTTTCGTCTGGATGTGTCACACCATGCCAAAAGTCATAAAAGTATTGTTTAGAAGTGATGCATCACTTGCTAGAGAGATCTACCAAAAGAAAGGTCAACCATGTTGTCACCATTGTCTAAGGGGAGAAGTGAAGAGTTAAACACTTTTTGAAGGCCTTGAGTGCAGTCGGGGGAGGAAGGAACGAAACTTGTCAATCACCAAAGATTTCAATCATGTGAAAGGAGAGAAGAATAAATTGCCGTATTTGCAATTGTCATTGGGATTTTAAAGATAATTAATAATATCTATTTTACCAGATAATAATCAATTATTTTCTTTATATCTCTAATAGTGATACGTGTAAGAACTTAAGATCCCAATATCATAGCACTTCAGGAGCCACTAGATTAGATATACTTAGTCACATGGTGTGTTGAGCAACACAAGATCATCAACTCACTACAAATCGCTGCCGATCAGAAACTTAAGTTCCTGGTACCATGACACCTCCTTAGCTGTCGAATCATCCGTTAAGGTTAGTGCATACTAAGCGGCATCAGATTTGCGAATTCTTGATGGATCGCTTTATGCATCTAGCATCGTGGCAGTTCACAAGCCATAGGATCTAGCTGATCTGATGATGTGGCTTGCTGTGTACCACTGGATCACACTACACTCTAGATGACTGTGCTGAAATAGATGAAAAAATTTGGTCCCACATCGAAAATATTTCAAATGCATGTGCTAAATATAAATCAAATTCACACTCTCTCATCAAAGATCTTTTTTCTCGAAATAAAATAATGCCCATGACCATCTTGGGAGAAGACAAAAAGGTGGTCCGCCCTTGAGCGTTCACGTGTGTATGGGCACTCCTTGCCCCACAATCGGTTGGCCACCGGGACATGGAAGGGAAGTGACACACATGTGCGTGGAGCGAGGCCTTTGGGACTTGAGTGCAGCATATGGCTCCCCTAGTCTGGGTCTACCTACTCGACTACAACCCCCCCTCTAGGTCAACTACCAAGTGCTGACTTGCTAGTAGGTAGAAGATATTTTTATATTTTATTCGTTTTATAATAAAAAAAACACAATATTTTAACTTTAGACTTTTAAAATTAATAATATATTCTATATTTATTCTACAAGCTAAGAAAATAAAATCAAATAATAAAACTAATTAAAACACATAAATCTAGTTTTAACACCTAACCTCATCTTGCCACCATTTTGACACATTGTGGCCTCATCTCATCACTACTCTAATGTGACATCACTATGACTTGTCATGACCTCATCTCACTATTGCTTGCCTTGCCACTGCTTCAACTCATTTTTGGCTCTTTCACAACTATCTCCCTCATTTTTTTCGTCCTTCATCTTGGTTTACCCTTGTTTAGTCTCTCTTCATGATATCATGATATTTTTTGATCTAGTAAGTCTCTCTTCATACACTACTTTATAATTATTTGGGACATATTCTTGACATTCAAGATTGCTTGACATTAAGAGTTTTATAATTAGTCAAAGAATTATTAGTTTACAAATACTAAAATTAGCACTAACTCTTCCTACTTCTCAGTGAGCTCCACCACTCTTATATTAGAATTATCTATGAAGAGAGATGAATCAACAATGTATAAATCACATTTACAAATTACTCCTAAAAGTTAACCAAATATAAATTTTCAACTTGCACCACTAGAACACAATTATATATTGGATCATGTGAGAAGATTGAATATATTATGATATTAATGTAAACAATCTCATTATGGATAAAAATTATAAAATCTGGTCTTTTGAAAATAACTTAGTTATGTTATGACTCTTGAATTTAATTGTCACAAATTGCAATAAGTGATTTTACATAAAAAGACTAGTCATAAGATGTGGAGAATATTATAAGTAATGTATGATCAAAGGCAAGATATGAGCTGTTATTATCAATTGAATAATTATATCTGTGATTTAAATGATAAATAATGATAGTTACTCAATATTTTAGTTCATTGAAAAGTATAGTAAATGAATTAGATTCATATGATTCACATGTAACAAATTTAGTTAACATTCAAATAGTGATAGCTGCCTTGAATCACGATTCTTAAACATTAGTAGGTTAAATTCCAAATATAGAACTTATCTCATCCCATGAATAAGTTTTATTATGTAAGGAGAGAACAAAATTAGTTATGGCTAATTCGACTAAGATGATAGAACATAGAATGAAAAAAATACTGAAGAGTTGTCTGCAGTTCACAGTTGGGCAAAGACAACTTACTTTGGAAGCAGAACGTGAACTGATTTCAGTTGGGTTCTTATTGAGCATAGCAAAATCAAGGTTTATGAAAAAGTCCGCTAAGTTTCTATGGTGTTCTAACTTTGTCGGTCCACAGTGGAAGGCTCTGCACCTGAGCCTCTTTAGACTCAGCGGAAGTTTTAGTTAGGTGAAGAGATGAAGTCCATACCTTAATTTAGTGTAGTCTCCACAGCTGTCCGTACCTTTCCCACAGGGACATCCACAATAGATCTTGTGCACTTGACAAGATCTCCTTCTTTAATAGCAATATCACTACCAAAGACAACAATATGTACATTCTCATTCTCAAGATTTAACGTTATTCCTTTCACACCACCGGCAAATTCCACCATTTCCTGTGGACAGTAGCTTGGGAGTGTACTGCCAGGCCTGGATTATAATCTGAGTTGAGAGCTTTGAATTTGTTTGAAACCAGCTCTTCCAAACCTTTGGGTAGACTAAGCAGCATTTTTTTGAGTAGAAGTGGTGGTGTCTAATCATTTCGCTTAGTCATCAAGTCATAAGGCTTCTCTCTTTCCATCAATCCCAATTAGTGCTACTGTTAAAAAATAAAAATGTTGAAAGAAAAAAAAAGTGAAACAGAAAAAATGTATGCATTACAGTTGGATGAATAACAATGTGGATTGTTGTTGGGTGTTATATTTAGAGGAAAAGTCAAATAAATCAAAATACACAGATCAGTTGGATATCTTGTTGAGCCAAATCAACAACCTTCACAACCTTAGATAGTGTACCTCATTTAGGTGGCTCTATAGGTTATGATATCTCTTGATTCTAAGAGATATTATGATATATTATAAAACCCTAAGAATTGTTATGAAAGATGCAAATAAATAATCAAAATTTTCTCACAGTCACCTCATTCAAGGGTGACATTAATTGTTGCTTTTCAATCATTTTATGAAGCCTAGGTCATTAACTATGGGAAGTTCAAACATATGATTGATAGTTCCTCATCTTTCATCATATCAACCTTTATCAAATAGAGAAAAAGTAACTATAGTTAATTCAAGCCAAGTTATTTTTGCTAGTAAAACTCTATCAAATTAAGAAACTATTTATCTTTACATCTGTCACTTCATATCTCTTTGCTTCATATGAATTTACTTTCTGTAGATTTAAATCACAAAAAAATTATTCAATGATTTTCTACCCTAATCTTTCTGTACTTCAAAATTTGAAGATAAATCAAATGGTTAAGATTAAATGTGTGACTGAAAAACTCTACATTTTCCACCATCTAAAAGGAATAGGCTACAATTACAATCTACCCAAAGAAGGAACAAAAGGTACAAAAGATTTACTTGTGTCACTTTTGCTTTGTCCATTCATTTTTTAATATTATAAATACTATGTTGGCTATAACATTTGAGTTGATTGACATTCATTTTCTAGATTATCAAATTTATAAACTAAAAAAATAATGTTGTGTTCTCTTTCCTCCTTATGAGACTGTGTGTGTTTCTTCTTGTGATCTTATATATTCTGATGTTTAGGGTCTATCTTTAGTCACTTCAATGGATGTATATTACTCAATATTATTATACCTACTTTGATCTATAAATCAAATATAAAGAGTAGTCTAAGTTACTTTCAATTGATAAGTGAGTAGTGGGATTTAAGTGAGTCTTTACTATCAAATTAGACTATAATGGTAGAGTTATAAGATACAAAGTTTGATTGGTTATTGAAGGTTTCACTCAAACTAATATGATAGATTATGAGTAGACATTTGTAATCATTCTAAAATTGAATTCAATAAGAGTATTATTATCACTAATGGTATATTGTACTAGGAACTTAAATCAACTCAATCTTAAAAATACCTTTTTAAATAGAAACTATGATGAAAAAGAATTTATAAATTCTCTTCTAGCTGTAGATATTAAAAGAAATACATATCTATTTTATGAGTTAAAATAATCTCTTAAGACATAGTTCAGTTGATTTCAACAAACAATGACTCGTTTTGGTTACCAATAAGGTAACACAAACCATGCTCCCTTTGTGAAAAAGAAGAACGGTCGATGTTCTATTTTAATAGTATTGGTCATATGGACTTCACTTGCAATAATGAAAAGAAAATAAAAATATTAAAATAAAATTTGACCAAGAAATTTAATAATAAAACTTAGGAGACAAAATACTTAATAGAAATATAAGTCGCAAGATCAAAAAAAGTGATGTATATCTATGAAAGAAAATATAATCAAAATCTTTTGAATGAAACATGATAATTGGGATGTCAACTAACTATTTTGAATAGAGCAAAATATTCATATAATTAATATTTATGTAGAGGAACGCACAATTGAATCTGAATATATTTATCAACAAATAGTTAGAAAATTTATATATCTTTCGCTAACTAGATCAGATTTACCTTACAGTTTAAATGTATTGAGTATGTATATCTATATATACATACATACACATACATATGCTTCTTGTGTTACTCACATGTAAGTTGTCAATCTAATATTGATATACCTAAATTCATGTCTAGATAAAGTTTTTTTACAAATAAAATCATTTATGAATAAAAAAAAATTGCTAATGTAGATTGAAGGGATCTTTTGGTGATATAAAATTTATCATAAACTATTGCATTTTTCTATGAGAGAAACTTGTCATGCGTTGAAGTAAAGAACAAACAATAATTTAAACTATTTTACATGAGAAATACAATGAGAAATATAATTAGATGAGACTGCGTCATGCGTTGAAGTAAAAAACAAACAATAATAATAAACTATTTTACATGAGAAATACAATGAGAAATATAATTACATGAGACTGTCATGCATTGAAGTAAAAAACAAACAATAATAGTAATGTTTGGCTAGGTGGTTAAGCCATTCTCTCAAAGAGAATACCTTAACAAAGCAAGTTTCCAAAGTGGGCCATGCTATTGAGGTTACTGACTCAATCCGCTAACGTCACACCATCTTTACTGCATACCTAACATGCAAACCATCTGACTTCATGTATACACTATGTAACAATACTCATGCCACCTTGTGTCATATATATCGTCCATGGTATATTACACCATGTCATGATGCTATCATGCTGCTATCATCCTAGGTTGTCTTGTCACCATGATGTCTTAAGCGATCAGCCTCTGAAGTTCTTAGGACATTTCCCTGAATCTCTTATGTTGGTGGAGTCATCTGCCTGTGCTGCACATATATCCACATGAGCCTTGTGCACTTCACACTTATGTGCTGCACTTCACATGTGACAATGTATGTCGCCTGGGTTGCTTTATCCTTGAAGGTTCAGACGCCTTATGTGAACTTCATTGCTCACGTGTCGTGTCATGCTGTTGCACACTTCCACATGCGTGATGCATTGTGATGATGTGCGCTTCATGTGTGCTTGCATAGACCACTATATGGTCTCATGTTTGTAATGAGGTTTCACTCCCAAAAGCTCGTTCCTTGAAGCAAGAGGTGTCACAGGTGTAACTCGGCACCTCTAACACGCAAGAGTACTTCACTCAAGCCTACAATGTGGGCACCAACAATTCATGGGGAAAGAGAACCATGCTCAATTTCTTTGACACTTCCCTTGGCAGTAAAGCCCTACCACATCTATCTGGGAGCGCTGCCCCTTCCCTCGTCAAGTACTCTTTGGAATGACTGCCATTGGATCTACACTCTTTGGTAGGCTAGATGTCCGAGAAATTAAGATATGAATTTTCTGATTATGAAATCGTGGCTAAAACCAGCCAAGCGATGCCTCCCTTCCCTTGCCATCCTCAATTATTTGAAAAGAAAAAAACACAAAAAGATATGAATTATAACTTGTCACATAAAATAATATAAATGATCACTTAAATAATGGACCTAAACCATCAAATCTGATAAATATTTTCTAACAAAATTAATATAGCTAGAAAATACGTACAGACGAATTTGGGTCGATTATTAAAACATTAGCACTTGCCTTATCTCCTCCTCGCCATTCCATTCCACGGCTAAATTACTCAAACATTCAATGGGTGTGATGAAATTAAGGTCATGAAATCTAGATCACTGATAAAATGTTTTTTGAGTTACAATTTGACGATCCCAAACCCCCAAATGAACTAGTCGAGTGGAGTTTTGTATCATCAGGTATGGCTATCGATCCGATTGGGTTCCTTGTACCCATCACACACACATAGAAATTACATCTAGTTCAGTCATCTTTGTCTTCTCGCCGCTGCAAAAGAATGGACCACCTGCCATGCTGGGAAGCTGGGAAGCTCCGGCCTATTCGTACGGACGCGTCAGGGCGGAGTCTCGAGTATAATAATGGGCCCTTATCGGGCCCATACACCAACGACGGGTCAAAAACCATGGGTGAAGCAGGGCAGCTTTCGGGCCCATTGGCCTATCGGATCCAGCGCTGGAATGCCCTCCGCTGGAATCCCAGTGATCGTGGACTGCTCCGCCTGCTCGGGAAAGTTGGTCGCTTGTTTCGAGCTTGGGCCGGCATAAGTGGGCCGACATGCGACATGAAGACGTTATCCCTTCTTTAAACGGTAGGAAGCCGGTGACGGCACCCCGGCTTCATCCTAATCCTAACCCGACATGAAATGTCAAGAGTCACGCGTTGTCACGTGAATCGGGCCCACTTGCTCCAATTTCACGTGCGTCGTTACCTTCTTTACCGTCGCCTAGTTTACTCTGAGGTTGCGAAATTTGTACGGACAACGGGTTGGGTCAACGGCTCAGTGAGGGTGGCACACCTACATCTCTTCTCCACCCGCTCCGGCGAGTCAAACAGCGGCGCTTACCTGGTGCCCACGTTGTATTATACTTGGAACGGCGACTATTTGCTGCCGCCGCCGCCGCCGTCCAACAGCGACGGAAGATCCGGGCGTGCGTATTCCTCCTCGATACGGACGTTCGCCGTCTCCGGCCGCTACCCTAAGGAGTTAATTCCAGCTCGCACGTGCCACCGTACGACAGGGGAGAGGTATCCACCAAGGAACTGACGTCTGCAGTGGAGGAGCCGGTGAAGAGGGGCAAGGTCGCCGTCTCGTGACGGGACCTCTCCCGGTGGAGCGTCCGAAGGTCCACTCCCCCGAAGGAGAGGACCAGAAGAAAGAGGGGACCCAGCTGTTGCCAGAAGGTTCATCTTCTTCTTCCTGGCCGCCTATTTATTTGACTTCGGCGGACTGCTCTCACTCGTCCTCTTTCACGCAACTCAACTCTCTTGCTCGTCCATCTGCAACCCAACAAACCTTGGTTGATCTTAGGATCCTTCAGCATCCATAACAGAAGATGTGTGGAGGTGCTATACTCTCCGACTTAATACCCTCTCGCTATGGCCGCTCCGCGTTCGCCGCGGCCGCTGAATTCTGGCCCGACCCCCGCTTCGCCAAGAAGCAGCAGCAGCAGCAGCAGCAGGATCCGTCCGCCGGCTTCTTCGTCCCCGTCCCGTTCGATGCAGAAGAACGCGTCGGCGGAAGAGGTTCGTACAGAGGGGATTTCCTCTCTCGGTCTCTGTCTCTTAATCTCCCTCGCTTCTGAGGTGGTTGTTATTGATTGTTGTTACTGTGATGGCATCCGCAGTGGGGAAGAAGAGGGAGAGGAAGAACTTGTACAGGGGGATCCGGCAGCGTCCCTGGGGGAAGTGGGCGGCGGAGATCAGGGACCCCATGAAGGGAGTCCGCGTCTGGCTCGGCACCTTCAACACTGCCGAGGAGGCCGCCCGCGCCTACGACCGTGAGGCCCGTCGCATCCGCGGCAAGAAGGCTAAAGTCAATTTTCCCAACGAGGAACTCCCCCACTTCCGGGAGGAGCCGCGCCGCCCCCACTTCACCTCGCTCGCCTTCGCCGCCCCGCCGCCACCTCCCACCGCCGTCGCCGCCGTCGCCACCGCCACCTCTAACCCTCTCTCGTCGGCCCACGAGAGGGATGCGGAGGGCGGTGCGAATCCCGGGCCCAGCGGCGGCACCGGCGGCAGCGAGGCGAAGAAGCTGTCGGAAGAGCTGCAAGCCTTCGAGGCGTACATGAAGTTCCTGGACATCCCTTACATGGAGGGAGGCGTGGGCGCCGACGCGGCGGCGGAACAGCAGGCCTCGTCGGAGCTGAATCTGAGTCTGCCCTCTACATCGTATCCGCAGGAGGCCACTCTGGAGTTGTGGAGCTTCGACGACGGCCTCCCCGTCTCCATCTGAGTGCCCCCTCCCCCCTCCCCTCTCCCATCTTTTCCTCTTCTATTCGACTACGTTGGATGGAGTTTCCCTAATAAATACGCATCAAAGGAAATCTATTTTCACGTAGATTCTTCATCGAAACGTTCTTCTGGAGGTCCAAACCTTGCGAGAGGATGAACGAGAGAGATAGAAAGAGCTACTTCCTCCGCCACCGGATCCACTCTGCAAATTGTGAGATCAGAGAGAGAGAGAGAGCGTCCGCTCCGACGCAGGACAAATTGTGAACTCGGGGAATTCACGGTTCAAAAACCGGGGCGGAAGATGCTCTCAAAGTCTTAATCTCAGCATAGACGGAGAAAGCAAGACCATAAACATTCAACGATTCGAATTTTTCCCGATTTCTTCTGTCGAAGAGAGACACTTCCTGGGATCCTTCAGGATTGACATTGACATTGACACTGATCTCAGATTTTTCTTAAACATTTTTGTTGTGTTAGCTGCGGGGCCTGCGGAGAGTTTTCGGGGATTAGGAGGATCGATTATTAGGAGAAGATGGGGGGTGGCGGGTGGGTCTTGGGAATCTCCATCGGCAGCTTGACGATGATCCAGCTTGATCCCATTGAAAGCGGCAGTGCCAATGGCTTCTAGAAGGGGGAAGCTCGAACGGATTCACCAGAGGGGATAGGCGGACGGGAGGATGAAACCAGTGGCCAACAATACCAGGTGCTCCCGTTGATATTTCGACGCGGTTTGTCAGAGCATCCGATCTCGACGGATACATGCTGAATCTCACGATGACACACCGCAGCCCATCCAAGCTTCCCACGCGGCCGCCGATTGATTACTCCATGTAAGCCTGCATGCGGAGTAGCCATGTGCCACGAGACAACACACCGCGATTGGCAGCTTCGGACACCGCCGTCATTAAAGTGTTTCTGTGGCCTCTAGATGAAAGTCATCCTCATTGGACCGTTGACTGTTCAAACCACTTCAAGCTCCGCTGGCTCTCTCTTTATCTGTCTATATATTATTAGAACAGCCCCAGCTGCCTATCTATCTGCCCCTTCCCTCTAACAATCGCTAGAGCAACCTTCTTTTCTCACCCGTCTCACTACTCGCCGGCGTCTCAGCTGCACTACCTGGTTTCCACTCCGTAGGAGAGGACATGTGTGGAGGCGCGATCGTTTCCGACTTCGTCCCTTCACATTCCATCCGCAGGAAGAGGGTCATCACCGGTACGGAGCCATGGCCGCTGGAGTACTTCCCCGAGGACCGGCCGACGGCGGCGGCGGCGGTTTCCGAGGCGCCGACGCCACCGGGGGAGGAGCGGAAGAAGCGAGTTCGGAAGAACCTATACCGCGGGATCCGCCGCCGCCCGTGGGGGAAGTGGGCGGCGGAGATAAGGGACCCCGCAAAGGGGGTCCGCGTATGGCTCGGCACCTACCAGTCGCCAGAGGAGGCCGCCCGCGCCTACGACCGGGCGGCCCGGCGCATTCGCGGCAGCAAGGCCAAGCTTAATTTCACCGACAGTAACGAGGACGACGGCACCGCCGCCCATCGCCGCGAGGAGCCTCGCTTCCAGCGGCGCCACCAGACGCATCCACAAGCGGCGCCGCCCAGCGGCCAGCTCCCGGAGGACGACATGCAGGCATTGGAATCGTACATGAAGTTCCTCGACGAGGACCTGTATAGCACGGGACACGGCGGCGCGGCGACCCCGCCGTCGTCGTCCGGCACTCCCCCGACCTCGGCTGAAACGACTTCCACGTTGGAGCTGTGGGGATACGATAATGCCCTCAACGCCGACTGTCTAAATCTCTTCTGAGACATGCTCGGGTTTCTCTCAGTTTCATTCTGGACCAGAATCAGGCCCTGTAAAATATGTAGCATTCCACCTTTTTTGTTCTATCGCGTAGGGTTTTTCCCCCATCGTCATCAATGTCGCCTCGTGTCTACCTCTCTGGATAGCGCGATCCCTTGTTTATACAGCTCCCCCTTGCCGTCGGAGGGAGAGTACCTGTAGATGGACTGAGCGACCGCATCCATCGCCGCGGAAGCGAAGACCTCCTTGGGATTCCAGAACCAGGGCCGCCGCTGGCGCGGAGAAGAGGAGGTCGAATGGAGCATCACAGAACCCCAGTCTCTGGTTCCCGCCATGGCCTCCTTAACCCTGCGCCGGACCAGCAGGTGGCCCACGTCGTCCATCTTCATCTCGGAGACTGTCCTGACTATGGCCATGCATGCGAGGAGGACGAACACCGCGTCCTCCTCCGGCAGGAACTCCACCGCCAACAGCCTCCAGTTGAACAGGGCGGTCGCCCTCCCCGCCGGGCTCTCCGGCGAGAATCTGATGAAAGTGATGAACTCCTCCTCTTCACGTTTGTGGGTTTCCTCGTCCGGGGAGACTACCTTCACCTGGAACTGCAGTTTCCTCCCCACCTCGAGTCTAATCTGCATGCAGACGGAAAGTCCACCAGATTATTTCAACCACCCAGCAAAAATTAAAAACAAGGATTCATTTCGTCATCGGAGATACCGATTCAATGGAGTTCTCCGTCTCGAGTTCAAACTCCAACCCTCTCTGCCATCGTATTCTCAGCAGATCTCCCGTCGACAGAGCCCATGTCACCTTCTTCTCCTCCGGGCCCCTGGGCACCGCAGTGCCCACAACCTTCTCTACAGTTGCAGAGAACACCCATCTTAGGCAATAATGGCACGGCAAACCATGAAGTCTCAATGTTAATTCACAGCAAATCGGATTAGGTCTTGGTGAACTTACGAGGGGCGGTTCCGACAGAGCTGGCGACGTAGGACCATGACCCTTCTCTAACCTCAATGATCCTGTCTTCCCATTTCACGGCTCTCGGGGTTTCAGCTCCTCTTCTCCAGAACCCCTCCCCAACCCTGTAGAAAACAAAACAGAAATTGAACTGGTCCGGCATCTGAGCGTAAACTATAAACCATAAACCCTCAGAGATCACCAGGAAAAGATTGAATACCTGAATCTTATGACGAAGCATTCTCGCCCATGGCAGTCAAGAACAGTTCGTGACAGCCAGCGACCCGCCTGAGGATGATAATGGTTCATCCTGAGAATCACATCGGAGATCATCGAACCCTTGTCGTCGGTGACTCTGTCGGGGACGCACTTCAGAAGGTACGGAGCCTGAACTGGGGGAGTAACGGAGACCATGGCTTTCACTTGAGTCCCCAAATGTTTGGTCACGGCGAGAGAGGGCGCTCGCAGCAACTCGTTCCACATGAAAACTTGGGATTTGATCGATTTGCTCTTTCCCAAGCAGCCGCTCCCTTGCCGACGAAGGTCTAAGATCACACCCCTGGTGCCAAATTCGCAGCAGAGATCCCAGGCTTTTTGCCAGGAGGTCGCTGACGACGACGACCCGGAGACTGGCCTCTCCAATTTCATCTCTCTATGACATCTCAATGTTCTTAAGCGGAAGAACATCTTCCCTATGTCTTTGACCTCTGCTTCTCCCCATCTACCTTTAAGAAAAACGCGAACCTGTCGTCACGAGTGAGGACATCAGATGCAGGTTCGCGTCGTCCGAAAGAGAATACATTAATTACACATTTCTTTAGCAGATCAGTGACGCACAATTTTGGTGATGTTCCGCTTTTTTCAGCAGATTTTGGTTCATATTAAAAACCCAGCGCATTAGCCAGCTAGTGAACTCGAGATACGAAAATGCCCTAATTTATTCATATAAAGTTCAAAAAAGAAACAATGTCAAATGCGGCTGTATATATCTTCGCTTGTTTTCATTAAGATTCTGATGGATTTTGAGAGAGAAAAACCGGTGAAATTTTTTATGGTTTTGTCAGCGAAATTGACGATTATTTCCCACGCAAGGAAGCTAATGCATGATTGGTTCTCTCTGATCGTCAACGAGGGAGAATTCCATCTGAACCGCGGTTGCGGACCAATTTGGTTTCCAAAGAGAAACGACAGGATTACAAGTACTAAAATTTCACCATGAAGTTTCTACCGAGGGAAACAGTAAGACTAACCTCCATTAGAGACCTGGGCTGCAAGGCTCTGTATTTCCGGTTAGATTCAGCGGCGGTGGCGGCGACCGGAGGCGTGTTGTAGTCCCAGTAGAAGGATTCCCGCGATGGCGAACCGGCGGGATCGAAGCAGGCGCCAGCTCGCTCGTATGGTTCGTCGAATGCCTGTTCCCAGATCCTTATCGTTTCCTCCACCTCACCGTCGCCTGCTAGCTCCCCGAATCCCACCACCCTGGATTCTAACGCCAGCGTCCCCAAAACTCCTTCCACATCCCTCGCATAGATCACCGGAAAGCTCTGTGATCAAATGAAATTCAAAAGAATGCGGAGAATCTGGAGAAAAAGGAAAGGAGAAAATGATAGTCTGATGTTTACACCTGATGAGTGAGCCACATGAGGAGCACGTCGGAGGTGGGTACCATTCGCAGTCCATCATCAGAAGATTGCCTGCACAGGTGAAGGAAGTTCCTGTACCTCTGCCTGGCGGAGACGAGGTAGACGGTCTCCGACACGAAAGGGTCCAAGAACGTGGAGTAGAGGTCCCGGTATTTGGAGACCGCGACGAACAGTTCTCTTCCATGTGACGGGTTCGGGCCATCGGGAAGGCGGTCGCTGCCATCTTCGTCCTCGTCCTCGGGTGAGATTTCAAGATCGAATGGCTCGGACGGGTACCGCGCCGTCCAGATACCTCTGCATCGGTTGGAGGCATACTCCGCGTTGCCGTCGTCGAAAATGGCGGGTCGCTCCACCAGGCGCCCGAATCTGGAAATGCAATATTCCCGGTAACGAGCAGGACTAAGGCAGTGGCAGTGCCACGCCCACTGCACGTCGAGGGGTGGGAGAATCATCAGAGCTGTGGACGAGTTTTTGGAGAGATCGTGGATCAGAGGCATCCATAGCTCTCTGTAACTGCAAGTGGGTTCGACTGACTCAGCCATTGATCGCGCGGCTCCTCAGAATCAAACATGCCGAACATAGGATGGAGATTAGGGGAAAAAGGAGGAGAAAAGAGTTACTAACTGACCGCCGGATCGATTGGAGGATGGTGGCGGCGTCGTGGAGGAAGTTGGAATCGGAGAGGGACGCCAGGAAGGCGAGATGCCACCGGGCGGCGGCTATAAGGTCGACGCTAAGACGGACCTTCGCCTCATCCCGACATTTGCCGTCATTGTGGCAGCTCCGCAGGGAGGCGGAATCATCTAAAGAGGAAACCGTCAACCCGATATTCGGATCATCCTCCGACATCAGCCTCTCCAGCAGCGGAAACCGACTGTGAAAGAAAGCAATCAGGGAAACAGACGGCCGAGAAGCACGGGGAAAACGGAAGTCGGGCGCAGCCCGGCGTTGCTCCAAGTAGAGGACGAAGCGAGAGCGAGAAGGTGGGTGGAGCGACGTCAGATGAGAGACGGGATTGGAGGAAGAGAAAAGGACCCACCGGCCGACCACCAAGCGCCTCCGTCTCCTTGTCGTCTTCCACTGCCAACTGTTTACCAGTTCAGGAGTGACTCCAACAGTGGCCGAGGTGATCCCACCGCGCAGGCCAACCGAGCACCGGCGGCCGGGGCAAACGCCTCCGGCAGGGCGCCGCCTGTCGCCGCCATGCTTCGGCGATTCCGATGGAGGATTGGCGGCGCTGGTTTCGACCGGTGGATCTCCCCGCGCGGGACGCGCAAGGTACCCTGCCGGAGTGAAAGCCTTACGAAGCGTCCGACTTTCCCAAAGCTTTCACTTTTTGCCATAATTATTTTTGCATAATTTTTTTCTTTCCGCTTAAAAATAGATACCTAACAAACCCCTGCTTGGCCGGGTTTTCAGAACTCTGTCCCCCGTCCGACTCAACCTTGCTTACGTATGAAGAAGAGCAAGGTCTAGTATAAACGGCGTGATATATTTTCAGTCCAAAAATTTTAAAAATAAAAGATCACCTCCAGTTCCTAAGTAATTAGAAAGCTGTTAACTTTAATGAATATTTAGATATTGACTTGTCGACATCTGATGCCCAGCAATTATCAGCTAGATTTTGGCGTCATTTCGCCCAAAAATGGGTTCTTGCTGGTTCTTACTCCCACGTCTCTAACTTGGTAATCTCTTTCCTTGTAGAACAGACTGGTATTCTCTCTCTCTCTCTCTCTCTCTCTCTCTCTCTCTCTCTCTCTCTCCCCGGTGGAGAAGGGGGAGGGGCCAATGGTGCTCTTCATCCATGGTCTTCCAAAGTTTCTTTACTCATGGGACCACCAAGATCCCCAGCCTCACAGCCTGCGGTTACCGCATGGTCGCTCCTGACCTCCGAGGCTAGAGTGACACTGACGCGTCTGAGGTGGGAGGGACCCTTCCTCTACCGTCATCCAACAAGAAAACATGTTGTGAAAAGAACTTGGGTGGTGGGAGCTTCTAAGTTACTTTCTTCAATAGTTTACTTAATGGTTGAGTTGTGACACAACAGCACAAGTTGAGTTTAAAAAATAAAATGGGACCAGTGCTAGAATGGAAGTTTAATATGACATGTGTCCAAAATATCAAAGATAAGATAAGATGAAACACCAAGATTTGTGGTTATTTGAAATTCTCCTACTTCTATGAACAGAGGTATAGATATTTCTTCATGTAATAACAAATGAAAGTAGCATAATGAAATGCATATATCTCTTTTCTTGACTTGATGCTTGTTAAAATATGGCTCACTATTTTGGGCTTGAAAAGATGCTCATTAAAATGGCCAATCTTTAGTATGTGTATTGACTCAATAAAGTGAAAAAGACAAGAGAGGATGGAGGTCATTATTAACTTATTTTCTCTACTATGTTGAGGTGGTGGTAAATTTATGAAAATTAATCTCCTTGGAATAGAATTTTTTAATTTTAAATCTCTGTTCTTGATAAATTTAGACACATTCTCAAGGTGATAAAACTTAGAAAAATTTTAAATTAAGATATGTAAAAGTTAGAAGAATTGTAATTAAATGAAGAATAGTTTAGAAAATTAATATCACATAAATTATCACTAAATAAAGTAAAAATTAAGTTAAAAGTAAGAAATGTAGACTTTCAGCCTTGTGACAGCGATCATTGGAATTCTATGTGTTCAAAAAGGTCGTCGAATAATGTCCACGACCTCAAAAGTTCTCTTTGGACGAGGACGATGTAGGTAATCTCTAGATCTTCTTGTGAAGTCTAGAGATCAATAAAATAGGTTGTTGAATCGTCTCTAGTGACTATTATATGGTGGAATAGAAAAATAGCAACTTTGCAACACTCTGAAGGCTGTCACTCGACGGAGAAGAACTGGATGAAGATGTGTGTGTATTAGGAAGCTTCATCCTCAAGTCTACACAGCAAGATGAGGCTCTTCATCACATTTGATACGTTCTTAGGAGGTGGCGACTCGTCTCTTAGGAGATCGTCCTCTTCTCAATAACAGTTTATTCGTAGATTTATTGAAGATGATTTATTTGATGCATTCGTAATCCTTTTATTGTGAATCATTCAAAAATTTTAGTAATGATACTCTACGAATCACATTGACGAGATTTTTACTAATGATTCAACAATTCTAGTAGCTTAATCCTTCACCGATGATCTGTAAGAAAATCATGAGTTAATTAGATAAATAATATGAGTTTTGGCTCTAGTAAGATTCGAACATAGATTGGTCACTTGAAAAGCATCATGATATCTCGTTGTTATAAATGAAAAGCATTTTTTATATTAAAACCATCAAAAATATTATGGGGAAAGTGTGATCCAGTTTAGTCCCACATTAGTTATATGTTGAATTTTAAGTTGAATTTTAGGTTGAATAAATAGTAATACGAGATTTAGAAATCAATGAGTGATGTGAAAGGAGAGTTACACACACATGTCCTCGTTAGTCTATAGCTGCTTGAATCCTTGCTTGTGGCTCTGCCCCCACTATGCTTCTGACCTGCTTGTAGGCTCAAGTAGCCAATGGGTCTCCTCGAATGTGACTTAGTTGTTGTGTAGTAAATCATGCAAACTTAAAATTTATAAAACTAGAAAATATTAATTTTTAGATATTTAGAAGTATTTCTGAATAAATATATCAATTAAAATTCAATAAAATTTCTAAAAATAGTGATAATTTTTCAGGTCGATCACAGAGATGTAATATAATACTGAGTAATATTTCAGAATTTTTCTCAAAGAATACTTTTTTAATGAATTTTAGACTAAGAAATAAAAATAAAATCTATTTAAAATTTCTGAAAAAGGAAAATAGGGGGTGCAGACGTCAAGATAATGTCAACATTCAACAAACGTAAAATGGGTAAAAATAGAGTTTTGTCTGGTGATTCTTACGTAATGATTGCAAATGATTTAATTAGTCAAATTAAGATTTAGAAAAGCTGAAAAGTCATAATTGAATGAAGAGCAGTTTGAAAATTTTAAATCACACAAATAATCTTTAAATGAAGTGAAAATTAAGTTGAAAGTTGGAAAAATAGAATTCCGATGTCGTCGTGACAATGCGTCGACAATATACTAAAATCCTAAGCATTCAAAAAGATTACTATGCAGTCCATGGCCTCAAAGGCTCTCTTTAGACAAGGACCATGTGAACAATCTCTAGATCTTCTTGTGAAGTCTAGAGATCAATAAAATGGGTCATCTAATCATCTCTGACAGTTGTCATCTGACGAAGAAGAGTTGGATGGAGGTGTGATGCAGGACAAGACGAGAACCCTTGTACCTGATCAATTAAACTCAAGACCTCATATGGGGTAGTCAGATCGATCTAGTTAGAATGTATGGCCCTAGATTCTAGGTCTGACCACGTAACTTAAGTATAGGCAGGCATACCAATATAGATGATCAATCTAGGACAACTCGAGGAAACACTTGATGATGGTAAGTGTGAGGCCCTCTCGATCCACGTCCGGACAGATGGCAGAACAGTCGTCGTGAAGTAGCCTAGGGTTGCAGCTCATGAACGGTGATGAGTTTGATGTAACATCAGAAGTCACAATCTGATGACCCATCCTATCATGTCTACATTCTCCTGATGGCGGTGAAAACGAGCTGAGAAAACCCTTCGAAAGATAATTAAACTTAAGAGGAAGGGGTATGGAGCTAACCTTCGGGGCTGCGTAGCCCGACGGCTCGTGACAGAGCAGAGACTTGACGTAAGTAGAGACGTCCAGTGAAGAGCGATGCTCAGCATCGACGGTCGGTTGTGGTCGAGAGTTGCCATAGTCGTCGTCGTAAGACGTGGCACAATCAAATCGGGAGTGGGCCCGCTGGTGGGTCGAAGGGCATGCTAGCGAACGTGCGCGACAAGCCACACAACGTGTCTTAGGGCACGTGGGTGGGGGTGCCTGGTGTGCGTGCGGGGTGCGCACAGCACCGGCACTTTGGTGGGAATGCCAAGCATCAGCAGCGCTTTGGCGGGAGTGCCGAGCGTCGACAGTGCTTTAGGGGGAATGCCAAGCGTCGGTAGTTGGACAGAAACCCAACCGTCACCGAAAGGATCGGCCTTCTCTAGTGGCACCGGGAAGTGGAGCAAAGGACGGAGGCGATTTTGCTGACAATACCAGGGAGGGTTGAGCTTGGATTGTGAGGACAGCGGCGTATCGTTGGGAAACTCCGACGGGTGCCTGTGAGGAGCTTGGATTGCATCTAGCTCGTCGACACGGCAGCAGGATCTCTCTCGACGTCGGCAGCAGGTAGGTGTTTGTTGGTGAATGGCCAGCGACTAGGCGGAGTGGCGAATGGCGACTCTGACGAGTTTATGGTGGAGTTCCGAAGGAAGAGGTGGCAATCGAACTAGGAGTCGAGAGACTCCGACAGAGTGCTCGGCGATGGCTCGTAGGGAGGCAAAGCAAGCCCCTTTCGTCACGACGGCGTGATGAGGTTCCAATTGAGGTGGCGGTGGCTGCAGCGGTAACCGTGACCATTTCGTCTGATGACGACAACGATCTCATGGGAGGCAATGAAGATGTCCAGCAGCAATAGTGGTCTTAGGCGGCGGCGGGACTTCTTCGGTAGCAATGTCACGATGAACAAAGTCCTCAGGATATCGATGGCCTTCCTCTCCCTCCTTCCTTCCCTATCTTAGGTCACGAAGAAGGTATCTCACAAATAATACTTTCTCACAAAATTCAGCGCTCCTTTGAGAGGGGGTCCTACCTCCCCTTATATAGGGCCCACAAGTGGGCAAAGGGGAGGTGGGCCCACTTGAGGCCCTCAAGCTCATAAGTCACAAAAAGGCTACAAAAGGGGCTTATTGGGCCTCTAAAAGAGAGACCTAATAAGCTCCCTTAAAAGGAGAAAGTAGAGGGCCCTTGTACGATGCTTAAGTGGGCCTCAAATGAAGACCCAAATAAGCCTCAAAAGAAGCCCAAAAGGAAAGAAGCATAGGTCCCCCTCCCTTAGGGTTTTAATTGGGCCTCAAAAGAGAGACCCAATAAAACCTTAAAGAAAAGGAGACACAAACAACAACACACACATAGAATTGGGCCTGCTAACACACAAATGTGAGGCCCAACAAGTCAACGTGAAAATACAAAAAAAGATAAAGGTGAGCTTGAGCTCGTTGTCATCGTGGAGGTGGAATGTTGTCGTCTCAAAGGGCTAGGCTATGTAGCGAAAACCAGGCTCCTTCGTCTTCACATGTCGATCGGGCTGAACTCAGACTGCTGGTGTCTCCTGAGCTGATGGAGATGGGTCTCGCTTGTCATCAATCCTCTTGGGGTTGAAAGAACTCAACTCTGATGAGTTGGTAAGTGGGGAAGGCAGGGGCTCCAGCAAGTCTGGTCGTAGTTGCTCCATGTCTGCCTCTGAAATCTAAGCATCGTCCTCCGACGGGCGACCCTACCAACATACTAGGAATCTCTGTAAAACTCTGTCCCCTATAAAGTCAATTACCTCCCGAAGAATCTCCTTGACTCGTTCGTGCCAATCAGGTGGTAAAATGAGGGGGTGGACTCCATGGCAAACTCTCTCTCAAAGAAGGGGCCGGTAGATGAGGGCTCGATGTCAGATGAAAGAGGTAGGGCTTTGTGTGATGCCAAATCCACCACGTTGAACGTGGAGCTAATCCCTCACGAAGGAGGGATGCCAACGACATAGGCATTCTCGCCTATTCAAGAAAGAACACGAAACGAGCCGATGCTATGAGCATGAAGTTTCATAGCAAAATTAAGAGCGTAATGCTCGGGCCTCATCCTCACCATAACTTGGTCTCCCACCTAGAAGATCTGCAGTCGACAATGCATATCAGCAGCTTGCTTGTACAATACATTATGACTCTATATCCTATCGTAGATGTCTTGATCCAACTAACTAATATGCTGGGCAAATGTGACACCATCCTCGGAAACTCTAACATGAGAGTCCAAGGGTACTAGATCTAAGGACTTACGGGGTGTTAAGCTGTGTGCGATCTTGAAGGGGCTCATGCTAGTGGTACGGTTGGTCGAGGAGTTATAGGCAAACTCGGCGTGTGGTATGATCAAATCCCAAGTGGTCAAGCTCTCGCCGACTAATGACCGAAGCAGATTCCCTAAGCTACGATTGACGGCTGACGTGACTCAGTCATTGTATATTAAATCACGCAAATATTAAATTTATAAAACTAGAAAATACGAATTTTTGGATATTTAAAAGTATTTAGAAATAAATATATCAATTATAATTCAATAAAAATTCTAAAAATAGCAGTAATTTTCTAAGTCGATCATAGGGATGTAATATAATATCTGGTAATTATTCAGAATTTTTCTCAATAAATACGATTTTCTTACGAATTTTATACTAGGAAATAAAAAGGAAATATATTTAAAATTCACGAAAAAAAAGAAATAAGGGTGCAGACGTCAGGATGATGTCAGCGCCCAGCGAACGCGAATCAGGCAAAAATAGAGTTCCACCCGGCGATTCTTACGTAAGCGATTACAGACGACTTAATTAATCAAATTAAGATCTGTAAAAGCCAGAAGAATCGTAATTGAACGAAGTATAGTTTGGTAACAGAGTTCCGGCATTGCGACGGTGATGCATCGGCGATGCACCGGAATCCTGAGCGTTCGGGAGGATCGTCATGCAGTGTCTACGGCCTCGAAGGCTCTCCTTGGACAAAGACGACGTGGGCAATCTCTAGATCTTCTCGCGAAGTCTAGAGATCAATGAAGTGGGTCGTCAAATCGTCTTCGGCGGCTGTCACCCGGCGGAGCGGAAAAACGGCGACTTTGCGGCTCTCCGACGGCTATCACCCGACGGAGAGGAGCTGGATGGAGGTGGGGCGCATGTCAGGGAGCTTCATCCTCAGGTCCGTGCAGCGAGAGGAGGCTCTTCATCGCATCTGGTACGCTCTTAGGAGGTGGCGACTGGTCTCCTGACGGATCGTTCTCTTCCCGACGACGGCTTGTTTGTCGATCAATCAGAGATGATTTACTCGATGGATTCGCGATCCTTTTATCGCAAATTGTTCAGCAATTTTAGTAGCAATGCTCCGCGAATCGCGTTGACGAGATTTTCGCCGATGATCTAGCGATTCTCATTGCTTAATCCTTCACCAGCGATCTGCAGGAAAGTCGCGATAATTAAATAAAAATATATGAATTTTGACTCTAGAAGGATTCGAACCCACGCTAGTCGCCCGCCTCTTCTGAGGAAGGTGTGACGGGGGTTTAGTCCCACATCGATTGTACGCCAATTTTTCAGGCGAATATATAGTAATGTTAGCTTTGTGAGCTTCTCTCACGTGTATGACCACTCTTTGCCCCATAGCCAGCTGGCCACCAGTGACGTCGAAGGGGAGTGGCGTACGCGTGCCTATTGGTCCCCAAGCCAAGTCGCTCGAGCCCCTGCTCGCGGCTTACTCCCTGACTGTGCTTCCGACCTGCTTGCGGGCACGGCTGGCCAGCGGGTCCCCCCATTTTTGTAATATTTTTATTTTTATTTCTTGTTCTTCATTTATCTCAAAAGTAAGACTATAAAAATCGTATAAAATCACATAATTACCCAAAAATTCACGTTAATCAATTGAAAACCAAAAATCATTCTTTAACACAAATATAAGTCTATTTATCATGAGTTAAGGCTAAAACTATATTATTTACTAATTATTAACTCATGATAATGAAGACTTATCAACGACCTTAGTCTGGCCATTAGTTTATAGATAGTAAGTAGTGGAGAACTTGAGCTTAGTCCCAAGTAAACTCTAAAGAGTCTTTGGTGCTAGGGTGATCTCTCTAGCTGCCATGGTGTTTGACTATGGTGTAGGAACTGTGTCTCGAGATGGATGCTGGACAGTGATACTGACTAGTCCCCTCGATGAAGTGCTCGTCAATGAGGCAGTGAGAGAGGCAGCCTCGACTGTTGGTACGGTGGCGGGCCAGATCTAGATGTAGCCAATCAAATCAGGAGTGTCATTACACTCCTCGACCAAACCTTTGTCAGCAATGTAGACATCATCGACTACAGGGATGTCATCCTCATGTGAACCACTATCTAATTCTTCAAATCTCTATGAGGAGATTCAAAGATAGGCATTGGCTCATCTGGTGCCTAACATGACTCAGTCATTATATATTAAATCACGTAAATATAAAATTTATAAAACTAGAAAATATGAATTTTTAGATATTTAGAAGTATTTCTAAATAAATATATCAATTATAATTCAATAAAACTTCTAAAAATAGTAATAATTTTTTAGGTCGATCAAGGGATGTAATATAATATATGGTAATTATTCAGAATTTTTCTTAATGAATATAATTTTCTATGAATTTTATACTAGGAAATGAAAAGAAAATATATTTAAAATTCACGAAAAAGGAAAATAAGGGTACGGACATTAAGATGATGTCAGCACCTGGCGAACGCGAATCGGGCGGAAATAGAGTTCTGCCCGATGATTCTTACATAAGTGATTATAGACGATTTAATTGATCAAATTAAGATCTGTAAAACCGAAAGAGTCGTAATAGAACAAAGTATATTTTGATAAATTAAAATCACAAAAATTATCACTAAATGAAGCGTAAAGTAAGTTGAAAGCAGGAAAATAGAGTTCCAACATCGCAACGGCGATGCATCGGCGATGCACCAGAATCTTGAGCGTTTGGGAGGATTGTCATGTAATGTCCACGGCCCTGAAGGCTCTCCTTAGACAAAGACGACGTGGGCAATCTCTAGATCTTCTTGCGAAGTCTAGAGATTAATGAAATGGGTTGTTGAGTCGTCTCCGGTGGCTGTCACTTGGCGGAGCGGAAAAATGGTGACTCTGTGGCTCTCTGACAGCTATCACCCAACGGAGAGGAGTTGGATGGAGGTGGGGCACGTGTCAGGTGACGTGACTCAGTCGTTGTATGTTAAATCACGCAAATATAAAATTTATAAAACTAGAAAATACGAATTTTCAGATATTTAGAAGTATTTCTAAATAAATATATCAATTATAATTCAATAAAAATTCCAAAAATAGCGGTAATTTTCCAAGTCGATCACAAGGATGTAATATAATATCTGGTAATTATTCAGAATTTTTCTCAATGAGTACGATTTTCTTACAAATTTTATACTAGGAAATAAAAAGGAAATATATTTAAAATTCACGGAAAAAAAAGGAAATAAGGGTGCGGACGTCAAGATGACGTCAGCGCCCGGCGAACGCGAATCAGGCAGAAACAGAGTTCCACCTGGCGATTCTTACGTAGGCGATTACAGACGACTCAATTAATCAAATTAAGATCTGTAAAAGCCGGAAGAATCGTAATTGAATGAAGTATAGTTTGGTAAATTAAAATCAACAAAGTATCACTAAATGAAGCGTAAATTAAATTGAAAGCAGGAAAACAGAGTTCTGGCGTCACGACGGCGATGCGTCGGCGATGCACCAGAATCTTGAGCGTTCGAGAGGATCGTCGTGCAGTGTCCACGGCCTCGAAGGCTCTCCTTGGACAAAGACGACGTGGGCAATCTCTAGATCTTCTCGCGAAGTCTAGAGATCAATAAAGTGGGTCGTCGAATCGTCTCTGGCGGCTGTCACCCGGCGGAGCAGAAAAACGGCAACTTTGCGGCTCTCCTGCGGCTGTCACCCGACGGAGAGGAGCTGGATGGAGGTGGGGCGCGTGTTAGGGAGCTTCATCCTCAGGTCCGCGCAACAAGAGGAGGCTCTTCATCGCATCTGGTACGCTCTTAGGAGGTGGCGACTGGTCTCCTGGCAGATCGTTCTCTTCCCGTCGACGGCTTGTTCGTCGATCAATCGAAGATGATTTACTCGATGGATTCGCGATCCTTTTATCGCGAATCGTTCAGCAATTTTAGTAGCAATGCTCCGCGAATCGTGTTGACGAGATTTTCGCCGATGATCCAGCGATTCTCATTGCTTAATCCTTCACCGGCGATCTGCAGGAAAGTCGCGATAATCAGATAAAAATATATGAATTTTGACTCTGGGAGGATTCGAACCCACGCCGGTCGCCCCCGCCTCTTCTGAGGAAGGTGTGGGTTTAGTCCCACATCGGTTGTACGTCGAGTTTTCGGGCGAATATATAGTAATGTTAGCTTTGTGAGCAAAGTTCTTTCTCTCCCGTGTACGACCACTCCTTGCCCCACAGCCGGCTGGGCACTGGAGACGTGGAAGGGGAGTGGCATATGCGTGCCTGTCGGTCCCCAAGCCAAGTCGCTCGAGCCCCTGCTCGCGGCTTACTCCCCGACTGTGCTTCCGACATGCTTGCGGGCACGGCTGGCCGGCGGGTCCCCCCATTTTTGCAATATTTTTATTTTTATTTCTTGTTCTTCATTTATCTCAAAAGTAAGACTGTAAAAATCGTATAAAATCACATAATTACCCAAAAATTCACGTTAATCAATTGAAAACCAAAAATCATTCTTTAACACAAATATAAGTCTATTTATCATGAGTTAAGGCTAAAACTATATTATTTACTAATTATTAACTCATGATAATGAAGACTTATCATCAGGGAGCTTCATCTTCAGGTCCACACAGTAAGAGGAGGCTCTTCATTGCATCTGGTATGCTCTCAAGAGGTAGCGACTCGTCTCTCAGCGGATCATCCTCTTCCCGATGACGGCTTGTTCGTCGATCAATCGGAGATCATTTACTCGATGGATTCGTGAATCCTTCAGCAATTTTAGTAACAATGTTTTGTGAATCGCATTGACGAGATTTTCGCTAATGATCCAGCAATTTTCGTTGCTTAATCCTTCACCGGCGATTTATAGGAAAGTCACAATAATCAGATAAAAATATATGACTTTTGACTCTAGAAGGACTCGAACCCGCCCTAGTCACCCGCCTCTTCTGAGGAAGGTGTGACACGGGTTTAGTCCCACATCAGTTGTGTGCCAATTTTTCAAGTGAATATATAGTAATGTTAGATTTCTAAGGCAAGTCCTTTCTCTCATATGTATGACCACTCCTTGCCCCACAATCGGCTGGCCACTAGTGGAGTGGAAGGGGAGTGGCACACACGTGCCCTTATCGGTCCAAGCCGCTCGAGCCCCTACTTGCGGCTACTCCCCGACTGAGCTTCTGACCCACTTGTGGGCCTAGTTGGTTGGTAGGTCTTTCATTTTATAATATTTTTATTTTTCTTTCTTGTTCTTTATTTATCTCGAAAGTAAGATTGTAAAAATCATATAAAATCACATAATTATCTAAAAATTCACATTAATCAACTGAAAACCACTTTTCACACTTTAACATAAATATAAGTCTATTTCTCATGAGTTAAGGCTAAAACTATATTATTTATTAATTATTAACTCATGATAATAAAGACTTATCAATGTCTCTTATCCTTACACTTGAAACAAGTGATATGGGCTTGGGACGCAACCGAAGCATAGTCGGATGCGTCGGCTAGTGGTGGACACAGGGGTGGTGCAGACCTTATTGATGTCGCTAGTATAATATGTTTGTTCCCTACGCTAGTATATGTCGGTGCTATCGTTAGTGTCTGTGCAGATCACATGAACACCATCTTTGTGGTAATCAGAGGTGGGGTGAACTATGTGTCCTTAGCAAGTCACTCCATATGCTTTTCTATGTGGTAGGCCTCGTCTACTTCAAACGCATTGCCTTTCAACACCTCGTTCTGAAGCTGCAAACTAAGTCCATAGGTGAAAATGCCCAAAATCACACGTGAGTCCTCAACAAAGCGACACCTCATGCGGCATTCCTCAAAAGCTTGAATATAGTCTTGGACGGGCGTCTTGCCCTATCAAAGGTCTAACCAACTGAGGAATAGCATTGACTCGTACTGTCGAGGAACATGTTTGTTCCTCAAGCGTGATGTCATATCAATTCATGATGTGATGGGTTGCCCTCGTCAGTGTGCCACGTAACTCTTGTTTTTTGAAAGATCTTAACTTGTCTACCAAGTCTCATCTCTGCATACTCCACACATAAATCATCATTCATGTGATACCATCAAAAATAGGAGTTCATACTAGACTCCCAATCAATGAAGTCCTTGGGCTCACAGGAGCCATCAAAGATTGCCACATCGACACGCACACTTTTTAGTATGCGGGCCCTATGATCCTCACGTCGCCTGTCCTAATCATCCAATCGATCAGCCCTATGGTCACCACCAAAGTCATATTGGGGAGGACTCGGGTAACGTCCTTGATCGTATTAACGATCTTGGCAGGCATCTTGGGGTGCTCAGTAAAAGTCTAGAGCACGCTGCTAGTCGCAGTAGGAATCATTACAATTTCGTGGCTAGCGCTCTACTCGCCGATTGAGCTCCTCTCGTTGAGAAGGGTCAGCTTTGTAACCCGGAAGGTCTCTCCTGTCTTGTCCCTAGTCACGTCTGTGGGGTCGATAGTCCTTGTACTGGGGTTGAGGTGGTGGTGGTGGTGGACATGGGAGATCGTCCCCACGAGTAGGATAGACCGGCTCGCGACGATCATAAGTATCTTGTGGCCAACGACCGCCCAATCGATCATGGCCATTGTCATGACAAGGTACTTTGCGGCAACAAAGATTCCCTCGACAATGATCGTGATCGAGGTACTGGTGATCATATGGATCACTATAAGGGCTCACGGGCCGGCAGGGCTCGCAATACTCCTAATATGCCTGTGTAATAGGCGGTGCGACCGGATACGTGACCAATGGTGGAGCCGGTGGCAGTGGGCCATGAGCTGCGGCTACGAAGGTAGCTCGCTCCAGACGCTCAATAGTCTAGGCCATGCTACATATGACATCATCTCGGAGGGAGTGCACTCCATCCCTCGAAGGATACCGAGGCGAAAGTTACCATCGACCACCTCTACCATGACCCCTAGTACTCTTCAGTGGATAGTAGGGCATGGATTCCTTCTCAACTTAGCGGCTCACAACCGCGAGCGGCTGGGGCTGCCTTGATGCCTCTTTGGCCGACATAGGGCTCAAAGTCTCTCAAGGTCAAGAGGGGTCTGGTACCGAATCCGTCAGTCTCGACATAGATGGTGGACTCGTGTCCACTCTAGCTACTTAGAGAGTGGCGGGATCTGAGGCCTCACCCAAGTGCCGTGACGATAGTGAACCTCCTCGAGCTCTGATTGAGCGTGTCTCTATCATGGCTGGGTCCTATGGGTGCCTATATGCCAATGCAATCCTATATAAATGGTCTACTAGTGATATGGAAGTTTGGTGAGCATCCTCAAGGGACTAAGATTAGGTGGTAACCCAACTTGGCTCTTATATCAATTTGATGTAGGACAGGGCGAGAACCCTTGTACTTGATCAATGAAACTCAAGACCCAAGATAGGGTAGTCGGACCGATCCGGTCAAAATGTATGGACCCTAGATTCTAGGTCTGACCACGTAACCTAAGTACAAGCAGGCATACTAATATGTATGATCAATCCAAGATAACCTAGAGAAATACTCGACAATGGTAAGTGTGAGGACCTCTCGGTCTACATCCAGACAGACAGCAAAACGATTGTCGTGAAGTAGCCTAGGGCTGTAACTCACGAATGGTGACGAGTCTAGCACGATGTTGGAAGTCACGATCCGATAACCCATCTTATCCTATCTACGTTCTCTTGGTAGTGGTGGAAACGAGCCGAGAAAACCCTTTGAAAGATAATTAAAATTAAGAGGGAGGGGTACGGAGCTAACCTTTGGGGCTGCGTAGCCCAGCGGGTTGTGACGGAGTGGAGACTCAACATAAGTAGAGACGTCTAGTGAAGAGAGATGCTCAGCATCGACGGTTGGTCTTGGTCGAGAGTCATCATAGTCGTCATCGTAAGATGTGGCACGATCAAATTAGGAGTGGGCCCACTGGTGGGTCGAAGGGCACGTTAGCATACGCGCATGGCGACAGCTCATAGGGAGGCAGAGTGCTCGGTGACAGCTCATAGGGAGGCAGAGTGCTCGGTGACAGCTCATAGGGAGGCAACGCAAGCCACTTTCATCACGATGGCGTGACAGGGTTCTAGCTGAGGTGGCGGCGGCTGCAGCGGCAACCGCAACCATTTCATCCAGTGACGACAACGATCTCACATGAGGCAATGAAGATGTTTGGCAGCTCCGGTAGCAATGTCACGATGAACGAAGTCCTCAAGGTATCAATGGCCTTCCTCTCCCTCCTTCCCTCCCTATCCTAGGTCACAAAGAAGGTATCTCACAAATGATACTTTCTCACAAAATTCAGCCCTCCTTTGAGGGGGGGTCCTACCTCCCCTTATATGGGGCCCACAAGTGGGCTAAGGGAAGGTGGGCCCACTTGAGGCCCTCAAGCTCATAAGTCACAAAAAGGCTACAAAAGGGGCTTATTGGGCCTCTAAAAGAGAGACCTAATAAGCTCCCTTAAAAGGAGAAAGTGGAGGGCCCTTGTACGATGCTTAAGTGGGCCTCAAATGAAGACCCAAATAAGCCTCAAAAGAAGCCCAAAAGGAAAGAAGCATAGGTCCCCCTCCCTTAGGGTTTTAATTGGGCCTCAAAAAGAGAAACCCAATAAAACCCTAAAGAAAGGGAGACACAAACAACAACACACATAGAATTGGGCCTGCTAACACACAAATGCGAGGCCCAACAAGTCAACATGAAAATACAAAGAAAGATAAGGGTGAGCTCGAGCTCATTGTCATCACGGAGGTGAAATGTTGTCATCTCAAAGGGCTAGGCTGTGTAGCGAAAACCAGGCTCCTTCGTCTTCGCATGTCAATCGAGCTAAACTCGGACTGTCAATGTCTCCTGAGCTGATGGAGATGGGTCTCACTTGTCATCAAGGTGGGGTGCATGTCAAGAAGCTTTATCCTTAGATCTGTGTAGTAAGAGGAGGCTCGTCATCACATCTGGTATGCTTTCAAGAAATGTTGACTCATCTCCCGACAGATCATTCTCTTCCTAACAATAGCTTGTTCATCGATTAATCGAAGATGATTTACTTGATGAATTCATGATCTTTTTATCACGAATCATTCAACAATTTTAGTAAAATGCTCCACAAATTATGTCGATGAGATTTTCACTGATGATCAAATAATTCTGACAGCTTAATCCTTCACCAGTGATTTGTAGGAAAGTCATGATTTAATCAAATAAAAATGTAAGTTTTAGCTCTGGTAGGATTTGAACTTGCGTCGGTCACTCGTCTATATGAGAGAGAGGGAAATAAGTTCTCGAATATCCTTATATTGTCATGTCATCATACTATCTCGTAATTATAAATAAGGGGTAGTTTAGGTACTAAAATCATCAAAACATTCCAAGGAAGGTGTGACCACCGATTTAGTCCCACATCGATTATACACCAAATGTTGAGATGGATATATGGTAATGTGAGATTTGAGAATCAATGAGTCCCTCTCTCGTGTGTGTACAACCACTCCTTGTCCCACCCACTAATTGGCCACCGATGATGTGGAAGGGGAGTGACGCACATGTGCCCCCATTAGTCCATACCCGCTTGACCCCCTACTCATGACTTCACCCCAACTGTGCTTTTGACCTATTTGTAGGCCTACTTGGCTGGTGAGTCCCCTTTTTTTCTTTTTTTCTTTTTTTTCTTTATTTATTTCAATAATAGGATTATAAAAAATTTATAAATTTACAAAAAATCAAATAATTAGCCAAAAAATTATATTAATCAACTAAAAATCACTTTTCACAATTTAACATAAATATAAGTTTATTTATCATGAGCTAAGATTAAAACTAATGAAGATTTATTACACCTCCCAACTTAAATCATTAATAGTCACTTCACAATAGAATTATGAAAATTAATAAAAATTCACAAATCTCAAACATCATATTTTAATGCATGAAAAATACAACTAAAAATGATGTACATCTAGACACTTTAGACTCTTATATCAAGTATTTAAGAATGATGTCAAACACTTAAATGTTCAAGTATTCTTTAGAATAACAATTTAGAATTTACTTTTTCTATTCATATTATTATCACTTCTTTATTCATAGATATAATTCACAAAATATTTCAATAATCAATATTGATCCAAGAATAATATTGATCCCACATTTCTCTTTTTTCATAGCTTGATTTTTGAAGTTTGTATTATATTCTTTATACTTTTTTCTATAGTAGATGAGTACCTTTTCCTGTAAATAAATTTCGACAATAAGAATGATGTCTCACACCCTCCATGTGTACTCTTCATTTTCAAGGCTTTTACTTTATCTACTTATTTTTTAGCAAGTGTTTTTTATGCACGATTTTCGACAATAAAAATGATGTCTCACACCCTCTATGTGTACTCTTCGTTTCTAGATTTTTCACATTACTTTCTCTTTTTTAAAAAAATAAGTGATTTCTCCTCAAAAGTCCTATAGATCAGAGTACAAAAAATTTCCATTAAACTCAAATGATCAATCAAATTTTCACATCAAGGAAATACTATCCATCAAGATCATGACGTAAAAATCTATAAAATCAAATCCATATTATCTATCATGTATCCAAGGAGTATTCTAACATTTTGTGCTATTAAATCATCATTTAACTCAATAATAATCTTCCTAATATCTTTTGGTATCAATCAATCTAATTGATTTAATTTTTCGTACATGCAATATGATGTAAGAAATTTGTAAAGTAGATAGTTCAGACAACTTTACTTTTTATTTTCAGTTTTATTTTTAGCAACAATAAATTTGTCAAAAAAAATCAAATTATCATCTTTATAGTTGTAATTTCAAATTTCAGCAATATATGTCTAGGGGATTGAAATGTGAGAAAAGGGTCTCTAGAATTTTAAATTTTGGGTTGTTTTTTCTCTGTTGTTTTTGAGAGTCTATTGTTCCTAATAGAAAATCAAAAAATAGATGTTATAGTTTTTCTGAATTTTCTTTTTTTAGTTGTTGTTCTAAGTGAGCATGAAAAAAATACAAACACATGTTCTTAATTGTCCTACAACATAAATTAAGAATTAATACTTCACCCCCCAACTTAAAAATGACATTATCCTCAATGACACAAAAAAATCAGAACATAATATGTAAAAAATATAATGTTCAAGTGAAGCATGCATATATGCAAGGTTAAGTACTAAAAATATTGCCATAAATGATAAAGCTCAAAAAGACATCACCTTAACCTCATTTTTAATTTTTCACTTCATCTTACACTCCTCTTGTACTTTTTTGAAAGAAAATAAATATAAAAACAAGTACTGAAAAATTCTAAGAAAAACAAAGTTTAAAAAAAACAAAATAAAATAAAGACCATGGGTTACCTCCCGTGTAGTGTTGAATTTAATATCTCTAGTTGGACACATTAATCTTACTCTTGAATTTCTTTTAATAATAAAATTTCTTTTTTTGGAAGGTGTTCATGTTCTATATAATGTTTAAGTTTTTGTCTATTTATCTTAAAGTTATGATTACTTTTAGGATCTTTAATAATTACAATCTTGTGATTATATGTCTCTTCCACCACATAAGGCCCTGTCCATTTTGATTTTAATTTGTATGGAAATAATTTCAGCCTAGAATCATATAATCACATTTTTTGTCCAACATCAAAAAAAAATTACAAATATATTTATCATGAAAATTTTTAGTTTTATATATATATATATATATATATATATTCTATGATTTTCATAAGCTTCATTCCTCAACTCCTCTAGTTCATGTAATTGAAAAATTCTATCCACCAGTTGGTTTTTCATTCATATATAAATTTTTTATAGCTTATAATACTTTATGCTCTATTTTCACAAAAAGATGACATGGCTTTCCAAAAATGAGACAATGGGGACATACCTATGAGATTTTTATAACTTGTTCTATAAGCTCATAATACATCTTGTAATTTCATGGGCTAATCTTTCCTATTTGGTCTAACTATTTTTCTCAAAATTCTCTAAATTAACCTATTTTCTACTTCAACTTACTCATTTGTTTGGGAATGATATGGAGTGGCTACTTTATGATGTACTTTATTCTTTTTCAACAGTTCTTTAAAATTTTTATTTCTAAAATGTGTTCCTCCATCATTAATAATCACTCTAGGACATCCAAATCTTGAAAAAATATTGTCCTACACAAATTTTATCATGATTTTATGATCATTAGTTCTAATAAAAATAGCTTCCACCCACTTAGACACATAATCAACATCAAGCAAAATATATTCATATTTTTCAACTAATGGGAAGAGACTTGATAAGTCTTCATTATCAAGAGTTAATAATTATTAAATAATGTAGTTTTAGCCTTAACTCATGATAAATAAACATATTTATGTTAAAATGTGGAAAGTGGTTTTCAGTTGATTAATGTGAATTTTTAGATAATTATGTAATTTTACACAAATTTATATGATTTTTATAATATTACTTTTGAGATAAATAAAGAAAAAGAAATAAAAAATAAAAATAAGATAAAATGAGGGGGACTCGCTAGTCAGCTAGGCCCACAAGTGGGTCGGAAGCTTGGTCAAAAAAATTAACTCTTGTTTTATTTTTTTTCTTACTGAAATTTTTTTTAGAAAAAAAGAACGAAAAGAAGCAAGGCAAGGACTAAAGTATCTTGAAGGAGGGTAACAATTACTAAACTTTTCCCTCTAATTTATTGATTTTTTATACATGGTAGAAGATCCTCGCATCCAAGGCTAGAAAATCCTTTCATTATTTGATTCAAAATTGAAAATTCAAAAGAAAAATAAATTCTGATAGATCTTGAAAGAAATACAGGTCAAACTGAGAGTAATCATATGGCCATGAAAAATCATTATATCTCCTATTCATTTCAAAGAGCATCTAATATTACAGTCCCATTAGTACCCACTATTAAATTCAAAATAAATCTACGAATTTTTCAAATGCTCCCTAATTTTCATGGATTGCCTTTAGAGGAACCTTATCAGCATTTAGAAAAATTTCATATGGTCTGTGATTTAGTTAATCTCTTTCAAGTTACACTAGAAATTATTAAGATGAAATTATTCCCTCATACACTTAGGGACAAAGCTAGTCATTGGCTATCCACATTAGATAGAGAATTAACTAGTTGGAAAGATATAGAACATGCTTTTTTTCAAAAAAATTATCCTTTAGAAAAAACTCAAAATATGAGAAAATATCTATAAAATTTTTCTCAAAGACTAGGAAAAACTTTACATGAGACATGGGAAACATTCAAAGATTTACTTAAAAAGTGTCCTCATCATGCTATACCAAAGTGGCAACTCAATAGAATTTTTTATCATGGATTATTAGAACAACATAAAAATATGGTTGATTCTATATGTGGAGGAGCTTTTATGGAGAAAACTCTTGATGAGATTTACAGTCTTTATGAGAATTTAAGTAAAAATTCTAGAGATCAAGCCTCTTTTGAATTATATGACAAGGATAAGAAGAGAGGAATTCATGAATTACATCATGATAATGAATCTAAATTTAGAAATAAGGTTAATTAGATTAATCAAATATTAAAAACATTTGATTTACTTATTCATAATATTAAAAAGCCTCTTAACCTTTAATTTAATTTAAATAGTACAAGTCCTATGTATGGTGAAAATGATCATTTTGAATTTCAATATTATCATAGGCAAGAACAAGTGCAGGTACCTCACGATTTTAATAAAAATAGAGAATATTTTTTTAATTCTTATAATTCTAATTAGGGGAATAATTTTTCATAGAGAAACCTAAATAATATTCAAAATCTAGAAGCACTTAGATCCAATTCACATTTTGAATTTTGTCCAAAACAAGAACATAGATTTTAGAAAAATTAGTCCTCTCAAATCCAACTTGATGCTATGAAAATGATGCAACAAATGGGCCAAATGATGCAACAAACTATGAATCAAATGATGCTACACTAGAAACAAATTATAGAAGCTCTTGAGAATAAGAGAAAAGAGGGACAGCCACCTAATCAGCCCATAGAAAATTCAAGAAACTATCTAACAATAGGATTTCAGCAAGGAGAGTCTAGCCAGATAAATTTTTAAAAAACCCCACGAAATGAAAATATTAGGACAACGAATACATTGAGTAAGAATATTTTACCTGATCCTTATTTCTAATTATTAGAAGAAATCGATGAGCCATTAGAAGTAAATGAGAATATTAAGACCAAAAATATAGTAGCAAAAAATTTAAATAAAATAATTTATTGCTCACAATTGATGAATGAATATAGTGAGGATGATGAGGAGAAAGGGTCCTTAGATAAAAAAACAGAAGCTAATCATGAAAAAATCATCTAAATTTTAGTAGAAGGGAGTAAAGACAGAAATAAAGAAAAACATATTTCAGGTGACGAAAAATCAATTAATTTGGGAGATGTAGGAGACGAAATTAATAAATCTAATCATAATTTTGCAGCGATAGATGTTGATAGTGAGGATGATGATGTATATCATATACTGAAATTAAAAGATAGCTCTTGGGAAGATGAAGAATTTGATGAGTTGAGAAACAAAAAGCTAGAAAAAGAGTTGATTCAACTAATAGGGAGAAACAAAAATAATGGATATGAATATAGAGATAATTTTGGAGGAGAAAATTTGAATTTTACTGAATTCAGTAGATTTGAGATTAAAGAAGACAATCCTTCCATCTTTCAAAACCCACAGCCCATTAGAATTATTTCTAAGCGTGAAATATTTCACTCTTCCCAAATTGAACAAACATGTATGGAAGATAAAATAGAGCAAGGGAAGATTATGTAGATAAAACAAGACATTAAGAAATGGATGAATGGAAGAATTAGAGATATCAATTTAGATGAAAAAAATTTACATTGGGTAAGAGCTAATTCGAAAATTATATGGCCTGATCACATTTTATGGTCTATTAATAGAAAGTATTTATTAATGAATAAGAGCCTTATAAAATAATATAGAAATAAGGAAAGATTTTTTTCAAAATAGAAATATTATTTTTAGGAAATTTTTGTTAATTTCTATTTTGTTTTGATTGAAAGTATGTCAAGGTATATATATGAAGTATATGAATTTATGCTAAATCTGAAAAAGAATATCATGAAACTTACCTTGGGATACAAATATATTTTGATGGTCATAGATCATTGACGTGACTCAGTCGTTGTATGTTAAATCACGCAAATTTAAAATTTATAAAACTAGAAAATACGAATTTTCAGATATTTAGAAGTATTTCAAAATAAATAGATCAATTATAATTCAATAAAAATCTCAAAAATAGTGGTAATTTTCCAGTCAATCACAGGGATGTAATATAATATCTGGTAATTATTCAGAATTTTTCTCAATGAGTATAATTTTCTTACGAATTTTATACTAGGAAATAAAAAGGAAATATATTTAAAATTCACAAAAAAAAGGAAATAAGGGTGCGGACGTCAGGATGACGTTAGCGCCCGGCGAACGCGAATCAGGCGGAAACAGAGTTCCGCCTGGCGATTCTTACGTAGACGATTACAGACGACTCAATTAATCAAATTAAGATCTGTAAAAGCCGGAAGAATCGTAATTGAACGAAGTATAATTTGGTAAATAAAAATCAACAAAGTATCACTAAATGAAGCGTAAATTAAATTGAAAGTAGGAAAACAGAGTTCCGGCGTCGCGACGGCGATGCGTCGGCGATGCACCGGAATCCTGAGCGTTCGGGAGGATCGTCGTGCAGTGTCCACGGCCTCGAAGGCTCTCCTTGGACAAAGACGACTTGGGCAATCTCTAGATAAAGCATGAAAACAGAGTTCCAGCGTCGCGACGGCGACGCGTCGGCGATGCACCGGAATCCTGAGCGTTCGGGAGGGTCGTCGTGCAGTGTCCACGGCCTCGAAGGCTCTCCTTGGACAAAGACGACGTGGGCAATCTCTAGATAAAGCAGGAAAACAGAGTTCTGGCGTTGCGACGGCGACGCGTCGGCGATGCACCGGAATCCTGAGCGTTTGGGAGGGTCGTCGTGCAGTGTCCACGGCCTCGAAGGCTCTCCTTGGACAAAGACGACGTGGGCAATCTCTAGATCTTCTCGCGAAGTCTAGAGACCAATGAAGTGGGTCATCGAATCGTCTCCGGCGGCTGTCACCCGGCGGAGCGGAAAAACGGCGACTTTGCGGCTCTCCGGCGGCTGTCACCCGAGGGAGAGGAGCTAGATGGAGGTGGGGCGCGTGTTAGGGAGCTTCATCCTCAGGTCCGCGCAGCAAGAGGAGGCTCTTCATCGCATCTGGTACGCTCTCAGGAGGTGGCGACTGGTCTCCCGGCGGATCGTCCTCTTCCCGACGACGGCTTGTTCGTCGATCAATCGGAGATGATTTACTCGATGGATTGCAATCCTTTTATCGCGAATCGTTCAGAAATTTTAGTAGCAATGCTCCGCGAATCGCGTTGACGAGATTTTCGCCGATGATCCAGCGATTCCGGTTGCTTAATCCTTCACCGGCGATCTGCAGGAAAGTCGCGATAATCAGTTAAAAATATATGAATTTTGACTCTGGGAGGATTCGAACCCGCGGCGGTTGCCCGCGCCTTACAAGGTGGATTTAGTCCCACATTGGTTGTGCGCGGATTATTCGGGCGAATATATAGTAAAGTTAGCTTTCTAGGCAAAGTCCTCTCGCGTGTACGACCACTCCTTGCCCCACGGCCGGCTGACCACCAGTGACGTGGAAGGGGAGTGGCGCACACGTGCCCCTATCGATCCAAGCAAGCCGCTCGAGCCCTTGCTCGTGGCTACTCCCCGACTGCGCTTCCGACCCGCTTGCAGGCCCGGCTGGCCGGCGGATCCCCCCATTTTGCAATATTTTTATTTTTATTTCTTGTTCTTCATTTATCTCAAAACTAAGACTGTAAAAATCGTATAAAATCACATAATTACCCAAAAATTCACGTTAATCAACTGAAAACCACTTTTCATGCTTTAACACAAATATAAGTCTATTTATCATGAGTTAAGGCTAAAACTGTATTATTTACTAATTATTAACTCATGATAATGAAGACTTATCAATCATCTTATATGATCTAAGAATTGTCAACTGAAGACATTAAATTCAGCATTGCATGGGAGGCAACTCATGGTTTTTATTTCATTTTGTTTCATTTTCTTTAAGCTTTATTTTTCTTAGAATTTCACAGTACTTATTTTTGTATTTGTTCTTTTGAAAAAGTGTAAGAGGAGGATGTAGGATGAAGTAGAAAATTAAAAATGAGGTTGAGGTGATGTCTTTTTGAGCTTTATCATTTATGAAAATATTTTTAATGCGTAACTTTGCACATGCATGTTGTACGTGAAAATTATATTTTCTGCATATTCTATTTTGATTTTTCTGTGTCATTGAAGACAATGTCATTTTTAAGTTGGGGAGTGAAGTATTCATTATTAATTTATGCTGTAAGACGATTAAGAACATGTGTTTGCATTTTATTTAACTTAGAACAACAACTAAAAAAATAAAAATAAAATAAAATTTAGAAAAACTACAACATCTATTTTTGGTTTTTTGTCAAGAACAACATATTGTCAAAAATAGTAGACAAAAAATAGCCCAAAATTTGAAATTCTAGAGACCCTTTTCTCACATTTCAATCTCCTAGACATATATTACTGAAATTCAAAATTACAGCTATAAAGAGGATAGTTTTGATTTATTTTTGACAAATTTATCGATGCTAAAAATAGAACTGAAAACAAAAAACAAAATTGTTAGAACTATCTAATTTATAAATTCTTACATCATATTACATGAATAAAAAATAAAATCAATTAGATTGATTGATATCAAAAAATACTAGGAAGATTATTATTGAGTCAAAAGAATGATCTAGTAGCATGAAATGTTAGAATACTCCTTGGATACATGATAGATAACATGGATTTGATTTTACAGATTTTCACTTCATGATCTTGATGGATAGTATTCACTTGATATGAAAATTTTATTGATCGTTTGAGTTTAATGGAGAATTTTGCACCTTGATCTATAGGACTTATGAGGAGAAATCACTTATTTCGAAAAAAAAAAAAGAGAGAGCAATGTGACAAATCTAGAAACGAAGAGTACACATGGAGGATGTGAGACATCATTCTCATTGTCGAAAATCGTGCATAGAAAAACACTTGCTGCAAAATAAGTAGATAAAGTGAAAGCCCTGAAAATGAAGAGTACACATGGAGGGTGTGAGACATCATTCTTACTGTCAAAATTTGTCTACAAGAAAAGCTACTTATCTACTATATAAAAAAAAAATAAGACAAAATGAGGGGGACCCGCCGGCCAACTGAGCCTGCAAGCGGGTCGGAAGCTTAGTTGAGGAGTAGCCGCAAGCAAAGGCTCGAGCGGCTTGGACCAATTGGGGCACGTGTGCACCACTCCCCTTCCACATCACCGGTGGCCAGCCGGTTGTGGGGCAAAGAGTGGTCGAACACGCGAGAGAAAGGACTTTGCTTAGAAATCTAACATTAGTATATATTCGCCTGAAAAATCAGCACACAACCGATGTGGGACTAAACCTGTGTCACACCTTCCTCAAAAGAGGCAGGCAACTAACGTAGGTTCGAGTCCTTCTAGAGTCAAAAGTCATATATTTTTATCTGATTATTGTGACTTTCCTGCAGATCACCGATAAAGGATTAAACAACAAGAATCGTTGGATCATCGGCAAAAATCTCGTCAATGCGATTCACTAAACATTGCTACTAAAATTGCTGAACAATTCGCTATAAAAGGATAGCAAATCCATCAAGTAAATCATCTCCAATTGATCGACGAACAAGCCGTTGTCAGAAAGTGGACGATCCGCTGGGAGATGAGTCGCCACCTCCTGAGAGCATACCAGATGCAATGGAGAGCCTCCTCTTGCTGCGTGGACCAGAGGATGAAGCTCCTGACAGGTGCCCCACCTCCATCCAGCTCCTCTCTGTCGGGCGACAGCCGTCGGAGAGCTGCAAAGTCGTCATTTTTCCGCTCCACCGGATGACAGCCACCAGAGACGATTTGACAACCTACTTCATTGATCTCTAGACTTTGCAAGGAGATTTAGAGACTGCCCACGTCATCTTTGTCCAAGGAGAGCCTTTGAGACTGTGGACACTACACGATGATCCTCTTGAACGCTCAAGATTCCGCTGCATCGCCGACGCATTGCTGTCGTGACGTCGGAACTCTGTTTTCTTGCTTTCAACTTACTTTACGCTTCATTTAGTGATAATTTTTGTGATTTTAATTTACTAAAATATACTTTATTCAATTACAATTTTTTTGGCTTTTACAAATCTTAATTTGATCGATTAAATTGTTTGTAATCGCTTATGTAAGAATCACCGGGCAAAACTCTGTTTCTGCCCGATTCACGTTTGCCAAGCACAAATGTCATCTCAACATCCACACCCCTATTTCCCTTTTTTGTGAAATATATTTTTTTTTCATTTCTTAATATAAAATTCATAGAAAATCGTATTCATTGAGAACAATTATGAATAATTACCAAATATTATATTACATCCCTATGATCAACTTGGAAAATTACTACTATTTTTTAAAAGTTTTATTAAATTATAATTGATATATTTGTTCAGAAATACTTCTAAATATCTGAAAAAAATATATTTTTCTAGTTTTATAAATTTTTAATTTACGTGATTTAATATACAACGACTGAGTCACGTCAGGACTCATGAAATGTATTCCTTATATATTAAAAATTTTGACTACTAACATGTTACTCATGGGCATTTCATCTTTTTTACTTATGTTACTTATAGATTGACATAAAATACATGTTCTACTAAATTCCATAAAATTTCTAATGATTTTAGGCCAATAAAAATCACACTGAAAAAATTTGTAGTTGTTTTTGTCCAAAAAAATATCCTCCACAATTAGATGAATGGCACATGTTAAGAATGCTATGATATTCTTCTCTAAGAACACATCTCTTTAAAATTTGATCATTGCCCAAGTAATATAAATCAAGATTATGCCAAAAATAATTTCTAATCTTATAAAAGAAATAATATTTTTTATTATTATCCCATTGTTCTAGAAGTTTTTTAGAAATCAGAAAATTAACGATATATACATACCATGGTGATGGTTGACGTTGAGCTACCATCAGTTGTTTATCTAGATTTACATCTTGTAAGGTGTTGCATTTATTCGTGTACCACTCAATCTATAAATATGACTAGCATCAACATTCTTGAAACCTTTTTTACTTTTATTTCTAAGTCAAATTTCTACAACAATAAAATTTATATTAATAAACGTGGCTTTGTATCTTTTTTCTTTAACAAATATTTTAACACTACATGATTAGTATAAATAAATAAGACTATAAAAATCATATAAATTTGTAGAAAATTATATAATTAACTAAAAATTCACATTAATTAATTAAAAACTACTTTTTATAATTTAACATAAAGATAAGTCTATTTATTATGAGTTAAGGCTAAAACTATATTATTTACTAATTATTAACTCATGATAATAAAGACTTATCACTAAGATCTCACAGCAAGAGAGACTCATGTTCCAAGACTATCATGGAGTTTCAAGCTTAAACGAAATGATCTAATTTCACAATTAAAATATGGGGAAGAAGATGAAGCAGATCGAGTTTTTGTTTAAACGTTGTTATTATTTTGTGAAAGATAGGATCTTCTATGTGAGATGCCCTTATGGTTTATTTACAAACCATGAGTAACGTATTTGTACAAAAAATTCTACCGTAGTCTTAGAGTTTGTTGGCAGGTTTTGACGCCAATCTGGTTGAGGAAATAGTGATCGACGGGATCATTGTAAATTCTAGAAAATGTGGTAATAATCATTGTAAATTTTAGACTTAGCAAGAAAAAATTATAATATTTAACCTCACAAAGTATAATTGAGTAAGGGTCGAACCACAGAGAACTAGTAATTAATTAGAGAATTTTTTTAGTGATTTTATTTTATTTTATTTTATTTTTGACATCAAAGAAACATAAGAATGAAGTGTTAATAATATCAATCACATCTCAAAGAGGAATACCTTCCATGACAATTTAGACACTAGCCTGTAAAATGACATGTCAGTTGATTCCCCTCCTAGCTTTGAAAGAGCTAATAAATATGAGAAAGGGAAATCTACTTCTCTATAGGTATGATACTATGAATGGATGTAAACTCACTTCACTCGATGAAAAGCTGGGCCTCCCATATCTCGTAGACAAGGACACTCTCTCTCAAGATCGTTGCTTAACACTAGACAACTCCATTATCTATCCTCCTAGGTGAAAGCAGAAGTAAACACATTTCTCCTCTTGTATTAGCATAGAATATCAAGAAATGTATCAATAAAACATAATGGGATGGCTCCTATCTCTAGAGGTAAGAAGAAAAGAATGGATGGATGGCTCAAAAGACTATTTGAGGGTGGATATAAGGAAAGATATGTAAGGATATTATTTCTTCAAATGGAATATTCCCAAGATTTAGAGTGAAAGGGGGAAGATAGAAAAATGGCAAACGTAAGGGAATGCTCAACAATATTCTCAAAAGGAGAAGAAAAATAGAGACCAAATAAGCTTGATGGAGCATCTTATCAAAAGAAAGAGAAGAGATTAGAAGATGAAGAACAAAAAACTAACCATCCCCTCATGCTCTCTTTTTTTTTTTCCTTTTTTTTTTTAGGGGCTTATGTGGTGCTGAACGAGACATATAGTTCAGAAAAAAAGAGAATACTAATAATAATAATAATAAATCTGCTCAAGATAGATCCATGCCCAAGATAAGGCATAGAAGGGTCTCTTTGTCATGAGAAGAATAATGAAATGTATGCATAATCATGACAGTCAAGAGGCTTAAATCAGCTAGAGTGTATACTCCTACTCCACTTTGGATTCCATCTAATGAAGCAGCTAGAGTGTTCCTATCTATTTCACTCACATTCTTCATTATCCAGTCAGTATTTTAAACCTTTGATCTTCAACCCCCCAATTCATTTCACAAGATATTCTTACTAATTGGAGAAATCTCATATATGTTGTCTAAAATCATGTCAAATATCCTTTTGAAATGCTTATAATCTACTCAAAGAGTCTAACTTCTAAACTCATAATCTTTGGGTCAAGAAGAAGGTGGGCTCTTTGACGTGACTTAGTCATTGTATAGTAAATCACATAAATTTAAAATTTATAAAACTTAAAAATATAACTTTTTAGAAATTTAGAAGTATTTTTAAATAAATATATCAATTATAATTCAATAAAAATTCTAAAAATAGCAATAATTTTTCAAGTCAATCTCAAGGATGTAATATAATATCTGATAATTATTCAGAATTTTCCTTAAAGAATACTATTTTTTATAAATTTTATACTAAAAAATAAAAAGAAATATATTTAAAATTCACAAAAAAGGGAAATAAGGGTGCGGACTTCAGGATAACATCAGCTCCCAACGAACATGAATCAAGTAGAAATAGAGTTCCACCCAACATTCTTACATGAGCGATTACAGATGATTTAATTGATTAAATTAAGATCTATAAAAATTAGAAGAATCGTAATTGAATGAAGTATATTTTGGTAAATTTAAATCACACAAATTATCATTAAATGAAGCAAAAATTAAGTTGAAAGCAGGAAAACAGAGTTCCGGCTTCGCAGCGACAATGCATCGGTGATGCACTTGAATCTTGAGCATTTGGGAGGATCGTCATGTAGTGTCCAAGGCCTCGAAGACTCTCCTTGGACAAAGACAATGTGGGCAATCTCTAGATTTCCCTGCGAAGTCTAGAGATCAATGAAATGAGTCGTTGAATCGTCTCTGGCGGTTGTCAACTTTACGACTCTCTGGCGACTGTCACCCGACGAAGAGGAGTTAGATAGAGGTAGGGCACGTGTCAGAGAGCTTCATCCCCAAGTCCGCACAATAAGAGGAGGCTCTTCATCGCATCTGGTACACTCTCAAGAGGTGGCAACTCGTCGCTCGACGGATCGTCCTCTTTCTGATGACAGCTTGTTCATCGATCAATCAGAGATGCTTTACTCGAGGGATTCGCGATCATGTTATCGTGAACCATTCAGTAATTTTAGTAGCAATGCTCTGCGAATCGCATTGACGAGATTTTCGCTAATGATCCAACGATTCTAATTGTTTAATCCTTCACCGACAATCTATAGAAAAGTCGTGATAATCAGATAAAAAATATAAGTTTTGACTTTAGGAGGATTCAAACCCGTGTTGGTTGCCCCGCCCTTTCTAAGAAATGTGCAATGTAGGTTTAGTCCCACATCGTTTGTACACCAAAGTTTCAGAAAAATATATAGTAATGTTATATTTACAAGCAAGTCTCTTTCTCATGCATATATGACTACTCCTTGCTCCACAGTCGACTGGCCACTAGTGACGTGGAAGGGAAGTGGCGCACACATGCTCCTATCGGTCCAAGCCGCTCAAGCCCCTGCTCACGACTACTCCCTGACTATGCTTTTGGCCTACTTGTGGGCCTAGCTAGCCGACGAGTCTTCCTCATTTTGTTTTATTTTTATTTTAATTTATTTTTCTTCATTTATCTCAAAAGTAAAATTATAAAAATTATATAAATTTGTATAAAATCATATAATTACCTAAAAATTCACACTAATCAAGTGAAAACTACTTTTCACACTTTAACATAAATATAAGTCTATTTATCATGAGTTAATACTAAAACTATATTATTTACTAATTATTAATTCATGATAATAAAGACTTATCACTCTTCGAGGTGGAGTTTAAAATTCCCAACTCCCAAAAATGTATGAAGAAAGAGGGAACATAGCTCAAGAAATATAGACTATAAAATACTCCCCCCCCCCCCCACTTAATTCATGCATAATCCTCAATGCAATGAAAATAAAATATTTAGGGGTTTTATGAAATGCAAACTCAGGGGGGTAACTCTCTTTCTTCATATCTTACTCTTATTGTGGTGATGTTGTGCCTCTTAGTGCTTGTTTTATTTCTAGAAAGCAACTACTTGAAAGTAGAAACTAAAGGACATAAAAAGAAATAAGACAAAAGAAAGAGAACCAAAAGAAAAAAAAACTAAAGAAAATAGATGAAAGGAGCTACTAAGGTTCTTTAAATAGGTTTTCTTTCTCATGTTTAGGAGGCTCCTCAAGTAAGATAGTTTCATTAGTATGAAGTGACTCTACTTCTAGATATGGCTTGAGTCTTTGTCAATTGACTTTGAAGCTTTTTCCTATTTCTAGATCAAAAATTAAAATAGCATCACATTCATAGATCTCTAAAATAATATATAGACCATCCCATCTAGATTTAAGTTTTCCAAGATATATTTTAAGGTGAGAATTGAAAAGCCAGACTTATTGTCCTTCTTTGAATGATCTTCTTCTCAAACTCTTATCATGGAAGGTCTTCATCTTGGCTTTGTAGATTCTTGAGTTCTCATAAGCTTTCTCTCTTATTTTCAACAATTCAAGTAGTTGAAGCATTATGTGTTTACCTGCATCATCTAGAAAAAGATTTTGTTTCTTTATGGCCCAAAATGATTTATACTCTAACTCAACTGAAAGATGACAAGCTTTACCATATATTAATCTAAAAGGAGACATACTAAGAGGAGTCTTGTATGCTATTCTATAAGCCCATAATGCTTCATCTAACTTTCTTGACCAATCTTTACCATTAATCCTTACCACTTTTTGTAAGATTTTCTTCTCTATTGCACAGTTCAACTGATGTGGTTCTAAGTCATCATTAGAATCATCAATCAATTTTAATAATTTTTAGAACCAGAAACACAAAAAAAAAAAATTAAATAGATATACTGGTGAGCTAGGTCGTCTCCTTAGGGAAGACTTTTAAAATATATTTTTTTATTCTATAATTTAAATAATTATAAAATTGATTAGAAGAATTAAATTGATATTCAAAGCAATAAAGGAAATAAATAATAAATAAATGTAAATATAAATTTATAAATTGAATAAATTAAAATTAGTAAACTAAATATTCTTTGGAATGATAAAAATAGAAGAAAAACAAGTAAAGAAATAATTAAATGTAAGAAAATAAAATTATTTCACAGATTAAATAAGAAAAAAATAAAAACTCTATTAAAAATCAAACTTACAACCCTTAGAATGCATGGCTTGATGTCAACCTTTGGGTAGCACTTCTCAATCTTGCATCTAGTTCAACAAAATGGATTTAAGGTGAAAAAGGTAGAAGAGAACAATCAAAATCAGCAATGCACTCTTCAGATTCCCTTAGAATGAATGGCTTGATGTCGACCTCTAGGTAGTGTTTCTCAGTCTTGCATCTACTTCAGCAGAATGAATTTAAGGTGAAAAGGGTAGAATGGAATAATCAAAATCAACGATGCACTCTTCATATTTCTATTTTCGCATGAGAAAGAAGAACAATATTTTCTCTCAAGAACAACTCAGAAAAGGCTCCCTTTCTATCCCCTCTTCCTCCTTTTTGTACCCCAGATCTGCAAATCACATTTTCTATTTTGACTTCCTATTTTTTACTATATTTTGCTAATTTTTCTCTATTTTTTTGGCATTTTCTCATTTTCTCACACAATAGTAATCAATATTATCTATTTTACCAGCTGATAATCAATATTTGAACATATACCCTTCTACAATGCGAGAGAATAATTGATATCATCTATTTTAGTAGATGATAATTGATATTTGTAAATGTATTCTACGACACGTGGTTCGATGAAGATCATTGGATCCTCGCACCGTCATTTTGCTCTGAAGAGGGGGACGCGGCCCAATAATCACTATTAGATATCCATCGGCTCTTGCTTCTTTTGCACATGCTTTATCGGGATTTGTGTGCCTCGGATGCCATGATAGCCATGTTGGATTAGCAATTACTTTTGATGCCTCAATGGCTGCGATGTGGCATCTCTTGGATCGTCGGATCTACTAGTAGTCACCGTTGGATCTTGGAGCTACTTTTTTGTATGACGGTGGCAGTGACATGGCTTCATGCGATGCGTCGGATCTGACCACTATGATCGCATTACCATCAGATCTGAAAAGAATAACAAGATACATTTAGTCTCATATCAAAAATATTATGCGAGTATTATCATATATAATAATGATGGCCTCATATTATATTTATTTTATACCTAAAAATTTTAGAAAATTTGCATAAAATATATTTCAATTAATCATAAAAATCTAGCACATTAAAATTTCATTTAAAAATAAAATAAATAAGAATTAAGCCTCAATATATGAAATAAATTATCATCAGGTTTCTTTTTATTCATAAAATATCAATTTAAATTAAGATTTAGAGAGGTTTATTTAAATAACAAATAAAATAATTAACATGATAACTTGTGAAATCTTTCTCAAATATATATTATTCTCCCTGATTTGATAATAGATTAACATATAGTTTTCACAAGTCATCATCAATTTGCCCATTGGCTTGTGGATGATAAGGAGTAGTGATCATGTGCTTCACATCATACTTTTTCAAAAAATGTCTAAATCTAGAGTTAAAAAAATGTGAGTCTCCATTACTAATAATAGCTCTAGGACATCCATATCTAGTAAAAATAAATTTTTCAGTAAATTTCACAACTACTTTACTATCACATGTCCTAGTAGCTATAGACTCTACCCATCTAAAAACATAGTCCACTCCCATAAGAATATATTCATTCCCATCTGAATTAGAAAATGGACCCATAAAATCAATTCCCCATAGATCAAAATTTCAACTTCGATAATATGTTTGAGGGACATATGATCTCTTTTATCAATACTTAAGGCTAATTGACAAGGTAAACATTTAAGATAAAAGTCATGGGCATCTCTAAATAATGTAGGCCAATAAAATGCACTTTCTAATACCTTGTGTGTCATGATTTTTGAAAAAAAATGTCCTCCACCTGGTTTTGAATGGTAGCATTATAACACCTATTTATGTTCTTCTTTTGGTACACATCTCCTGAGGATAAGATCAGCACCTTGGTAAAATAAAGCAGGTTCATCCTAAAAATAAAATCGAATATCCTTGAGGAATTTCCTCCTCTTATTATTGCCCCACTCCTTTGGAACTATTCCTAAAACAAGATAGTTAACATAATGTGCAAACCAAGGTAATTTCTTCTCCTAAATATTCAATAAATGTTCATTAGGAAATGAATCATAAATAGGTGAAGAATCTACTACATTAATCCTAGAAAGATGATCAGCAACTACATTCTCACAACCTTTCTTGTCTTTGATCTCTATATCAAACTCGTGTAAAAGTAAAATCCATTTAATTAGCCTCAAGTTAACTTCTTTCTTATTAAGTAAATGCTTCAAAGCAACATGATCAGAATAAATAACTACTTTACTTCCAAGTAAATAAGACCTAAATTTATTTAAACTAAAGACAACAGCTAGTAACTCCTTTTCAGTAATAGAATAATTAAGTTGAGCATCAATCAAGATTTTACCAGCATAGTAAATGGCCAAGGGCTTCTTATCCTTCTTTTGCCCCAAAATTGCTCCCACTGCAAAATCTAAAGCATTACACATTATTTCAAAAGGTAAACTCCATTCTAGAGCTTGAAGAATAGGTGCATATATGAGTGCTTATTTTCTTTCTTGAAATTCAGTTTTAGCACTATCATCTAAAATAAAATCAACATCTTTAGAAAGAAGGTTAGTGAGAGGTCTAGAAATTTTTGCAAAATCTTGAATGAACCTCCTTTAGAAATCTGTGTGGCCAAGAAAGCCCCTAAGTTGTTTTAGGTTGATGGGAAGAGGTAGATCTTTAATTATCTCAATCTTGATTTTATCTACCTCCAGCCTATCCTTACTTTGTGCTTGATAAGTCTTCATTATCATGAGTTAATAATTAGTAAATAATATATTTTTAGCCTTGACTCATGATAAATAGACTTATATTTATAATAAATTATGAAAAATAGTTTTTAGTTGATTAATGTAAATTTTACTAATTATGTAATTTCTATGAATTTATATGATTTTTATAGTCCTATTTTTGAGATAAAAAATTAAAATAAAAATATAGCAAAAAGGGGGGACCCGCTGGTTAGTTGAGCTTGCAAGCAGGTCGGAAGTATAGTTAGGAGTCTCAAGCAAGGACTCAAGTGGCTAAGACTAATGGGGGCATGTGTATGTCACTCTCCTTCCACGTCACCGGTAGGCAATCGACTATAGGGCAAAGAATAATTGTACATATAGGAGAAAGGGACTCATTACTTCCAAATATGATACTACTATATATTTATCTAAAACTTCAACACACAAGTGATTTTGGATTAAATCAATAGTCACATCTTCCCTAGAATATTTTTGAAATTTTAAATACCTAAACTATTCTTTTGTTACAATAGATATATATCATGATGACATCACTTAATAAAGGTATTATAGTACTTATTTCAATCTCTCTCATGCAAGCAAACAATCGACACAAGTTCGAATCCTCCTAGAACCAAAACTCATATTTTTATTTGATTATCTTGACTTTCTTGTATATTGTTAGTGAAGGATTAAGTCATCAGAATCGCTAGATCATCAGCAAAAATTTCATCAACGCGATTTGAGGAGTATTGTTACTAAAATTGTTAAACGATTCGCGATAAAAGGATTGTGAATCTATCAAATAAATTATCTCTGATTGATCGACAAATAAGTCATCGTTGAAAAGAAGACAATTTGTTGGGAGATAAGTTGTCACCTCTAAAGAGCGTATCAGATGTGATGAAGAGTATCTTCTTATTATGTAGACATGAAGATGAAACTCTTTAACTGCCTCACTTCCATCCAGCTCTTCTTCGTCAGGTGACAACCGCCGGAGAGCTACAAAGTTGTCATTTTCTGCTCCACCGGGTGACAGTCGCCGAAGATAATTCAATGGCCCATTTCATTAATCTCTAGACTTTGTAAAGAGATATAGAGATTGTCCACATCATCCTTATCTAAGGAGAGCCTTTGAAGCTATGGACACTACACGATGATCTCCCCCAAACGCTCAAGATTTTAATGCATCGCCATTGCAATGCCAAAACTCTGTTTTTTACTTTTAACTTATTTTTTACTTTTTTTAATGATAATTTATGTACTTTAAATTTATCAAATTATATATCATTTAATTACGATTCTTCTGAATTTTACATATCTTAATTTGATCAATTAAATCATATGTAATTACTTATGTAAGAATCACTAGATAAAACTCTATTTTCACCCAATTCGCATTTGTCGAGCGTTGACGTCATCCTGACATATGCACCCTTATTTCTCTTTTTCATGAATTTGAAATAATTTTTTATTTTTATTTCTTAGTATAAAATTCATAAAAACTTGTATTCTTTGAAAAAAGTTGAAAATTACCCGATATTATATTACAATCATGTGATCAACCTCAAAATTACTACTATTTTTGAAAGTTTTATTAAATTAGAATTGATATATTTATTCATAAATATTTTTAAATTATTATTATTTTCTAGTTTTATAAATTTTAAATTTGTGTGATTTACTATACAATGACTAAGTTATATTAGTGTTCCAACACTATGCCTCCTTGCACCATAAAATGAAATTTTTTTCATCATAAAACTAAGTTTTTTTCAATGTAAATTGCAAGAACATAAGTCAAAAAATATAACATTCATTCATCTTTGAAATGTGGTAGGGGCATTGCATAACCCAAATCACATTCTTTAAAAGCATTTGTTCCTACCAGACATGTAAAAGTTATTTTCTCTTGATCATCAAGATGAATATTTACTTGATTATAGCCTAAATAACCATCAAGAAAATAAAATAAATTTTGTCCTAAAATTTTTTCCAAAATCTGATCAATAAAAGGCAACAGATAATGATCTTTCTTAGTCACAGAGTTTACTTTTCTATAATCAATGCAAACTCACCAACTAGTGACTAATCTCTTTTGAATTTCTTCACCTTTATCATTGATTTCAACAGTTAATGCAAACTTTTTAGGAACCATATGAATAGGACTCACCCAAGTACTATCAAAAATAAGATAAATAATATCAGCATCCAACCATTTCAAAATTTCTTTTTTTAGGAATTCAAGCATATGAGGATTTAGTCTACATTGACTTTCTCTACATGGCTTGGATCCTTCTTCTAAAAAAATTATATGTTCACACACATGAGAATATATCCATCTAATATCATCAAAAGTCCAGCCTATGACATGTTTATGATCTCTTAAAACCTTCAAGAGATCATATTCCTACTCATAGGTTAAACTTGAAGAAATGATAACAGGATATGATTGGTTAGAGTCCAAAAATGTATATTTCAATGAAGAAGGCAATGGTTTAGTTCAAGAATTGGGTGAAAAGGGTCTCCTTTAAATCTAAGAGAATTAGTTGGATCTTCTTTTGGATTCAAATCCTGAATCTCAAGAAGATATCCTATTGGTTCCTCATCATTCTCATCAAGGAGCTCACATGTACCAAGTTCTTTATGAAATCCTTTGGAATTTTCAAAGAACTTAGTCATATTTAATTCCACTTTCTCCTCTCCAACCTTTAACTCAATAGTTCCCTTTTCCCAATCTGTGATTGCTTTTACTATGGCAAGGAATGGTTGACCCAAAATTATAGTCGATTGACTAAAATTCTCAATCACATTCATATCTGCCATAATAAAGTCAACATGGAAGGTACATTGCTGAATTCTAACCAAGATCCTTAAATTTGGAAGGTACATGGAAGGTACATGGAAGAGTCTTCCTTGTGGCTGTCTCACAGATCCATCAGCTACTAATAAATCTATGCAAATAGGCTCAAGATCCTTAAATTTAAACTTATCAAATAAAACTTTAGGCATAAGATTTACACTAACTCCAGAATCTAAAAGTGATTTAGGAAAAAGCATGCTATTGATTTCACATTTAATAAAATGAGCTCCAGGATATTTTTCTTTAGGCATAGAATCCAAAAGAAAGGAACTAATATTTTCAGACAATTGAACCTTCCTTTGAGTTCTCTTAGGTGTGCAAACATTTTTAACATATTTTGAGATAGGGGGAACACATTTAAGCACATCTTCAAGATGAAAAATAATAGTTGGACCCTTAAGGGCCTCAATCATTCTTGTTTCATGATTTGATGAGGGTTTAGAAAAATTCAAAACACTTGGAAAAAGAATAGGAGATTGATACTTAAAGGGTTGAGGCTCTTTCTTTTCATTTTGAGCCTCTTCCTCTTCATTTCTCTCCAAAACCTTTTCCCTTATTTCTTCCTTTTCTAACTTCTTATAAGGATTAGGAAGTTCTTTGCCACTTCTTAACTTAGAAATGGCATGAGCTTTCACTTCCTCATAATATCTGTCTCATCGTAAATCATGTCACAAGATTCATCATCACAATCAATAAAAGATACATTTCTAGGATTTATAAGAGGTTGAGTTGGAAATCGACCTTTATGGGAGTTTATTTCAACTCCCATACCTCTTCCTTGGTCTGGTTGCCCTCTCTTCAAGTTGTCAATCTCGTTCATCATCTCTTTCTTCATCTCCTGTATAAAGCTCATCATCATGTTCTTTTATTGTTCCATCATCTGCAAAATAAATTCATTTTGATTAGATTCAGAATTTTGAGCAGGTTGAGGAGGTTGAGGTTGATAGTGAGGTGGAGCTTAATATTATTGTTGAGGTTGTGGAGGGTAATAATTTGTCCTTCGCTTAAATTGAGCCTTGGGGCCATAGTTGTAGCTTGAACTTGCTTGGTCTCCTTGCCCACTCCATTGCCCTTGGTTGTACCCCATAGCATTCACCTCTTCTTCTTCTTTACAAGATCCATCTTCATGATCTTTGCTATGACAAAGAGAACAAATAATAGCTTTAATGAGAGGAGAGTTAGAATTAAGTACCTTGTTCAAATCTGAAGTCAATTCATCTAATTTCTTATTTGTCTCTCTCAAGCTATGATTAGTCTGATCTCTCTCCACTTCATCCTCTCTTCCTGCAACATTCAGAATTCCTCCTTGCCTTTGGTTCATAGTTCTCCCATTTTGCCTTAGACCTGCATGTTGCATATCAATTTCTGTAATTTTCTCCATTAGAGCATAAACTTCATCCCCATAAGCATGATAGAAAGATCCTTCTGCAGCCAAATCAACTCTACTCCTTAGAGCATCTGTTAGACCATCATAGAAAATCTGAGCTAGTTGAGAAAGTTCAATTCTGTGATGAGGACATTTCCTTATCAAAGTTTTGAATCTTTCCCAACCTTCACTAAGTGATTCATAATACATTTGGCTGAATTTTTGAATTTCTCTTCTAGATGTCTTTCCAAGAATAAAATTTCTGTAAAAATCTATTCTCAAGTTCAATCCACTCATCAAAAACAACTCCTAGACTTTTATACCATTCTTTAGCTTTTCATTTTGTTCTTGAATATAAATACGGCACACTAGATGGAAAGTACTCCTTAAGAGGTTGTTGCTCTGTGCTTAACCCCCATGCATTTGCAAGTCAGTAGATACATCATATGGTTGGTTGTATATGTATGACCATTGCACAAAGATCATCTGATCCCCATACCTCCACAAGCCTTTCAATCAAGAGGACCTTCAATTAACTTAGGGCAGATTGTTCCGATTCACACTTTCTTCATCTTTAAATTTTCAGTTGTAGGTCTAGGAATATTTTGAGCAGAACATATGATATGAAACTCATCTAAAAAGTTAAGAGGGTCATCATTAGATAAACCATAAAATGTAAGAAGAGAATTCATTAAAGCATTATCATAATTGAAGACTACTCCCTCTTGAAGATTGATGTTGAAGTTGGTTTGCTTCAAAATCCTAGCTGGGTTTCACTTCTCAAGCATAGTTTGCTTCCTGATTTGTTGAGGTGGATTTTTGTTTCTTTGATCAGCCATTTCTTCAATTGTAGCTTTAGTTATGTCCTCTGAAATGTTAGTAGATGAATCTACTTTCTTTGACCTAGTGTTGACCATTAGTGGGCAGAACAGTAAGAAAAACTTTATCAAAAATAAAATATTCTTGCACTCAAATAAGTGTTAAAATGATAATAAATAAATAAATAAAATTCACTAACTAATAACATTGGCTCCCCAACAACGGTGCCAATTGATTATCTAGAAAGTGTGGTAATAATCATTGTAAAGTCAAGACTAAACAACAAAAATTTATAATATTTAATCTCACAAAGTATAACTAGGAATTAATCAGAGAATTTGTTTAGTGATTTTTTATTTTTATTTTATTTTATTTTATTTTATTTTATTTTATTTCATTTCATTTCATTTCATTTCATTTCATTTCATTTCATTTCATTTTATTTTATTTTATTTTATTTTATTTTATTTTATTTTATTTTATTTTATTTTATTTTTACTTTTATTTGTATTTTTATTTGTATTTTTAATTTTAATTTTTTTTTAATTTTTATTTTTATTTTTTATTTTTTATGTTTTATTTTTATTTTTTATGTTTTATTTTTATTTTTTATGTTTTATTTTTATTTTTTATGTTTTATTTTTTATTTAATTTATTGTATTTTTAAACAAGAAGAAAACCCTAAAATCAGAATAACCTTACCTTAGCCAGCACTCTGGCGGCACCGGCGACGGGCACGCGAGCGCCCAGGCGATGAACTCACGGGCGGTGATGCGTCAGCGAGTGGCGTGCGGATGGTGACGTGTCGGCGAGCAGCGCGAAGGTGATATGCCGGCGACAGTGCACCAGTGCACGAGCGGTGACACCCCCTGCAAGCAGTGCACATGTGGTCGCACGTCGGTGAGTGTGACATGGCGATGACGCGTTGGCAAGCCTCGCGCGGGCGATGCGCGTCAGCGAGCGTCGTGCAGACGATGATGCGCCGGAGAACGGCGCACGGGTGATGACGCGCCTGCGAGCAGTATGCAAGCAGTCACACGTCGGCGAGCGTCACGCGGTCAGTGACATGTCAGCAGGCGGGCAGCAGTCAGCGAGCAGGTGGACGAGCGCGCAGGCAGCAGGCATATGGGCAATGACGCACCGGTGAGCGGTAGAATGTTTCGTCTGTAACTTTTGCTGCAGAATGAAATTTTGGGCGTGGTTTGCGACGTTCAAAAGCACTAGATCTTGGCTCTCACACCAGTGATAATCAAGCCAGCGAAATCAAATGAGGAAGGTAAATCTTTGAGAGATTACTCCGTTCCTCTAGTGTCACATCATTTCTGACCCAAGGTAGGAATCTCTTTCTTCCTCCAAATCAGTTGATCTGATCCGCTTCTTCACTTAACCTGACACTCAAAGAGGAGAGAGTGGATCCAAGAAACTGCTGCACTAAGGCTGCCAACATAGAGTTTGGGACAAAATCAGGGATGCTCTAAAATGAGGGAGGAAGAGAGTATAAATAGGGTTCCTGATTTCTCAAAGTGAGAAGCCCACAATGTGTGGTCTCTCCTTAATTTCAAATTTGGGTCTTTCATGTTGGCCCGTGAACATGGGTTGACTGCCTCTCTCCACATTTAATATTCAATTTATCTAAGTCCTGAAATTCAATAAAACTCTAAGAAAAATGTGAGAATAATCCACTTGATTTAAAAGAATCAAGTGGGGTTAGTTCACAAGTCAATAAATATCCAAAATAAGGACTAGATAAATAATGCATGTTTATTTCATTTTAATCATAAATAAGTAATAATTACCATGCCGTGAAAATATAAATGATTAATTAAAGCATAAAAACATGTAACTATCACTACATATTTGATTTCATCATCTCGCTGCCCGCGGCTACTACGCCGTCGCCCCCGACCTCCACTACGGCGACACCGACGCGCAACCATCCTTGGAGGCATACTCCATCTTTCACCTTGTCGGCGACCTCATTGCCCTCGTCGATGCCCTGGGCCAAGACCAGGTGTAAGGAACCCACCCTTCCTCTTCAATCATCCAACGAGAAGACGAATCTAGAAAGAACTACTCCACGAGAGATAAAAAAGCTCTACGACGCAGGTGTTTGTCGTGGGGAATGACTAGGGGGTGATGGAATATGACGTACCTATATTCGTCATCAATGCGGAAATTGACGAATGTCTAATGATCTTTCTCCTCTTTTCTTCTGTTCGATCCCCACAATCAAAACCTCTCTCCTATGAATGGAGTGTCTCTGTATGAGTTGTGTTGTTATGTTGTGTTGAAACCCCAAGGGCAAACATATATATAATACACTCTATAACCATATTATAGTTTTGCCCTAAATAAATCCTATTTACAATATACATAGTTATCTTTTAAAGCTTCACTCTACATTGAGACTAGAAGAGTAGAATAACTCATCATAGCCTTAACCATTTCTTTAAGCATAATGTTTCATCTTTCTGCAACCTCATTCATGTTAGGCTTGCCTAGTATTGTGTACTGAGATATTATGTCATGTTCCTTAAGAAACAACGTAAATAGTCCCAACATTTGTCCTTTCTTAGTGTCTATCATAGTATTCTCCACCTCTATCTAATTTGACACTTTTATAGTTTCTTAATTGTTTCCGTACCTCTTTCTTAAAATCTTTGAACATGTCAAAGACTTTAGATTTATCATGTATAAGATAAAGATATACAAAGTTTGAATAATCATCAATAAAGATTACAGAATACTTCTAGCATGTATATGAATCAAATCTAATGTTGCCCCACATTTTATGACTTTTTTTTTAATGTATTAATTAAATTTTTTTAATGTAATTGACACATATATCAAGATTTATGAAGTCTAAAGATCTTAAAAGACCTTCTTTCACTAATCTCTCCACCCTCCTTTGGATATGTGTCCCAATCTCTTATGCCACAAAATTATAGAGTTCTCATAAGTTCTATTCCTTTTATTCGAGCAATTTAGAAAAATATATTCAGAAGAAATATTAAGCTTAAATAATCTACCAATTATACCAATCCTAATGGGAATGTTTTCTCTAGTTAAAGACATGCCTGATGCATGCATCAAGAATGACGTGATAATTGTCTTTAACTAATTTGATAACATATTCAAATTTCGTTGAAATGATATAATATAAAAGTAGTTCAAAAATAAAGTTTCTCAAGACTTCAAAGTAATTATATAATTTCCCACTAACTTTACGTGTGAATGCTTATGATTTTAAAATACGACATACAATTCACACTCAATTTAAGGCCGCCTTATAAGAAACCCCAGCAAGGTGGTTGAAATGTGCACAATGACACTTGAGTCAATCCACCAACTCAAATTAGGAACAAAAACTAGATTTTGATTCATGACTCATGACAAAGACCTCATTATCTGAATTTTGTTTGATTAACCATTCCTAGTGCTTTAGGCATTCTTTTTTCAGATGACCATGTTTCTTGTAGAAGAAGCACTTAACTTTAAAGATGGAGCTTTTAGCCACACCTCCTTCGTACTTCTTCTCTGAAGATTTCTTGATCATCTTGTCCTTTGATGAATGCTTTTTTGATCCGTGACTTACCATATTCACAATATTTATCTTGTTCAGTTGACTAACAACTTGCCTTTCTTCCTCTTGAACACACTTGATCATCATATCATTCATTGACCATTCATCCTTATGTGTGTTATAAGAGACCTTAAAAAGATCATATTTCACTGGTAATGTCTACAAGATGTAATGGACCAAAAAAGTCTCAGGAATATTAATAAATAAAACTAATTGCACATACATAAAAGTCTAAGAAATATAGTACCATTGAGTACTTACATTCTCCATAGTTAATAAATAAATACAATCATTTCACTCATTTAGATATAAGCATAACAATCTCACATTGGTGAGTATTATTAATCTCATTTATCTAAAGACAAAGTTGAATGCTATCAGAAATTAGATTTAAAATCTACTTGATGTAATCAATATAAATAATTAGTCTTACTTGGTGTCATGTCGGTGAGGAGCACAAGTTGCTCAAGTTAAATGAATAATTACATGGCATTCAGTATATTTTTACAATTAGACTGAACAAATTAATATTCTATCTTGATAGTCCAATGCATATTGTATGTCATATATCTAATTATTGTCTAAAATTCAAAAAGACCAATAACATGGATATAGACAATAAATTAGAACATTTAAACTCAATATGCTACTAATGAACACATAAAATAATAAATAAAACACGTAAAAAATAATAAAAATATACATTTATTAATAATAATTTATAATAATCGACATCATATGACGTCATCACCGGGCGGCCGTCTTCGCGATCCGTGCGAGCCGGTTCGCATGGCGAAACATCCATCGCCCTAATGGTTACTGTAACGGCGCATCAAGAGGTGAATCACCGCCTCCCACGAACCGCTTCGTCGGCCCAGGAGGCGGCGCTCGCGTCGAGGCCCTATCGCCCCAGACGGTCGCGACGCTCCACCCCTCTCCGCCAATGTCGGCGGTGGTGGAGCACACCGCGGAGACATGGAGTGCAACCGCCACCGCGGCAGTGGTACGGAGCCGAAGCCAACCGGAGGCAGCATCGACCCACCCGGCATTACCGCCCCCATCCTCTGCCAGTCGAGCCCACCGGTGAAAACGGGGCCCGCTGCGATGAGGACCGCCGCTGCGACCAGCATGACAGTGGTGGGTATTGGACTGCAGTTGTGGCAACCCATGCCTCGACGACGTACGACGGTCGTCTGCGTGCTCACATTTTACTGCCTAAGGCCACTTTACCGCAGCTTTCCTGGTCGCCAACGCAGCCAGTGGCTGCCTTGGTCTACACCTCATATGGACGACACGGTCGCCTATTCGGCTGCTTCCATCGTCTCAGCCTCACAGGCAACGTATGGTGTGGTCCCCATGCGGCGACTTAATGGCTGACTGTGGTTCTCATATGCCTCATAACGAAAGTCGCATATAACAATCAGAACAGAGAGGAGAAAACCTTATCTGATACCACTTAATGGAATATGGCGTACCTGTATTCACCATCAATGCGGAAAATGATGAACATCTTATGATCTTTCTCTTCTTTTCTTTTGTTTGATCCTCACAATCAGAACCTTTCTCCTATGGATGGACTCCGTACGAATTGTGTTGTGCTGTTGTATTTAGACCCCAAGGGCAGCCCTTTATATAATACACCCCATAACCGTATTACAGTTTTGCCCAAATAAACCCTAATACTACAAATTATTTATAATTACATCAATATCTAATTTGATTAGAAAAGTCACCTTGATACAGTCTGACTCCAACAGGGGGCCCCTGTGGCGTGGCATCTTTGCCTGTTCAGGCCAGAGAGTGAAGTCATTGGTAAACACCAGCGTCGCCTTCTCGCCGCGCAACCCTAACGCTAAGCCGATCGACTCCTTCCGCTCCATCTACGGAGAGGATTACTATGTGGTCAGGTTTCAAGTTCGAGAACCCACCTTATCTATTATTTCTCCTTCCATACTCATCATCGACTCGTAACCCGTGGTCTTGCGTGAATATTCGAGGAAAACCGGTAAGTTTAATGTGGATGTCTGACCGTTCTGATGAGTTTTTATCCTATTTTCTCCGAAGATTTAGTGAACCGCCGGCCGCCGTGTTTGCAGATAGATGTCCTCACTTATTTTGAATCTTTCTTCTCCGTTCCTCGTTTTTGTGGGTTTTCAGGAACCCAGCGAAGCAGAGAACTTGTTTGCCAAATTCGGGGCGGAATTTGTGCTCAGGAAGTTCTTCGCGTGTCGGACACCTGGTCCGTTCTTCTTGACGAGGAGTTCGGGGACTCGCCGGACGACCAAGTTCCTCTGCCTTCTAGGCTGTCAGAGGAAGATATTCGCTATTTTGCGGACAAATTCGACGAGACCGGGTTCCCCGGGGGAATCAATTACTACCGATCTCTGGACAGGTGACTTGCCTAAATCAACCGCTATTTTAGAGTTAGCGGCATGATCATCTCCGTATCGCTCTCCAATTTTCGAATTTCTCTGCAAATCGGAACGGTGCAGGAATTGGGAGCTGTCGGCGCCGTGGACGGGGGCACAGGTCAAAATGCCCACCAAGTTCATCGTCGGCGATCTCGACCTGACCTACCACAACCCGGGTGTCCAGAACTTCATCCACAGGGGCGGGTTCAAGAAGTTCATCCCCTTGCTGGAGGAGGTGGTGGTGATGAAGGGAGTCGACCACTTCATCAACCAAGAAAAGCCCTGTGAGACCACCGACCACATCTTCGACTTCATCCGGAAGTTGTGACGCAATTCCTTTTCCCCTGCTCGGCCGGAGCACGGCGCCATTAATTCGAATAAAGCTCCCTTCTTTAATCTGTTAAAGGGCATTGACCCACATCCTGGCTGTAATGTGGGTCGACCCCATTCTTCACTCTAAGTCCAGATCTGATCAGATGGGCTGACCTGATCTTCCATGGGGTCCGATGGATTAAGAATCTCCCAGTCGATTATCGATCCCGTCGGCGTTAGCCAGTCTTAAACCAGATTGGCCGAGCTAAAAAATATATACTTGCTTCAAGTAGGCCGTAATAGAACCTGAGGGGCGCTTGAGGGCACGGGCCGGGGGTGGGAGGCCAGAATGGGGACGCAGGCGGATAGACTTCAGGCGGGCCAGGAGCAAGATAGAAAGAGAGATAGAGAGAGAAAGTCGACTTGGAAAACTGTAACAGTCCCGCGAACCCAGAAGCTACTGTCGTCTCAGCCGACACCGCCGAGAACAGTCGCTAGACGGAACTGGGAAGGGAGGGGGGGAAGATGGAGGGCGTTCGCCACCGGACGGTGCCCGTGAACGGGATCAGCATGCACGTGGCGGAGAAGGGAGAGGGCCCTGTGGTTCTCCTCCTCCACGGCTTCCCCGAGCTCTGGTACTCGTGGCGCCACCAGATCGCCGGCCTTGCCTCCCGCGGCTACCGCGCCGTCGCCCCCGACCTCCGCGGCTACGGCGACACGGAGGCGCCCGCCTCGCCGGCCGCCTACTCCGTCTTGCACCTCGTCGGCGACGTCGTCGCCCTCATCGACTCCCTGGGCCAAGACAAGGTCAGATACCCATCAGTAAGCATCATCGATTAACAGAATTTGCAAGAAACAAATAAATCTGTCAATATATTCAGGTGTTCGTGGTTGGGCACGACTGGGGGGCCATTGTGGCGTGGAATCTCTGCTTGTTCAGACCCGACAGGGTGAAGGCGCTGGTGAATCTGAGCGTGCCCTTCCGCTATTACTACTCTGACCGGAAGCCGGTTGAGTCCATGAGGGCTCTGTTCGGCGACAAATACTACATCTGCAAGTTCCAGGTGTGCACGCTGCAATCCAACGAGCAAAAGTTGTTGCCGTCCTTCGGACCGATGTGATTATTCTATATCGCGCTTTAATCCAGTAGAAACTCCAGACATCATAGACATCCTTCATCCTATGCAGTCGTAGGTTGCACTTTATAATCATCCAGAGCGTGCTGAACGGTACTGTCGACTTAACAATCGAAGTAAAAAAAAAATTGGCTCGTTTCCCGGAAATAAAGCGGCCGCTTAAGTCCATGCTGTGCAGTCAGCACGAGCAGGAAATACCTTGGGACTTAAATCCGTTCTTAACCCATCATTCTCTGGGTCAGCTAAGTCAAAGAAACCCTGCAACTAGCCCGGTGCAAAGCAATACCTGTAGGTGGGATGCCACCAAATCCTTTGTGCTCCTGATGATTTAGATGAAGATGCCTTTATATTATGCACTTTCTTTGGTCTGAAAATAATACGTTCACAATGATTTCAAGGAGCCCGGTGCAGCTGAAGCTGAATTTTCCCAACTCGGCACCAGATTCATCATGAGGAAGTTCCTGGCGGACAGCAAACCAGATCCTAACCATGTGTCAGAGTTCCAAGGATCTGGATCTCCATCTGGTGATGAACTCCCCTTACCTCCATGGCTGTCAGAAGAAGACATCCATTATTATGCAAGTAAATTTGAGAAGTCGGGCTTCACCGGGGGCTTGAACTACTATCGATCGATGGACTTGTACGATTCCCACAACTTTTACCTCATTGAAGATATCTAAGAATAAATGATTCTTCAGCAGAGTAAAACAATGCCAGCGCCTACCCAATGTTCAATCTAACTCCGTCTGCTTTCTCCCGCAAGAACAATGTTGTGACTTGGTGATCCATTGGCAGGAATTGGGAGCTGACAGCACCGTGGGCGGGGTCACAGGTAAAGGTGCCTACCATGTTCATGGTGGGAGACCTTGATCTCGTATACCACATGCCAGGCGTTCAGGAATACATACACAAGGGTGGTTTCCAGAGGGACGTTCCCTTCCTTCAGGACGTGGTGGTTATGGAGTCTGTGGGCCATTTTATCAACCAGGAAAGGGGACCCGAGGTCAGCGATCACATTTACAACTTCATTAAGAAGTTCCAGCCATAGATCCGATCCATCCTCCAGATGGAAAGCCTCAGCATAAAGCTGCAGTGTCAACAAGACGGGCAAGTGAGACCCACCGAATAACTCAGCGGATCATCTCAGAAACTCCGCTAGGGAATGTTGTATTTCTATGTGGATAGTTTCTTTAAAGTTATGCTATGTGGTCTCTCTTGATGTATACGGTGGAAAGCCCATGTTGTGATGAGAGCATCAGCCGACAAATCGAATGATTGCTTTTAAAAACAAACACCATCAACAGCCTTCTGTTAATGTAGAGCCAGTTATCAAATCACAACTTCACTATCTGTGGCTGAGTACAGGGGCTCTCGTGCTATCCTGAACTGTGCGCAGAGGAGGCCATCTGGATGGCTCTTTCAGAAAAGAAAGTCGAAGCATACTGTTTTCATGAGGGTGGGAAAGTACCAGGTAACTGGTAACCTAGATTAGGTGAGAAAAATCAAATGGCAACAACATATGTAGGCAGTCATAGTAACACTCATCTCCTCACCATCTTCTAAAAGATGGATGGTTCTGTAAGGAAACATCAAAACGGCAACCAGAAAAAAGATGAGATGTGGATCATCCAAGGCACATTAGCATGGCGTACTGTTCGAATCGGAGTTTGAAACCAAACTTATCCTCAGGAGGATAGATGGGGCGATTCAGGTGAGATCCAATGTAGTTGAATGGTTACCCGATCTAATCTAATTAGACGTTAAAAATGGATTAGTGCCTGATACGGGAAAGGATTCTCCTATGAGTGGATCATTAATTACTTTTATTAATCCTAACTATTCTCCATTATAGATACGGTAGAGTGGAGATGAGTATGTAAAAGAAAGAGCATACTGATAAATAAAATAAATTCCAAAATCAAAAGAGCAATTGGGTGCATTAAGATACGAAGGCTTCTTATTCCACAACAACGAAAGCACTTTTTCATTCTTTCATATACTAGGGGATTTCACTTGGAAAAGAAAATGTTCCATACTAATGGATTCGGGTCAGTGATCTATTAATCTGCTAATAAGTCGTTTCATGGCAGCTCCATCTATCACTTTATTGTGAAAGACCAGATCGGCCCGTTCTGCCATAAGTACCTCCCTATTCTGCTGAGTAGGATTCTACAATGGGTCTGAGTCAGTGATTCAAAAACTCCTACCTCCTTGAAAGATTCTTGGTTGTGCGCCCAATCTGTCCCAAGACATCGCAGCGCATCATGATGATGTGTCCCTGGCCGATTCACGCTCCTAAGAGTCCATTCTATTTAAGACCTTTTAATTAAAAGGTAGGAAGAACAAAGCTAAAAGAAGGGAAAAGATATTGCCTCATCTTATCAAAGGCAGAATGGATTTACTTAGCAAAACACATGTCACGGTTACCCAAGGTTCCCAGTATTTCCACAGAGAGATCGTTTGAAAAAGGATGTAGTTAGTTATGAAGTCACTTAATAAATGGAATCCAATTCTGTAACATCAGGTGAATTTAATCGAATTTCAATGTATCCCTAACTCAGCAATGTCCTGACTGTTATTTCACTAGCCAATGTTACTCCACACAACAAATAGAAGGTCAAGCATGGATCTCCAAGCTTTTGGAATATTTGAACGAGGGGACGATCATATCCAGTACCAGCTTGGGTTTGAGCCAGGATGGCCACTACTTTCCCACTGAAGGATCCAGGTGATGCAGTACTAAATCACATTGAACAAAAAAGTGAATACCAAGGAAGCATGTATTTTCTGCTACATATACATAAAAACCGAAAACGTAAAATTTTGCTACTGTTTGGATGAAATTTGGTCTCAAATATAAAAACAGAACAACTAGGTAGACGAGTTTGTTGGACAAGCAATGAACCACTGGATCCTGATACCACAAAATTAACATGAGAATAAACAGCAAGCACATTAATTAACCAAAGAGATCCCTTGCATAAGCATCAGAAAGCAAGGCCAACGATCCAGCTTGCACTCACAAGAAAAAGAGAAGAACAAAGATGGTCCGAACTACTTTTTATCTCAGCACGTATTATCATCCAAAACGTGTGGTTAGACTCTCTTGAATCACCTTATCTAACCAACAAGCCAATACATCATTGATAGTGTGAAATGGTACGAGTATCAGATATGCCACTTTGTTGATTCAATATGGGATTTTAACAAATGCCTTACAAATCCATATAATATGGCACCATAGACAAGATCACTGTCACTTGGACTTTTTCAGAAAATTCACGTTAGTAAAGGAAATGACGAATGTAGACTCTCTCAAAAACATTTTGCTAGATCTTACACATATTCACAAGTTATTTGACATAGAGGAAATTTGAAGAATTGCTAACTTGATCACGTTTCAGCTTTGGCTGTGTATTCTAGAGGCAAAATTACAACCTTAAATCTAAAAGGAGCACGTCTTGGTTGAAAACTTCTTGCCTTGAATCTACAGAACAAAGAGATTTCGCCCCTTGAGTTCACAAGAGGTTGATTATGAGTCCACATGATCGAAAATGGCTCCTTAAGACCACAAGGATACTAGAATCCACCAGTAGAAGGAGAGAACCTCTAGAAAGGAAGGAAACTCAAAATTGATTGATAAAAACGTGCATTGCCTTTGGGGTTACAAGAAGGGCCCTAGCCGAAATTTAATTATAACTAACCTATAAAATGGGAAATCTATTATGATCCTACAAAATAAGAAAAAAAAAATTAAAACTTTCTTACAAAAAAAGAGGATTCTGTTAGAACACCTCTAAAAAATAGGAACACCCTAAATAGAATAAGAGGATTATTTTACATGAATAAAATGTGCAAATTTTGAGATTTAGGCACATTAAACATGTGACCAAATCTCTTATTGGGCCATTTCAAGCTGAATTTGGGCCAAATAGAGTCTTCACGTCTTTTAAGTCTCTGAAACACTTGAATTGGTCCAAAACTTCACTGTACTCCATTCTATTACTTTTTAGCTCTTTCGATGTAGATCTTATTAGTTTCTCCACCGGAGTCAAAAACCTTTCATCCCTTATTTGACAGCAGTTTCTGGGCTACATCATTACTAATTCTAAAAATCGCCGTTGAATTTACAAGGTGCTTAAAATATACTATGTATGATTCCTTTTAAAATTTTAAACCTCTAATTTCAATGAATCTCATAAATAAAAGAAGTCAATGCATGAGCTCAATGATGCATAGACACAAAATACTTATTGAACACTCACAGAACTCACTGTGTTTTCTCATCATGCTTGTGACGTGGAAAGAACCCATATGTTAAATGCCATAGAAATTTAAACCAATCTGAGGTCAAGGTCAAGCAAGGCCTGCCCTATGAAGTGGACCAATTGAGTTATTTAAAGCGAAGAAAACGTATGGAATGTGAAGCCCTTATCTAAATGCATATTTTATCAGAAGAAAACTCAGTTCCAAACCGAACAAAAAAAGAGCAGCGCTCAAAAATCGTATCTAGTTTCTTAGCGCAATATATACGTTTTTCCACCAAAAAAAGTTGAAAAGATTAAAGACGAGATATACACGACGAATTTTCATACAAGTAGGTGCCAAAGTCATCTACATCCGTGTACAAATACACTTGTTATGTACAGCAACAAAAAACCTCATACACAAACCAGTTATTAGCAAGGAGAGGTGCTCAAATTGATCTCTTTTGATATCTCCAAAAAAACTGCAGTCGTGGCCTTCAGGAGGGCAAAAGGCGAGGAACTGCACACAGAGAGATGGCACGTCGTCTATCCACATGTAGCTTCTCTAGCAAGCCCGATAGAAATGCAATAATTTCACAGGCAATATCTGCTCCTGCAGAACGAAAAGCCACAAAGCAATCAATAACCTCCAGCAGATATGCGAAATTTTTACACACAAGGACAAAGGGGTAACCTCAAAGTTTTCTTCGGACTTAGAGGAGAAAGAGAGTCCAGTTGAACAATGTTCCAAGATTTCAGGATTTTTCATCCAGGCCTTGTGTGATTCGATTGCTTTTAGCTTATACTGGAACATCTGAAAGCATTACCCAGGACAGACGCATGGTTATGTTACCATTGAATGAAGATGAGAAATTAACTGTTAGAGGGGAAAACGTGATAGTGATTGGCTGAGAAAAACCTGAGAAAGGGGGATCGATGGTTTCTCGAGATGATCTTCCTCAGTAATTATACCAGTCCCCTGACATTCTGGACAGAGTACAGAAGACATATATGCCTTAGCAGCCTTCTTCCCCTTGCGCCCACGGTTTGCTTTCTTGTTAGGTAACTTTGGATTCCAAATTTCAGACTCACAAAGAAGGATCCAATGTATAAGGCACGAGGTGTGAAATACATGAAACGCCTGCACATAAAAATAGGGAAAAAACTATTAAAGATCACCACCATAGACAGACACATTAGCCTGAAAGGGCAAACATGTAAAAAAAAAAAAAATCTCCCCACCCCGTTGGTGTTTCTACTGCTGCATGCAATGTTCCAGGTCTTGCGATTTAGCAATGTTGCCACATCCTTGCACATAAGCATAGGCTGCCCACAGATGTCACACATTCTTTCAGCTGCCAATCGTTTTTGCCTCCTTAACTCTCGCCTAAAATTCCTGTTGGATACAGTTGCCAAGCATTTGATCTTTTCAATGTCATAAACTGCAGATTTGCCATTTTCACATTTTAAACCCGCACTATCATCACAAGATGAACCACACCGATCCCTCAAACCTTCTGTGAACTCATCAGAATCAGGAAGAGATTTTCTTAGTTTCCTTGGACTACCAAGATTTTCAATTTCCAACTGAGACCCATATGACAGTGATGAGTCTGCATCATCCCAGCCACCAGGTCTGCCTAAGTCATAACAGTATGAAAAATTAACAACACCAAAATCACACATTGCCATTGTTAGCAGGATGTTTCTGGAATCAGAATCGCCCATTCCCAACCATGCACACCATATCCTGCGAATCTTGTTAGCAGTCTCATCAATTCTGCTGATTCTGGAGGCGATATGCCCGTATCCAGCAAAGTGTACTTTCAGAATGCAAGCTGGATCTCCAGGTAAGACCCTAGGTATGGTCAAACACTTCTCGTAGCTTTTGAGCTTCAAACATTTTCCTCCTCGACCATTGAGATCAAGGTTGTCACCATTACCTGACAGGCCATTTCCATTTACTGTAGAGCCCTGGGATAGACCTTGTTCCCTTTCGGTCACACAATTTCCACGATCAGGAGTTCCAGAAAAAATAATCATATCTTTTGAACTAGAAGTACTACCATTAGAGCCCAAGATCGTTCCGAAACCTAAATTGACATCAGCAGTAACACAATCCAGTCGTCCGAGACCATTTGAAGTGGAAGTTACTTCATGGCCACTGCCATTAGGGTAAATTATGAGATATTTCCGGGGACTTGAAGCGGACGAATGCTGCTCTTGATCATGGGTAGCGGAGAAGAAAAGAACTCCATCGTTGAAAGGCCAGGGAACGGGACCAAATAGGGTAGCTTTAGCCGCAGCATACCGACGGGCATGGAGATTACCACGGAGATGATCAAACAGAGAGGTATCGCTGTAACATGGTGTGAGACACAGAGTACAGAAGAAGATGGTCCGCCTGCCAACCTCTCTCAGCTCCACATAGATATGCCCATGGAGCCGGACCTCTCGGAGGGTTGCCCTCGCCGCCTCTTGTCTCACATTCAAATTGCTTGGCTTGCGTATCATCAGGTCGTTACCGCTCATTTTCCACGAAAAAATTGCTTGCCTTTCGAAACCAAGGTATGCAAACTCGGTACAAGAAGCATATAACCAGGTAATTTCAAAAAATACCCTAATCTAATTTCCAAGTTTCTCCCGTTGTTCCCGCTGTTCTCAAGTAGTATGAACAAGAGGACAGCATATGCTGCGTCGGTGGCGTTCCGGGAAAACCTTCGGCACACATATTCGATGCAGGCCGTGGCAGCGGTGGGTGACGCCGACGCCGCTGGCTCCTCCAGAAGACATCGCAGAAAGCATCCGTTGAAATGGACGAAACCTGAACAATGAGGAAAATTTGAAGATCGCGCCAGCCGTAGGCCGTCCGAAGCTCTCCGATCTTCTCATGCGCCCACGAAAGCAGCACAGGCAGTAGCACCCAAGAGAGAGGATGGGGAAAAAGGAGCAAAGTACGAGAGACGCAGGGCCACGCCGGAGATAGTCGTCTTGCTTCTAGACTTCCAATTGCAGAGGTAGAAGACAGAAATCCGTCCGAGCCAGAGGAAGCCTGCAATCTGGGTTTCGAATTGCCGGGAGGAAGAGAGAGAAAAAGAGGGAAACTCGAGCACGACAGAGGGAACCGCGTCTGAATTTCCGATTCCACGGGAATCGGGAAGGGGGAAGCGGCTTTATCCACCTTGCCCAGACACCGCGTCGGAACAGGCTTTCCGGGTCCCAACGGAACCATCATCCCTTCCATATCGGATCTTCTGAGTCCGTTACGACACAGCAAATTCGCGGGGCACTTTTGCATTGAACTTTCACATAAGTGCATTTCCACAATTTTCCTATTATCGATTGTGACATAATGCGTTAATTATTTAAACCCTCACCGACAGACTGTGTCACGATCTACGTGGCACGATTCAGCCCACATTTCAGAGAGAGATTAAAACTCTATTCTTTTAAAATCACAAGGTCAAAACTGAAGAGAATCGCACCCAAAAAAAGGAAAAAAAGGAAACCCTGAAAGTCAACGGGGACGAGGGGGGGTATCGTCCGCAAGAGGGAGAGAAGATGGGGCCCCACGGGTCAAACCCTGAAGCCCCTGCTGTTCCTCCTCCCCCTGGCCTTCTCGAACTTCCTCCCCTTCGACCGGACGTAGGGCTTGGTATGGCTGTGGGGAACACCGGGCGCCTTCCCGAAATGCTTCACGGCCTCGCGGGCGTTCTTCGGGCCCCGGAGGAGGACCTGCGGAGGGCACAAGCCGGGCAAAGAGATGAATCGCAGAGCCATCAGATGAACAAACACTAAACTGGTGTCCGATGGAAATCTCAGACGAAATAGAAAGAATGCGTGAAAAATTTTACTCGTTTAGCCCCCCAAAAAATTACGGAATCAAGCTTCACCGGAGGCCGGGAATTGGTGGAATTCAAGTCGCACAGCCGTCCGACAAACATAATACATATTGCTTCTTGAAAACCAAAATCCCCCGGGGGAAGGGGAGGGGGGATTCCAGACTATAGAATTAGGAAGAATTTGCTACGGACTGATGCTGACAAAAACAAGGACATGCAGATACCGAAGGAAATTTTTATACCATGATTGATCACATCTGGCAATCGAGAATCCCGCCTTCCACAGGTACGAACTCGGAAAAAAAAAAATTCAACGTACGAGATGAGCCAGGAGAACCAGTTGTTGAACTCGAGATGAGCTGGGCTTATAATAGAATCATCGAAGTTGAATAAAACTTGATTAAAATTAGAGAAGGTTAATCTGATTTCCCCACTGACATTCGGATGTGCCCGAGTGGGGAAGAATGAGGATCTAAGTGGAACTAGCCGCTAAAATGTGTAAGAGCTCAGATGAGTAGATGAAACCAGTCCTTGGCCATCCACATAGTGGATGGTCTCATAGTGAGCTGGGATTAAAAAATTCATCATCATTGCGAAACGTGACTCACATTGAAACTTAAATCAACGTAAGATCGCGATAGAGAAAATGCCAGATTACCGAAAATCAGCGAACTAAACGCAATATAAAATAAATTAAGAGAATATGTTCCCTCAGACATTCCAGAAAAAACTCGTCAAAAATGAACTTCAGCGTTAGCATGGTCAAGAAAAGCATCATAGGGAACTAAAAAATCAATATTTCTACATAGAAAAAACCCTTGAACCCACTTCGAAAAGCTCTTTGATTTCTGAAATCCATAGCGAATACATACATACACGTCACTCCAAAAAAAGGGGTTGACAAAACAGTAAATACGAGAGAAATTAGAAAGAAAGCAAATACAAAGCTAAAGTTCGTCGGAAAACTCAGACGGAATCGAGTTAGAAAGAATTTGCCGTGAACTAATTAATATTGACGAAGACAAGTGCGTGCAGATACCAAAGAAAATTTCTCTTCTATGGTTAATTATATCTGACGATTGAATATCCCGTCTTACGCAAGTAAGAACTCGAAAAAAAACAAGTAAATGTGTCGAGATGTGTCAAAATAACCAGTAGTTGATCTCGTGATGAGCTGAGCTTAAAATAGCATCATATTAGTTAAATAAAATTTGATTTGGATTAGGAAAGATAATCCGATTTTCCTAGTGAGCGTTAGATGTGCCCAAGTGAGGGAAGAATGAGAATCTAAATGGAATTAGCAACTCAAATGCATGAGAGCTCAGATGAGTAGATGAAACCAGTCCTTGGCCATCCACAAAGTGGATGATCTCATAATGAGCTGGGATTAAAAAATTCATCATCATTGCTAAACATGATTCACATTGAAATTTAAATCTACGTAAGATCTCGATACAGATAATGCCAGATTACCGAAAAACCGCGAATAACTCGCTAAACGCATTATAAAATAAATTAAAGAATATGTTCCCTCAGACATTCCAGAAAAAACTCATCCAAAATAAACTTCAGCGTTAGCATGGTCAAGAAGAGCAGGACAGGGAACTAAAAAAACAATATTTCCATATAGAAAAAACCCTTGAACCCACTTCGAAAACCTCTTTGATTTCTGAAATCCATAGCGAATAGAAAATATAATTCCCAGAACGGGATCGATGGAACAATAAATGCGATGGAGATTCGGTTTGATATTCGTACGGTATTCTGTCCAAGGGGTGCCTGCAGTGCAAGCTGATCGAATGTGAAGCACTCTCCTCCGGCTTTAAGAATCCTAGCCCTCGCCCTTTCCGTGAACCTCAGCGCTGTCACCTTAAGGGCTGGAACCTCGTGAACTCTCAAATCGTCAGTAACTGTCCCGACGATCACCGCAATCTTATCCTCCTGATGAGAACATGTAAAAAAAATCAACGTTGGCAGGTGATAAAATGGACGTGATAAGAGAGACGGCACAGGGGGATCGGCTGAGGAATCGACGGTTTAACGAACCTTCCCTTTCATGAACTTAATAAGCTTCGACAGAGATATAGGAGGCTTGTTAATCTTGCTCATGAAAAGTCTCTTCAGAATCACCGCATTGAAACTACTTCCTGTCCGCCTCACGAGGAACCTGTAAAGCTGCTCCCAAAAAAACGCACAAAAATGGAAGCATCCGCGTGAGAAACCAGAAACGGTGACCGGAACGTCGTGTCTGCATCATCGTATCACTAGCGTGGACAAGAAAAACCAGGTTCCGGAACGAATACAACTTCAATCTCACCTTCACGAGGAGCTTAAGGTAGATGTCATTCGACTTGGGCGCGGTGCGCCTAGTCTTCTTGCTCTTACCTCCGGCTACGAGATCGATGCCCTGAAAGCAGGCGATGTAGACATTCGATTAGCAAAGGTTAAGCAACGGCAGAAGACAACAGACCACCCGAAACCCTGATGATCAGATGCGCGTACCATGGTCGCCGCCGCTCCTTTCCCACCTGCGGTGCGGCGCGGCGCAAAGCCCAGCTAGGGTTTTTCCGGACACCGTTACGTCGCCCTTAATGCTCCAGGGATTTAACACATACGACGATAACTTGTACTCGCGTTCCATGGGAACTAAAATCTGCGCCTGATAGTCGGGAAAAATCTCCACCGTCCATGGATAGTCTCAGTCTTCCGAGCGTTCAACATGACCTCGCACAGATTTCGATATAAAAATACAAAATATTAGTTCTGGAAATATCCTATAATATGTGAAAACCACAATTTTTGCCTCGTCCTTAAAATTGAATTTATTTTTAATTCAAATATTACTTCTTCTTTTTTGTACCTCTAAATAAGAGAGTTTGACATAACTTAGTCATTTATAGTAAATGACGTAAATTTAAATTTTATAAAACTAGAAAATACTATTTTTTAAAATATTTAGAAGTACTTTTAAATAAATATATCAATTATAATTTTATAAAAGTTCTAAAAATAGTATAAGGTTTCTAAGTCAATCACAGATATGTAATATAATATCATGTAATTTTTTATATATATTTTTTCAACAAATATATTTTTAAATAAATTGTAAATTAAGAAATAAAAATAAAATATATTTAAAATTCGTGAAAGAGAGAAATAAGGGTACAGGCATCAAGATGATGTTAGCACTCGACGAACTTGAATAAGATAAAAATAAAGTTTCATTTGATAATTCTTATGTAAGTAATTACAAATAATTTAATTAATCAAATTAAAATTTATAAAAGTTGAAAGAATCATCATTGAATGAAGAATAATTTGATAAATTTAAATCACATAACTTATCATTAAATAAAGTAAAAATTAAGTTAAAAGCAAGAAAAAAGAGTTTCAACATCACATCAATGATACGTCAGTGATACACCATAATCATAAGCATTCTAAAAAATTGTCATATAATATCTATAACCTCAAAAACTCTTATTAGATAAAGATGATGTGAGTAATCTCTAATTTTTTTGTAAAGTTTATAAATCAATAAAACAGGTCATTGAATCATCTCTAATGACTATCACTTGATGGAGTGAAAAAATGACAACTTTGTAGTTCTTTGATGATTATTACCCAATAAATAAGAGCTAGATGAAGATAGGGTGTATGTCAAGGAGCTTTATCCTTAGGTTTGCACAGTAAAAAAAGGTTCTTCATCACATTCAGTATGTTTTTAAGAGGTGACGACTCATCTCTTGACAAATTGTCTTCTTCTTGATGATAATTTGTTTGTCGATTAATTGAAGATACTTTACTTAATAGATTCATGATATTTTTATTATGAATTGTTTAATAATTTTAATAATAATACTTCGTGAATTATGTCGATGAGATTTTCATCGATGATTGAGCAATTATGACAACTTAATCTTTTATTGATGATCTACAAGAAATTTACGATTTATTAGATAAAAATACAAGATTTTATTCTAGTAAGATTCAAATTTATGTCAGTCGACCACTTATATGAGAGAGATTGAAATAAGTTTTATATTACTTTTATAAAGTGACGTTATCATTAGTATATTGCTGTTATAAGATATTCTAAATATTAAAATAAACAAAATCATTATAGAGAAGGTGTGATGTGGGTTTAGACCCCCATTAGTTACCTTGAAATTTTAAATGAGTCTCTTTTTTTATGTGTACAACCACTCCTTATCTCACAATTAATTTGACCACTAGTGGCGTGGAAGAAAACTAACGCATACATATCTTCATCAATTTATAATTGCTCAATCCCATACTTATGGCTCATTTTGACTGCGCCTTTGACTTATTTGCAAGCTTAGCTAGTCAGCAAGTCCCTCTCTTTTTCTATATATATATATAATATTTTTTATTTATCTAAAAAATAAGAATATAAAATTATATAAATTTATATAAAATCACATACTTAGCTAAAAAAATCACATTAATTAATTGAAAATCATTTTTCATAATTTAACATAAATATAAGTCAATTTATCATGAGTTGAGGCTAAAAAATTATTATTTATTAATTATTAACTCATGATAATAAAGACTTATTAGAGTTCAATGATAATTAAGGAGTTAACTAACCAAAAAATATTTTTATTTTTTTACCAAAATTATATAAAGAAACATATTTATACTACTTTATAAATAATCATAACAAAGATGCATGTCCACTTGAAGACACTACACTAAATATATCAGAATTATAAAAAAAAATATTTTTATTATCTGAGAAAATAGTATTAATATATGAAATGTTAGAAATATGAAAGTAATTAATCCATGTAGTTTCGTGGACACTAAGACATGTAGATGAATTTGGGATTATTTTGAGAGAAGAAGAAGAAGAAGAAGCTAGCTTGGTGATGCTTTTAATTATGTTTTTGTTGAATCAAATAACAGATGGCTTGAACTAAAATATTTCACATTTAAATTTTAAGTAAATAAAATAAGTATAGTTAATTCCCATTTTTTAGAATACAATAAAACAATGTTCGTCAACTATGGACAAAGGGATTGAAATTATTGGTCGAAATTGCCATATTTATGAGGGGTGTCCTATGGACAATACTCAACATCCAAAATAAATGCTATTATTTGTTGAAGCCCCAAACTTGGTTCCCCGTTAAAGGCCCGTTTAGTCGTAGTCTAAGAATGTTTGACCCAATGGACTAGATGTGCCATTTTCCCGTTGACCCCCAACGATGAAAGGCTCTCCTTTCCTGATGGACCCAGGGGTTGGAAGCACAGCAAGTAGCTGTTGACCACGATCCCGATGAAGCGTAGGGCCAAGCTGATGAAACATATGGTATCGGATTGACGGGCACGGAGTCAACGGTAGTGTTGACCTTAACATTCTAAACTGAGCTCCACAGGGTAGGGCGGGATGGAGCTGACAATATCCCTGACCATCTTTCAGATGACCACGATTTATGTAGATTCACTATACTTTGGTCAGGGAATGTTCCCGAGAAATAGACGAACCACCACGGAGAAAATTTATTCGGGGAAGACGTTGACCGCCGACACCAGCTGTATCTCGTCCCGTGAAATCGATAGACGAGAAGGAAGGGTTAAAAATGACCTATTTACCGATATCAGGTGAGTGACAAGGTGAGAACAAAATAATAATAATAATAATAATAATAATAATAATAATAATAATAATAATAATAATAATAATAATAATAATGATATATATGTATCCTTCGATATCGAGTGAGAATCACTGCGCTTGGGGCTATAATGATGCTAAAAATATAGTTTACGGCGTAATTAAGAGAGACCCGTCCCTACTCACGGTCAATAGTTAGGATAAAAATGCGATATTTGACGGATCCATGGAGACTTTTTTCTAGTGGCGTTGGCGCCCTCGTCTCTCATTCCTCGTCTACACTATCTTCCTTGTGCTTCATCTCCCTCTTACCCACCTCCACTGTTCTCCCCTCTACTCTCTCTCTCTCTCTCTCTCTCTCGCTCTGGAATTTAAGGGCTACTTGCATGGCTCTTCGGATCTAAGACCAGTTGGGTGGGTCTACGTGATTCGGCGATGGATCGATGGAACCACGAAGGTCACATGTGGGCGAGGTTTCGGGATCGCCGGCGCCCCACATGGAGGGCGGAGTGGGAGCCTCTTCTCTCCTTCATCGACCAATCGACGCTCTGCATCCATCACTTTCTGCGATCGTTCTGATCGGGCGGAGAACGTAGTTTTCTCGTCGGTAAGGATGTGACCGCCGGCTCCTCCGCCGTCACCTCACCGCATGTGCACCGGAAGAGGCGACCGTCCTATTCTGCTATCGGCCTGCATGATTGAGCGAGGGGAGCTTCTGATATCGCCGAACCAGTCGATCGAACTGAAGATATTATTAAGCCACTGGTCCACATGCGCGGTTCCTCTCTGGGGCGAGCCAGCAAGTAGGGCGTCAGGTGCCGTAGTCAGAGAGCCACGCAAGCTTCTGCCCTCCCCAGACAAATATCTCCGGCAGGCCGGCACCGAGAGCTCCGAGAGGTTGCCGGAACGGATTTCTTCTCAGGGCGGAGGCAAGATCATTTGCCCAATCTTGCTGCCCCTCTAGGGTTTCCGGTCTTATCCCCTCGCCATGAGCGGCGAACTTGAAACCACCATGAATACAAAGCCAGATGAGAAGGGGGAGCCATGCCCGGTTTATCGGCGGGTGGTCTCGTTTTTTGAGGAGGAAAGATGTGCACGGCGGCGAGTTAAGCACCCGACGAGACGATTCTGGACTGGACATTCCCCCATTCCTCCATTTCATCTCCCTCAGAAGGGAGGGCATGGGTCCGTGATCGCCCCAAAGGAAGAAGAAGATTCACCCACATGAAAAAATAGTGGAGGGGGTGAGACTGGGTGTCCAGTGGATATGCCACTCTAGGGGGTGTTTGAGCTGCGCTCGGGAAAGCGATGTGCAGAGGGAGAAGGTGATGGATGCTTCAGCTTTGGTCGACAGGGCGCGTGAACGCAGCTCGAACGCCGGAGGATATTGAGGGACGGTGACACCGCCGGAAGTCCGACGGTGCCGCCGTCGCCCGTTGCATAGGTTTCTCTGTTCTTAACTAAAGGATCTCATATTGGAGTCAAACTTACCGTCTGAGATCAAGGCCGACTGCCCATCACCCATGGTTTGATCAGCAAGTACGAAGCTGTAGATGGAGGAGAGTGCTATCGTTGACGGCAAGTACGAACGTCTCCCGTCATTGTGGGGACGCGAACTAGATCTCGTACGTACCTAAAGATCTCGCGTTGCAGTTTGGTGGGCGCGGGGGCGGGGGGCAGGTACGTGTGCGAGAGTGCTCGGAAAAGCTTGCCATTTACTTGGAGGATGGTGCTGGGATTTGAGGTGAGAGAGAGTCGCTCTCAGGCTTTCAGGTCCTATAAGTAACCCCCGATACCTATGGGGTTCAACCCAATCTCTCTCTAACCTCCATCGCCACCCCCGTATGTTCCTGCCTCGTGAATGACAAGCAGAGGCAGGAGTAGACAGTTCATCGTTCTGCAGGGGAGAGGGGAGAAGCGGTGGGGGAGATGTCCACCGGAGATCGCCGGACGTACTCCATAACGATGGTGGAGGTACGATGGAATCCTTTGAGTACAGCTCCCCTGTTTTTTCCCTCTCCTAAAAATCGAATTGCCGTTTGGATGATAAGGTCATGGAGGAGCTAAGGAAGATTAAGGGCGTGGGGCTTCCCATCATCGCCATCAACTTCGTGGGCTTCCTCAAAGGGATGATCTCGGTGGTGTGCATGGGGAGGCTGGGCCGACTGGAGCTGGCCGGCGGCGCGCTGGCCGTCGGTTTCACCAACATCACCGGCTACTCTGTGCTTTCCGGTCTGGCCATGGGGATGGAACCCGTCTGCAGCCAAGCCTTCGGCTCCCGCAACCTCCCGCTGGTGGTGTGCTCGCTTCAGCGGACCATCGTCATGCTCCTGCTGGCTTCCATCCCTATCGCACTGCTGTGGGTCAACCTGCAGGCCGTCATGCTGTGGCTGGGGCAGGACCCAGAGACCACCCGGGTCGCTGGTCTCTATTGCCTCTTCGCCCTCCCCGACCTCCTCGCCAACAGCTTCCTCCACCCAATCCGCGTCTACATGCGCAGCAAGGCCACCCTGCAACCCCTCCTCTGGTGCACCTCGCTCGCCGTGCTGCTGCACCTCCCGCTGACGGCGGTCCTCGGCTTCACCCTCCGCCTGGGGGTCCCCGGGGTCGCAGTCGCCGCCTGCTGCACCAACTTCGTCACCCTCTTCTTCCTGCTTGTCTACATGCTTTACGTCCGCAAGCCCAAGGAGCCTCTCTACAGCACTCTCCCTCCCTCCCCTTCCTGCTCTTCTTCCGCAGCGGGCCCGGGGATGTCATGGGGCCCCCTGGTCCGCCTCGCGCTGCCCAGCTGTCTCGGCGTCTGTCTGGAATGGTGGTGGTACGAACTGATGACGCTCGCCGCGGGGTACCTTCCCCATCCGCGCGTCACGCTGGGGACGTCGGCCATCGTCATACAGACGACCTCCCTCCTGTACATGCTGCCGGCCACTCTCAGCTCGTCGGTGTCCGTGCGGGTGGGAAACGAGCTCGGTGCCGGGCAGCCCGGCAAGGCACGGCTAGCGGCGGTGGTGGCGATGGGTCTCGCCGCCGCCACGTCCTTCGTCAGCCTCCTATGGACGACGTTGGGGAGGCACCTCTGGGGTAGGGCCTTCAGCTCCGACGGCGAGGTCCTCCAGCTGACCAGCGCCGTTCTGCCCATAATCGGCCTCTGCGAGCTCGCCAACTGCCCCCAGACCACCGGATGCGGCGTCCTCCGCGGCAGCGCCAGGCCAACCATCGGCGCCACCATCAACCTCTACTCCTTCTACCTGGTGGGCGCCCCCGTGGCTCTGTTCCTAGCCTTCTTCCTCGACCTGGGGTTCCTCGGTCTCTGCTACGGGCTTCTCGCCGCCCAGATGGCCTGCGCGCTATCCATAGTCACCGCCGTGTGCAGGACCGACTGGGACCGTGAGTCCTCCAAGGCCAAGGCTCTCGTCGGAGCCCGGCAGCGCTCCTCAGTCGCCCTCGCCGTCGAAGAAGCGCAGGAACACGAGGAGTTCCCCAAACAGCTCGCCCCCCCGGCAGACAAAGGGACGGCGGATCAAGATAGAAACCGGAGCCCACACGCCCACGTGAACGCTGACGCTTACTTAACATAGATAGATAGGCCATGGCAGCTATGTGATACAACCCGGTAAATAAGTAGACCCCCCCCTCCCCCCCCCCCCGATAGCGTTAAAGATCCTTTCTTTCTTCCTTTCCAGTAATGACAGTCTTCTTCCACCGTCCCGCGAAGCAGACAGCAGGACGACGACCTGAGGGCGACTCTCGGGTCGCCCTCGGCCGCCGACCAGGTGGGCGATGAAATGCCAGTGAGACAGCGCAGCGGCAGGGACAGCGGCTCGGTCGCGTCCCAGCACCGCCGCGGCACGAAGAAGGCTTGGCGAGGGCGACGCCAGCTGTGCACGCAACCGCAGATAAAGCAATCGGCACACCCCGAGCAGGTGGGCTTGTCGGGTGAGAAACGAGCGCTTCCTCACCGGCGATGGCTGCCAGTTCTTCTCACTAATGGTCCGGGATGCCTGCCCTCTCAGCCCCAGCCTAGAAAGGGAAAATACTCAACGTGCCGGCGGCGGTGGAGATCGTGAAGCCTGCAGGCGGCCATCTGCCCTGCACATGGAAAGGGAAGGAGTCACACAGGCGACATCGACTGACCTCGGAGCCAATGGAGAAGAGCAGCTTCGCCAGAAGGGAAGGGGGCTTTGGAAATCGTAAGGAGCAGAGTCAATCAGAATTTCTGAAGGCTTGGACAGAGCCAAGTCGATTTACAACGGTAGCCGGAAGAACATAACATAAGTGTGCCCTTTGATGACGGAAACCTCAACTCAAGTCCGTTCCTTTACACTGAGGACCGCCGTCTCGACAACGCCAAAGATAGGCAGTATCATTAGCAAAATTAACCGAGCAGACAAGCGTCATTAAATACGGAGATGATGCTGTGGCACAGGCCAGAAATCCGGGGAGACCACCCTCCTCATTCGAGCTTTTCCATCTGCAAATAAAGGAAAACGTGATTCTGGGTTTAAAAGGATTTCCCAAAGTACGAGCTAATCCGTAGACACTATTTCAAAATAGTTAAGAACGGTCGGGCATTTTCCCTACCGGGGATCTGAAACCGAGCTAGGTTTCAGATCTTGATGACAAAAATGTTTCAATAGAAAGAATTCTTCGACGTCACTACGAGGAAAAGGAGTGGAATGTAACCAGGGATGGGTATTTCGTCAACAGTGATACCTTCCAAAGCCCGTCGTTAAGATAATGCATGTTATCCACGGCAATACCTTTGTTGATTGTTCTTCTGAGGGAACAAGCAGACAAATCGTTAGACACAATTACATCAGACTATCACACGAGGCGAGGGTTGCGTAAGTTAATCAAAATGCAATCGTGACAATGTATTATGGTAGAAGATGATGGCCGGCATTATTCATGTGATGTAAGAGATGCGAAACTCGGTTCCAGGAATACATCGAGACGCCATCCGCTGGCGCATTTTGTAGGCTATCCGAGGTATATCAGGGTTATGCAATCATAGATAGAGCTATGCAATGTTAACTGTAGCCATCGGTCAGTTTTTCATAAAATCTAAATTTTACGCGACCTAAAAATCTTGACCATGGGAGGCTCCTAGAGTCATTTTAGATTATAAAATATGAACATATGGGCATCACAATGAAGAAGAAGCCAAAGGAAGATCCCAGCGATTCACCAGCACAACAAACAAACCGACAGATTTTCGGTGGGCAGAAGGATTCATATTGAGTGGAGACAGTTGGCTAAGACGACGACTCTTTTGATAGAGCTGGAAAGCCAAGCATATGTTAGTCCCATCTTACAGGGATATATAATCCAATGCAGGGGTATAACTAGTCATTGCAGGCGTCCTACGTGATGTAGGAAAGTTGATACGGATAAAATCCTGAATGCCCCACATCAGTAGATCACATTACAGAGGGAATTGGAGACGAATTACATGTTAGGCCACCCTGAATTAATCTGAATGTTAAGCTGATGCCTTGAGTCCGGCCTGGCAGTTGGGTTGGAGATATGTTCAAATTTAGGAAAACCAATATATCAAGCTTGTATTAGACCAGAAAGAAAAATTAAACTTTATCATCCGAAACAGTTTCCATTTACCTCTACTCTTTATGCAGAGAACGGACTCTGCTTTTGCATTTATGGAGATTCCATAGGCTGTTGGATGAAGCACTAAATGAACTCACTCAAAACCTGATATCCTACAAATTAATTGAATTTCTATTTGAAAAATGAGTCAAAATTAGTCGAAAACTAGGCATAAATATTGCTCTTCTCTTTTGCAAAGTTGATACAAACATTTGCATCTTGCAATGCGTCATACATAGATCAACGTTTCATTACGTGCCAGTATTCAATTTTTTAGAGTGGATCAAGTGACAGTCTTTACGTTAGCATGTATCATGTGCCAGAGACGGGACATTCGGGAACCAGGCACATCGAGAGAGACAATAAGAAATCAGTGATAGGGATCAGTAAGTGTGAAGGAGATAGGAGAGAGGACAGCCAACCATCAAGGCGAAGTATGTAGGACAGAGATGAGGATAAGACAAAAAATGACAATAATATAGTGAGAATGAAAGAAGCCATGAAGCATTTATTTCTATGTCCACGTACGTTTTCATGCTCTCCATTTATCTAAGGCAACGAATTCCCTGTGTCAGTGGAACTTTGGATTACTTCTGGGATACACTTTAGGATAATACGAAATAGTCAGATAAATGGAAATTCAGGATAGGGATCTTAACAATTCATCTGGCCTCGCTAGTGGGTAATTCTAATGAAGTATTTAAACTATTGGCTTATCGGAAAATTCCCAAAGCAAGAATACTCAATATTCCTTTTAAGCAAGCAAACTGATCATGAAAATCAAGCTACACTGATTTCATACCAAACACACCGATGAACTCTGCTACTCTATACCAAACATGGATATTGTCACAAGTTACTGCCAACATGTTATACTGAAAAATACATAGTACGAATTTAGGCACAACTTACATGTCTTTAGCTGACATTTTGGTAAACCCAATAGCCAAGGCATGCTCTTTCCCTTCAGCCATAATGGCCTGCAATTAGTTAACCATAGAAGTTAACAAGATACAAAATCTGTAGTAGTCATCATTACAGAAAAGTGCATTTTCCATCATCAACGTGATACGACACAGGTACTGAGTTCAAAACAAGATCTGCTGATTTGAAAAAGTAAACAAGCTAACTAAGTTTTTCCGAAAAGAAGTCTTCATGATTTATCTTCTGATAGGAATCTGACACATTTGCCTTTATGTAAATAGGAAAAGAAGCAACCATACAATCGTGTAAGAAAACCACGATGGTATGAAATGACGAAAAGAATGGACACTGTATCCAGGAGAGTACTCATATTCAAGGTGGTTGGACAACCTAGCCTAGGACAAATATTGCCAAGGAAATATGCCACAAAAAAAAATGCCAAATTAGAAGAACAGGGCACCAATGATGAAATCTGAACAACAGTTTTAATTATAGATAGGGAGGAGTTGAATGAACATGCAACGCATTCCGGATATTATAGTTGAAATACATCAAACTTATAGGGCTCATTGGATCAGGAATTATGGCTACAACATACTATATATATATATATATATATATATATATATATATATATCTACCAAGTCAATTGCATAAATATGAAACAGATCCTACCACAGGTCTTGCTTCTAACACGTCATCATCAAGAATTCCACCAGGAGATGTAAGGCCAGGACACATTATGTTTGCGCCAGAAAGTACAAATTTGATTGCACCCCTGTCGACCTGAAATTTCTTCATTATATTGGGATCTGTGGAGGGCAAAAGACTAAATTCAGCGGGACTTGCAAACATTAGTTCAAATACTAGATAGTCAAAAGGTCAAATACTAGATGTAAGCCTAAATTGCTTCAGAGATTGCTATTTTCCATCGGGATACAAACATCAAAATAGACCTTCACATGGATGCATTCATTATCTCAATATCTCAAATCAGTTACTTTTCCTAATACACAGAAAAGAAAGAAAACAGTATAACCTTTCACCAGAAAAAGACACCTTAAAACAGCATTCCTTGACACGTGTCTAACTTTGCTTAACATAGGGTCTTTCAAACACTATAAGTGGTCATTTTTTTTTTCAGTTTTTCCGTCCAAATTCTACTCCAAATGTAACATTTTCTAAAAAAAATATACCATATTTGACATCAATAATGAGCTATAAAATCAGTTATAAAAGCTAATATGAAGCAGAAGAAGAATACTTTACATTGATGAAGAAGCCTTAGTGTCGGCATGTAAGGACCATCACGGATATTGAAAAACAGTGGCACATTGTTTGCAACAACAAGATTTAGATGATTCTGACTGGAAGAAATAAAATACAGAGTAAGGTCCAAGCAGGAGGAAACCAGCTATTATCTATAGAACTCTTTAAGTGTATTTTTAAAAGAAATTAGGTAAGACGATGGAATTAAAATATTCATCACTATTAAACAAGTAGCTCATCATCATCATCAAAATTATGATTATTCCATATCTTGGCTAACAGGATGAAATTCAGTTCAGATAAAACCTAAACAAGTAGTGCATATTCTAGATGTACATGAAAAGTAATGTATTGAAGAGCCCATGATCGCTGTGCCTGAGGATGAGTTTAGCTTTAGTTAGTGAAGTGTCGGCTAGAAGCAGATACTTCACAAATTGCATTGTGTGTTTTAAATGATATAAAAAATAATTCTTTATAACCATCACATAAAATGCAAAAATGCAAACAAGAAGCCTGTCATGAATATCATACGTCACGTCATTAGGATTATGCCACATTTTTTCGCCTAGGTAACAACATGCACACCTTGCCAGGCCTTGGCGTCTTTAACTCCTTGAAACTTAAAAAAATTCTGAAGTGCAGCAGTACCATGAAACGAAACTTACAAATGTAAGAGGAAGGAAAAAGCAGAAGACACTCCCAATACTTACCTAGCAGCAGGGTTCCACAAATGAAAAGAAGCAACACAAGGATGATGAACGTTTAAAATCTCAAAGAGCAAAAGCGAAAGATTTCCTTATCGTCTCACACAGAGGTAGAAGTAGCCCAATCTTTTATATCCTTCCTCTGCTTACAAGAATGTTTGAATCTAGGTTTAGGACTCTTGAGATTTTGTTTGGTTACTCTCACTATAGCATCCAAAACAAGGCTGGTCAGTAGAAACCGACACTGATGGCTTTTTAACTATTCATCATTCTCATGGCATTCGAGTCATATGTAAAGTGACCAATGTCATTATAGCCTAAATTCTGAATCTCTAAGAATTTGGTATGCAGTGTCATCACTTGTGGCTCAGGTTTTTGGTTGATATCACCCCTATCAATGCAAAAAGTTCACAATGAATCACAAGATGATTTGAAGGTCAAAAGTTTAAAGATCACACAGCGAAGGCTTGAGATGTTATTCACAACTCAAATGAAATAATTCTTACTACATGAAAGCAGAATGTCTCTTAAGTTAAAAGATAATATGCTTCCAACTAGAAAAAATCTGCCACAGAGAAGCATGAAAATGGGGTCGACGTTCAATCTCAGCACATGGAGAGCGGAGATATACTTTTTATCCGCCATTACTGATAAGATAGTCATTCCTCCTGATAGACCTAATATATCCACGCATGACAACAATGTACACCATTCAGTTAAAAAATCTAACACCATCTGGAACGCTTCAGCGTACCAATTCATTTCAGCCATGATGCTCACCATCCCTATATTTCAACTAGTACAGGAACGCATAATACAAATCATAACCTAGAATCTTACAACATGCACATTTGTACTAAAGTTTATAAATCCAAACATAAACCTGCAACCAGATGAAAGAACTTTATGTAGATCTAATATCTGGGGTATGGATGATAATTTATGTAAAGAAGAAAATAATTACATTTGGGCTAGAACAACTGAGTACATTGAACATTGCTAATAGAATGCGAGATCATTTATTTAATACTGAGCTTACTTACTAATCCTCTACGATAAAGATTCATCAACAAGCTTTATTCATTTTCCATTGTTGGTCATATACCTGTTCACAGGTAATCCCTCGCATAACTAACATGCAAACAATCAGGTTGATTTCTCTCTCCGAATGGAAATGAGTTCTTTCTCCTCTGACACATTAAACATCTTAAGGTGAATCATATAGATTATTATTGGAAGGGCAAAAAGACAGTAGTTTCTTCTCTCGGACGATTTCTACACGAACAGGAAAGAACCGTGTTATAATGAACACTTGTCATCGTACCACAAATAGATAAATATGTTGCCAAAAGCTTATACTCGATGGTAGTTAAAGGTGAAAATATTTGTGCTCACCTAGGATATTGTATGATCAATTGGACCTCGATTTGATATGCAAAAATAACTTGCGACCAAGATTTTGATCCATGTCTTTGGCAGTGTCTTCTACATCTTAATTCATGTAATATCACAATCATTGAAAAAGCTCACAAAGATGCCTTCTCATGACATCCAAACTTGGCGATTTATAAATTTGTTGAGCTTGGAAAATAAGATCGAAGCACCTCTTGTTCAAACTATGGCCATCTCTCCAGGAAGAAATGTGAAAACAATGCCTCTTCACTATGTTCACTCTGTTGCTGTAATAGGACAAATTCTTCAGAGGATTCATAACAGAGGATTCATAACTTTCATTTGGCTCCTTGGCCCTCTACCAGACTAGTCACGTAACAGGAGGAAACTACATCATTTCAAGGCACATCAATGTTGCTCTCACGGTTGCGTACCTGATTTCTTTTGCTATCAGGGAATCATTATCCAAAATGTCTGTATAATACACTACTCAAAAACATATGGACGTCCATCCCTTGAGAGAGAATTCTATTAAATATTTACATAAATAATCCTTTAGGAAGTTTCTATTCCTAAGTTTCTAAGGAACCAGGTGCAACATATCCAATTAGAAAGTTTAAAATAATAAATAGCATGAGATTACCGGTATCTTGTTCAAAAGAGAAATAATAAATAATGTAAGATCTCCTCACTGACCATTTTACAACAATCAGAGATGATTTCTTTGGTAGCAAGTCTTCCAGGACAGGTTCAAGGCCAGGGTACTGCAGGATATGTTCAAAAAGAACCAATGTTATACTCACAAAAATACACGCCCGTAATTCCTCCTTTACCAAAGAATCAGACCTCATCAACAATGCTTTGCCGAATCTTTCTCTGTACAGATGCCTTAACTTGATTTTGACCAGACACTTCCTCTAGGGAAAATCTGAAATTCAGAGGAAGAAAATTAGGAAGCCATGTGGTGAGGTATTATAACACATGGATCTTGGAAGAAAGTCAAATATCTCCTGATAAAGGACGAAAATTTGGATAACTGATCCATGTACAGAACAAAATATGCCTATGCAATCAGCATCTGTTACCAAAAACAAGCGCAATTTCAGTGATTACACTCAATTCCGTTTCGTTCAGAACCTTCTAAGTCAAATATTAGAGGATTGGTTATCAAGGAGTTTACGTATGGCAAGACATTCGATGAACCAAATAGTAGCTGGAAACTAAAACGGACAAGTACTGCCTCCTGGGTTAAAATTGAAAAAATTAAAAAGGAAATCAGGCCTTTTCGTCAATGCAAACGGGCGTTGAGTGTCACAAAATGAAACCACAGCCAATTAGCATTATCCTTCAACCATGATGATTCTCCCCCACGATAATGAAACAGATAATAAAATAGTTTTGGATTACAAGATGGTCATCCTCCATGGAGCTAACGACTGAAACATAGAGTTCACTTATATATTAGCACACGACCACTTCGTCCTATGACGTTCTAGTGCATCGAAATGCCTCTCGCAAGGAAGAAATCAACCCAAGCCAATACAGGAATGACCTAGTCACCGCGCTCTCTAGAGAAATTGAAGCAAACCGCTCGGACGACCCGGCAAGCGGTCCGTCCAAGGGAACGGCTGGTGATGAAAGAATGAAACATCAAAAAATGCTAATGAGAGAAATTCCGTTAAATGTATCTCATACAAAAGAAAAAAAGGTCTTCAACGTCCGCGGATCAGTCAATTGCTGATGGCGGACCAGAAGGGAAACCGAAAGAAAGGGAACAAACATCCTGCGGATGTGACGGGGACTACTGGACCGCAGGCGATCAAACAACTCAATATCAGGCTACAAAACCAAGGAAATCAGACAACTCTAGATCCAGAAATGAAAAACAACGCGGAGATTTCTCGCCAATCATAATGACCGATGGCCGAAAAGCCGCAGCCGAGCGGTGGGAAGAAGCAGCTCACTTTTTGAACATCTTCGACGCGGAAGTTGCGAGGCGAGGATGACGCCCAGATGCTGGAGTTGTTTGGAGGGAAAACCGAGCGAGGAGGACGCGCAGAGGCAAGAACCCTTACTTACTACTATATACATAATTACCACTATTTCCTATTTGTTATTCTTTGATTTTCTCATTTGAAATTATTATATTCTAACCCCTTTCTTGCTGGGCTTTATGGGCCGGTCGTAAAGCCCAAAATATACCCACAACTAAAATGAAGCCAAGTTAATAGAGTGGGCCCTCAGCGACCGTTTTTGTTCATATTTTTCAGAGCTCCGACATACGGGCCTTTCCACCCGATCGAACCCGAATACTCCTCCCGAGGAAGGCTGATCCGCAACATCACGCCTCGTTGGTATCTGGTAACCGCACCGATCTCGGCCATTGGTGGAGGCTTGCGGTGAGGATAACTGGGTGTCGTTATTGCTCAACGGTTTACACGTAAGGGTGGGAGTCTCCTCCAAGTTTTCAGTTTCGTGTCTCGTTAGCTGCCTAGCTTCGGATCGGCACCGAGTCGGTGCGCGAATATCGAGGGAGTCTTGGATAGAGAGAACCGATCTAATAAATACCTGTCACAGCACTGAATGCTGGTATAAGACAGGAGGCAATTGGAGAGAGAGAGCGAGGACAAGGGGGGCGAGGGGCGAGGGGCGAGGGGCAAGGAGAGAGAGAGAGAGAGAGATTGGTCCTACTCGTCGAGCAGGAGGAGATCGAGAGGACGGGAAGTCGGGAGAGAAGGAGGGAGCATCTGCGGGGAGGATGGCGGCGGGGAGGGCAGCGATGGAAGTAGGGCCGGATGGCGTCGCGGTGATTACTATCGTGAATCCTCCCGTAAACTCCCTATCTATTGACGGTATTCTCCTCCTCCTTTCCTTGAGAATTGCGAAATATGACCTGGCTGCATAAAGCTCCGTATTTTCTGTGTAATTTCCTCCGCTGGGCGTCGTCTCTTCATTTCCTACATGCTGTTCTGCGCTCTAGACGGAAATTGGAAAATAAAATGAGGTGGAACGAACGTTCTTCTGTAGTGCTGCTACTTGCCTATCACTTATGCATTTTCTCCTGGCCCTTATATGGCCTAATTTTTATGCATCATACTGCGCAATCGGTTCCCACATCATGTGCACTGAAAGATGATTATCTTTGAATTTGTCTAAAAGTTATTTGGATTGGGTAAAAGTAACTTTCCTCATTATATTTCAGTGTTGTTCAGCCTCAAAGATAATTATGAGGAAGCGATACAAAGAGATGACGTGAAAGCGATTGTGATTACCGGTGACAAAAACACTTTTTCTTGCTTTCATCGGGGAGAGTTAATTTTTTTTTTTATTCTAATTTAGTATTCAACACTTGATTAAAAAAATCAGGGGCAAAAGGAAAATTTTCCGGAGGTTTTGATATCAATGCTTTTGGTGGAATTCAACAGGGGAAAGGTGACCATAGTCTGCTTTTTATGTTTGTGCAATCAGGATGCTTTTTGTGACTCGACCATCCTTTTTATGATAATGCAGCGGTGGAGCCCAAAGTTGGTTATATTTCAATAGATATTATCACCGATTCGTTAGAAGGTATTGTTTGGACAATATCCATCCTCTTAGTTAAGCATAGGATGTTCATCATGAAAAAACGTCTTCTTTTCTCAGGCGCAAGGAAGCCTTCTGTGGCAGCTATTGATGGCCTTGCACTTGGAGGTGGATTGGAGGTTGCAATGGTGGGTTCCAGAGTTCATTCCCCCTAATTCTAAATATTTGTTTTATTTTCTTGTTTGATGGAAACAATGGCTTCACTTAAATTGGTGTATTTACCTAGTTAGGCTTGTCATGGGCGTATTTCAACTTCAACTGCACAACTAGGCCTTCCTGAACTTCAACTCGGGATCATTCCTGGATTTGGAGGTACTGCGTTTGCATTCATGAAAAGCTGGAATTGAGAAAAAGAAGGCTTGATAAACTGCGCCCTGTTATGGCATCTGTTACGAACATTCCAATATTTTTTGACGGTTGTAGTTGGCTGACTTATGCATTATTTCCAACAGCGTGGGATAATATTCTTCAGGTCTCGGTGATCTTGTCTGGCTGTGATCGCCGCACAGATCAGAAGCCGAACTTGTATTTTAATGATGACAGGATCATCCTTTACAATATTCAAATCTCTTCTTTTCACCATTCAAGACTTTGCTATGTTAACCATTCTCGATATTCATTTTCCCTTGAGATGTATCTTTATAGTTTAGTGCTTTTTACCTTGAGACTGCAATGCGAAACGTGACAGGAAGTGGTTTCTTTTGATGTTGTAACCATACTGCTCATTTAATGGACGCATGTCAACAGACCAAACTACTACCGCCCTTCAGAAAGTATTTTGTAAATAACTGTGTGCGTAATGTTTTCTTATTTTTTTTACGTTTTTTATCGTGTTATTTTGATGATCTATATTGTAGTTCATCTATTTTCGGCATTTCTCCATCTTTCTTATTTCAAATTGTGGCCTTCAGACAGGTTTACTCTCCCTTTACACATGCGGTCAGTGGAGGTTGTTGAGGATATTTTCTTGTATTTATTTTCATAGATCAGAAATAATTCATTCTGTCTGTTAGTCAAGTCCTTAGTTTCAAATCAACTAACATTCTTTTATGTTCCAGGAACACAACGACTTCCTCGTCTTGTGGGTCTTTCTAAGGCTCTCGAAATGATCCTTGTATGTGGTCTTATGGCTATCTCGTGGATTTAACCATTATGATAAAAGCCTTTACGCATGCTAACATCTCGTGAATTGGTTCATTCCACTTATGTTTTATGTTCTCCATGCCTCAACAGTTGTCTAGGCCAATTAAAGGATCGGAAGCTTATGCCTTTGGATTGGTGGATGCCATAGTTCCACCTGAAGAGCTGGTTGATACCGCTCGTCGTTGGGTTCTTGATATTGTCGAGTATAGAAAACCATGGATCAAGAGTCTTTACAAAACCGACAAAATAGAGCCCCTGGGAGAGGCAAGGGAAATCCTCAAGTTTGCAAGAACCCAGGCACAAAAACAGGCTGCTAATCTCCAACACCCATTAGTTTGTATTGATGTTATTGAAGAGGGCATTGTCTCAGGGCCTCGTGCAGGGCTATGGAAGGTATGTTTGGCTCTGCTCTTCTTTTGTACAGTCGGGATTAGTTTCAGCTATCTAATCTTGATATCCACGTTTTGCAGGAAGCTGAGGCTTCCCAGAAGCTTATTAATTCAGACACGTGCAAGAACCTGCTTCATGTCTTTTTTTCTCAACGTGCAACTTCCCAGGTCCGTAGAACCTGATTTGATCGAGAGACTATAGGTTTCTGTATGTCTATTGTAAGCTAGCTGTGTGCAACCAGTCATGCGTTCCATGCAAACATTTCCTTATTAGATTCACCATCTCTATAGCTAACTTACGATTTAGAAATTAATGAAAGAAAACAACAAATAAACATGTTGCTTGTAATCGTACACCATCCACATAAATTAGGTCTGGTATCTCTTGTTCTTTCTGACTTCAATGAGAGAATTACTGTCACTTTTCTTTTTTTTTAATATCACTTGTCCTATTTTATGTTTATTTTGCCCTGATAAATTATTGTACCAGTGTATTTTAATCCCTCAATTAGATATATTTAACCTTTTATGGTTCTCATATATTTCTTTCGAAGAAATTTCCTGTTTTCTTCTTTTTGTTGCGCAACCTTTTCTTGGGACCATTAGTGCATTGTTTTCCTACTATCATCTGACATGATTTAAACTTGTAACAGGTTCCTGGGGTTGCTGACCATGGTTTGAGGCCGAGGCAAGTAAATAAAGTAGCTATTCTTGGTGGTGGGTTCATGGGGTCTGGAATTGCCACGGCACTAATACTGAGTAATATTCCCGTAATCCTGAAAGAAGTGAATGACAAATTCTTGCAGGCAGGGATTGGGAGGATTAAAGGTACCTAACTAACAGGTCTTTTACTGAATTTCTCTGTACCTTTCCAGGCATTTGCCAAAAATACTAATTTATTGAATTTCTTAAACTATATTCGTGCTCATAATATTACTCTCCTCAGGCAATTTACAGAGCCGTGTGACGAAGGGAAAAATGACCGAGGAGAGGTTTGAGAGAGCCCTCTCTCTCCTGACAGGTGTTCTCGACTATGAACGCTTTAAAGATGTAGATCTGGTCATTGAGGTGCGCATCCAAGCTCTCGTTCGTGTGAATTGTAACATACTTTTTATTTTCTTTCGATATTTTCCATTTTTAGCATATTTTATTTGAGTTGTCTTTGTACCTGATATTATGACAGGCGGTTATAGAGGATGTATCCCTGAAGCAGAAAATATTTTCTGACCTGGAAAAATACTGTTCACCCCACTGCATCCTAGCTAGCAATACTTCTACGATAGACTTGAACTTGATCGGGGAGGGTACTAAATCCCTAGATCGTATAGTTGGTGCTCATTTCTTCAGGTAATCAACACCACAGCATTTATTTCCAAATTATCAATTTTTTTATCCTTAAATCTCATCTTAATCCACGCTCTCGGCACAGCCCTGCTCATATCATGCCACTCTTGGAGATTGTCCGTACTCAGACGACGTCACCTCAAGTAGTCATTGACCTATTGGATTTTGGAAGGCAAATTCGTAAAACCCCCATTGTGGTTGGCAACTGCACTGGTTTTGCCGTCAACCGGATGTTCTTTCCTTATCCACAGTCAGCATTCTTGTTTGTTGAACACGGTTTGGATGTTTATCAAGTTGATCGAGCAATCACTAAGTTTGGAATGCCGATGGGGCCATTCAGGTACTTTTTTGCATAATGTCTTTTGGGTAGAAGCTGTAGACGTGAATCGACATAGTTTTTTTATGGGTCTCGAATATATATATAGATTTTCTTTCTTCTTCTCGACCCCATATCTGTAATGAATCCACCGGTTGACTTCCCAAATCGTTTGAATTTATTTTCATAATGTGCGCAGAATGGTCGATCTCGTCGGCTTTGGAGTCGCCATTGCTACCACCATGCAGTACCTCCAAAGCTTCCCTGAAAGATGCTACAGATCAGTGCTTCTGCTGCTCATGATGGAGGACAAGAGGGGAGGTAATCATCATCCACGGAGAGTTAAATCCGCCATCGTGCTCGTCGGAGTTCAGAGTTTCTCATTTGCAGCACGCGGTCTATTTCACAGGCGAAGCTACTCGCAAGGGATTCTATACGTACGATGACAGAAGGAAGGCCATGCCGGACCCTGAATTGAAGAAGTATGTTGAGGAATCGAGGAAAACGGCCGGTATCACCCCTGATCCAAAGGTCCTCTCTCTCTCTCTCTCTCTCTCTGCACCTCCATGATTGTGATAACCAGCTTCATTCTCATTCTCCTTTGGATTCTGCAGCTGATGAAGGTGTCGGACAATGAAATCGTGGAGATGATCTTCCTTCCCGTGGTGAACGAGGCCTGCCGCGTGCTCGAGGAAGGGATCGTCACCAAGGCATCGGATCTCGACATCGCCTCCATCATGGGCATGGGCTTCCCCCCTTACAGGTCTGCTTTCGTCAGTTGACCATTTGTGGCCCCCACAGTGTTCTAGACCTCAGGCTGGGTCCCCACCCACCCACCCATCACTTCCACTTCATCTAATATTTGGGTTTTTCTGATCAGGGGCGGCATTATGTTCTGGGCGGATTCTCTTGGGGCCAAGTATATACACTCGAGGCTAGAGCAGTGGTCAAACATCTACGGCGATTTCTTCAAGCCGAGCGCCTACCTGGCTGAAAGGGCCGCCAAAGGCCTTCCTCTGGTGGGATTCATGCCTCATACATGTTACGTTCACCCCCCTCCCACCCCCCCACAGAATCTTATGACTGCTGACGGGCAATTGATAAAACTTTTTTCCCCCGCAGAGTGCTCCGCCGAACCCCGCGAAGCCTCGGCTGTAGGTGGAATCCTTCTTCTCCCAGATGCCAGCAGTCGCTCACACAGTCTAATCTCTCTCTCTCTCCCTCGCTAGAGTTGACTTGTTCTTCTACGATAAATGTTCTGGAAATAGACTGGAGGGCCTTGCTAGAGAGAACTGCTGTAATTGGGCAGAAGAAAGTCAGAGACGGTTCCCTTCCAGGTTTTTTTAGGCCGTTGACTTTTTACTTTGTCCATCGCCATTCGTCGGGGAGATCTCCCTCGGTTTGGTGTACGGGGGTGGGGGGTTTGGGAAATCTCTTGACGAGAGATGGACGGTGCTTGGCGGGATGGGCTGGTTTCACCGATGGTGCAGATCCGATTGCGCTGAGATGATTTGAAAAAGTCCACCACACATAGGAGAGAGAAGACGGGCCGAGCCTGGAAGGACGGCCCGGCTGAAATCTGTCTGGCCCGGCCCGATGGCCTGTTAGTAAGAAGTGTGAATTCAGGTGTTTGCACAATTTGTGAAAATACCCTCATCGTTGATCTGAGATGGTCAAATATTTCAATAAAACCCAAGTACGACTTTTTTTACTTTCCCGGACCCGTCAGTTCTTTTTCGTGTCGAACGCAGAGGTCGTCGTTTCCCCCGAAGGCAGACGGAGCGATTCCGATCTCCTCTCCTCTGTTCCGTCGGCGTCTTCACGGGGACTCTGCGGAAGGGGGAATGGAATCGAGGGGAGATGTTTAGACGGGAAGGATGAGAGAAAGATTCAAGGTGCCTGCGGTGGACTGCTGTCTCCACCTCTTCGTCTTCTTCGTTTTCTTCTTCTTCAGTCCTCCAATCTCCTGCTCCGCTGGTGAGTTCGTTTGCTGCCGCTTGGCGTGTTCTCTAATTGTATTTTCTCGTTGCCTATTTCCCGTCTTCTGGCTTAGTAGAATCGTTACTTTTTCTCATTGCATTAGATGTGTTCACAATAAACACATTTTTTCTGTCCGACTACGGGATCCTGTGAATTTTGGGCATCGGGTGGCCAAGCGGAAATCGTATGGATATGAGGAATGATGGTTTTATTTTCATAGACCTTCTGGAAGTCTTGTTGGTTTTTTATGAGAAATTATGTCGAGTGTTTGAATGAATCTAAAGACGCTTGAAATCCGTGCATTTTTTGGCTTCGTGGGGATGCATCTTATGCTTATTTTTATTTTTTCAGGAATTCCGTGATGAAATGAGAATTTATACTCATTCAAAATAAAATTAAGCCTTTGTACTGTCGATTTCGCTTCAAAGTATTCCAGAAAGTGGAAAAGCACGGACATTTTCAGTGTATAAACATTTTCGGGACATCTCTACTCCCACTATTCCCTTAATTTTAACTTGTGCAGATGTCTGGTGCTAATATTGAGATCAGACTACGTTCTAATGATATTGTCCCAGCGGAATCATGGGATGAGTCGTAGCCTGTGAATGTCCTCGTATAATCTTGTTTCTTTTTGTTTTCGGGTGATGAGGGAACCTGATAATCCATTGGATAGCTTGGGGAACTATCCTATGTGTGAACGCCTTGAACTTTGTGACCTGTGTCATGAGCACGGTTTGGCATCATATCCAAAGGAACGCTTCGACCAAAATATCAGTTGACTTTTCTGGTGCCGATGTCAACTGTAAACTGATGGTGTCAATGGATCGACTTTCTGTCCGACAATATGGTGCAGGCACCAATTCTAGTCACATCGTGGATCGACTTTTAGCAGACAAGCTAAATTTGTGGGGTAGAGACAACGTGGTTCTAGTATTGGTTTTCAGATGACGTAGTGAAACCAGAAGCAGATAAAAATATACATTCTGAGCCTGGTTTTCCCTGAAACATCAAACATACAACTTTAAAAAAATCATAAAACACGGTAAACTTTAATAGAAATTTGTTGGGCCTTAGGGTTGGGCTCTATGTGAAGCACAAGAGTGTTTACTCTTTCAGCCTGTGGCGCACATCTAGTGGATGATTTTGTTCCACAGAAGTACATGGACAATCATATACATGAGGTTGATCTATTGGTGGATTTGGCAGGGTCAAATGTGATGAGGTTAGAAAAACACTAAATAAGAGCGGCTTACATTCCATTTTTCCAAATGTCCAAACAAGGCTAGGTTACTTGATAACGAACCTAGATATGAAAAGGTTATATTTGATCCGATCATACTTGGTTGTGAGAATAGACTAACTTAACCATGTTTTATAGATTTTACTCCCATGTCCTCTGTAAAATGACAGTTCTCCATGGAAAAACCTTGCGTGTGCACCCCACTAGTCCTAATATGCTTTGAGCATGAAAACAGTGACCAAGTGCTCGTGTGATTAAGTACCATCCATGTTGATAAACCTTTTTTTATATGTCTTGACCAATCCTGCTCACTGAATGTGCAAACCACTGAGAACAAAACCCATTCTTGAGTCTTAGTCTGAACTTGTCAATGTGGCAAAACATTCTTTATAGTCATGTCCACATGCAGAGAAAATTTATCTGTGATTGTTGCCAATCACATTTATAATGGTCTGGAATATCGTTTGTCACGCAATAACTATTAGTTTATTTTCCTCTCATACGCAACATGTTTGGGGTACCAATGGATGCCTTATTTTTTTGAAATAATGTTTTTAGGTAGATACAGAAGGGCCTGAGTTTTGGAACCCCACCGTGCCCACCCCCTCCTCCTGAAAATAATACCGGCGCATATCTCCAGTCGATTTTCTTGAAGAGATGACCTTTTTGTGGAGTAGCAATCGTCTGTTATCCATTTGCACTGTCGATGAGTTTTTTTCTTGAACTCTGTTGGCTTGAGTTTGGTTGACGTCTTATGGAACTACCATAACTGCATTGCAATATAGGGAAATCAGCTGGAGTGTGCATATCTCCTGGTGGCCGCTTTCCTGCATTCAAGTCCGAAGGAAAACCCCCAAGGAAGGCTGCAAAAGGCCTCAGAGATTTGACACTTTGCAGGGTCTTCCGTGAGAATACGTGCTGTGATGTGGCTCAGACACGACCCGCCTTTGCATCAATGAGAAGACTAGCTTCTGCCGGGGAAGCGAGTCAAGAATGCTTGGACCTATGGGAAGTTTTGGAATGCTCTATATGCCATCCGCTTGTTGGCACCAAGCCAGGACCGCCCATCATGTGTGCCTCCTTTTGCGACACAGTTTTCCGTGCTTGCTCAGATGCATATTTCTCAATTGACGGCAAAACCCAGGTGGCTATTCTCTGCACCCTATTCTCCCCAAATTTAGGATCAAAGAGATATTTTTTTGTGAAAATTTGAAATTAACATACGGTCTGATCATCCTCTTGATCACTGAGCACCTATATCGATTCATTAAGAAAGTTGACGGATAGTATGAAATTCCTAAGCAAATTATCTTTAATGTTTACGAACATGTCATGCAGAATGTTGTGGAACTATCTTATCCATGATTCTGAATTAGTTAATGAGGCTAGGGTGGAATGCACAGACAAATTATTTTTGATGCTAACCACACGATGCAGATAGGGCAAATCTCATGAATCTCTCCAAAATTTTCTTCGAATTGAACACATCAGTGTCTCTGATAAAAATTCCAATTTATGTACCAACTTTATAAAGATCTCTTCGTTTAGCTTTTTGGGTGCCTAATGAGATGCTATCCTTCTGTCAGGTCTTGTCTCCCTGCGGATTAAACGATGTGATGTGTGGTAGAGCAAGTGAGTGGGTCTCTAATGGGACAGAGCTCTGCCAACTTGCAGGTTTTTCTGTGCAATCCGCCAGCTTTTCAAACCATGACGCCGAAGAACCGTTTTGTTACGGTAACAAGGCCAGTCTAGAAGCTGTCGATGGGTTGTGGAAGGGTTCTGGGCGCAGGTCGCCTCAGAAACCCACGAGCTTGGGCATGCGTCAGGATTTTCTTCGGTGGGTGAGGAGGATGACCATTAACGAGAGGTTATCATGGGCAGTTGGTCTCATCAGCGGTCTTTTCTTGCTGATGTGAGTGGTCAATTCTATGTACACTGCCATTCTGCATCTAGAATATACATACATACCATGATCCACCCAATTTTTCCTATTCATAGGAGGAGGAGGCGCCTGATTCATCGCCAGAGGCAAGCCGCTGTTCAGAGAACGGCAAGAATGCTGAGGAGTAGGAACCATCCGGCTAGCCCCAACAAACCAACCTAGCCACACGCAATGCCCGTTCGAAGAGGAATGATCTGTTTCTGTAAAAAGGAATTTTGGGTTTTCTCACTGTTGCTCTAGTGGCTCTCTGGTGATCATATTTCCTCTCTTGGATATTTTTTTAAAAGATTAATCGGCCTTTGGAGAAGGGACTTTTGATGGGTTGCGGCACAAAATTGGACTTGAATACCGTAAGAAGAATTTCCATCTGTGGATGCAGGAGAGAGAGAGTAAAGACCATTCCCAATGGAATTCAGACGGTGAGAACAAAAACCTTTCAGTTAGTAAGTAGCCATAAAATCGAGAAATATGCTTAATGAGAACGTTTCATGATTCAAGGCGATCAAAGTAGGGGGAGGGGGGTCCCGAGGACTATTTCTTGGCGTAGGTGATCAGCATTGGGAACTGCGGGGTAATCTTGAAGGCCTGGAGGCTCTGCATGGAGACGGTGGCCTGCATCTCGTCCCCAAACTCCACAAAGGCGATCCCAGGCTTCGCCTCCACCATCCTCACCTCCTTGAAGCCGGGGTACTGGCAGAAGAGCATCTGCAGCATCATGGGGGTCGTCTCGTGGGGGAGGTTCTGGACGAAGAGGATGTTGTTCGGCGGCGCCGGCGCCTCCGGAAGTGCTGACTTGGGCCCGCCAGGATACGGCAACTGAGAGAGCTAATACGTCACCATGCCCACCAGGCAGGGGAAGTAGAGAGGACATATCAGCATGGCACATAAGAGGAAACTGTATATGTGTTCATATATAAAATAAAACGGTGGAGTATAGCTGATCAGTCAGAGTCGAATTGATATGATGCGGCTTCCACAAAGAGAGAGAGAGAGAGAGAGAGAGAGAGAGAGAGAGAGAGAGAGACCCAGAAAACAAGACAAGGCCATGTATAGCATAAGTAATTATGTCTGTGATTGGTCAGGAAGAAGAAAATAAAGGAGCAGGTTTTCATTTTAGTCGACGTTTTCTTTTTCCCGCTGTGGGAGAGATAGCAGGTGAAGATGGATGTGTTGTTGTCATGCATACATGGTCCAGAGGAACCTAAATTCGCCATTTTTGGAAATAATTTATTAAGACTACTTCTAAAGGGGGTTTTGAGCACCGTCCTACGCTGCCATGGTTCACGAGCGCATCAAAAGGAACAATCACCCAAAGTCATATAAAGGAGAAAGAAGTTTGAGGATCATCACCGATGGCGCAGCGCCATATCCAGCGTATGCTGGGTTCATACCCACTCCAGCTTGGTTAGCATCGTGCAGTTGCTCCCGGCGTTTTCTTTCAGCTGAATTCAGAAGCAAGCTAGCATCACTTACCACCAAAATAACTTTTAAAAAGTATGACGATCAAGATATCAAGTACCCGAATTCGCAAAAATTGTATAAAGTTCTGTTTACAAATGATGAGCAGAAATTCTGAAGAATTTGGATATGAAATCGCAAAGAAAAAACATGAAGCGAAATCTAGGGTCATTGTCAGCGATGAGATCAGCGTAATTTGTTTGCATGGATCCTAGAAAATGATATGATATGTTGAGATGGCAAATCAATACACCTGAAAGAAAATCCCGCTCCTTCCACAAATTCTGCTTGCCTCCGCAGGGCTGTATCCCCAAAAGTAAATTTATAGCTAAAGGTAGTCCAGGTGTATGCTATAAAACAAATTTGAGAGTGCCATCTACCTTGGAAACAACTAGAATATAACGGCCAAAGCTATCCAAAGATTGGGTACCCAAAAAAAGAAAGGAAATTAATCCAAATTTAGAAATCAGATCGTACCCAAAATTAATGCTGGAAATGGCTATGTGATGCAAATATAGACTTGATTTTATCATAATTCAATCTGAATAATGAAATACCACTTTTACTTGGACTAAAGACGAGTTATACCTAAATCTATATTCTGATAAGCTACACAAATAAGTTTCAACATTGATGCGTGGAAGATATTTGGTGAGTATCCCCCCCCTGCAAAGACCCAACTGTATGAGAACACTGAATCTAAAAAAGGCGGATCCAAATCTATTCACATTCTTATCCACTTTGAAATCTGTGAGAAAATTTAGAAGCCTCTTAGCAAAGAAATTCCTGCAGCAACTCCAATATGTTCATCACCCTAACAACAAATATGACGGTTATGTGATCAAGATTAATTGTTGGCTTCATGCGATATTTAATTCGAACGAATTAAAACGCAGTGAAAGTTCTACCGCTCTATCGTGTACCACAAATAATTGAATTAAAATATTTATCACATATCAGGTGAAACAGGTTCAGATCCCTAGTCGACCCTCCAATCCTCAATCTGGTTACCTCAACGGAATGTATATTCTATAGCAAACTGTGCACTAAGAAAATTACGTCAAAGTAAAACTAGGTTCGTACATTTATTCATTGCATTTGTTTCTCAAACACAAATAAGAGAGGAAAGAAAATTGATGAAGGGAACAATATGCAAATATATCTTGAGATTCAACTGGACAGAACTCACCTCTTTCATCTTGCCTCTTCCGCCTTTCTCGTGGAACAAATGTGCCATCAGCCTTTGCTATTATATCAGACTTAGTCTTAGCATATTTTATCCTCTGCATCATAAAGGCCATTCAAGTTTGAAATCAACGAAACCACCTTAATGAAATCCTCAATTCATAAAACACAACCCGAAAATTGAGATGGAATTATCTGCTGCCACATTTGAATTAATACTGATGTCTGATAAAGAAAATGGGAAACCTATTCATGAGTGGGGAATCATCTGAATCAAGAGGCATCCGAAAGAAGAAACGAGAATCAGCAGACTAGATTCAAAAACTGTGTCGAGGAGATACAATGAAAATAAACAGTACCCTACTTCAGGTTATGATAAATGGCTGTTGAATGCCGAAGAAAAGAATCTCCAGACAATCCAAACATTGATATATGTGGTTCGTGCTTCAATTGTTGATAGAATTTTGATTGAAGGACAGATACCAAATGGATGAAAGGTTGACCCATTCATGATGAAGCAATTGCAATTCCATGCAGGAGCTTTAAAATTTTTCCCACCTATGGATGACAGAATACAGATTTTGCTTTGGGCATCAATGTTCAATAACCAGCAGGCTGCCGAGATTTTATGAACTTTCTTTTTTCCAGGGGAAGCTATCTGCTCCATATCATTTAAAAAATTAATTTTCTACAAGTGATAACAACATAAACCGCAGCAAAGCACAAATGTTCACAACACGATGTTTATGCAAGCTGCCTCAAAGGTCTTCTAGATATGATGAATGAAGGTCGATAACTGTACTATGGCGGGTTATGTAATAGGAAAATACATTTCTACAGCAACCATTCTTTTTGTTTGGGGTGGTGGGGGGGCTATGCATAGGATGACACATTCTTATTAAGTAATAAGTTATTGAAATTTCAGTAAAATGACTTCCGTGGCATCTCTTATTCGTTTATCCACTCAGTAAGTGAACTAAAGTCTTGTTATTGGCGTAATTTTTGCCATATTGGTCATATCTACTTGTTAGTTCAATTTAATTGAAATTACCAAATTTGCGCATCCCTTCTCACTGAATGTATTATAGGAAAGTAATGACTTCAACCAGCAGAGAAAATTGATCTATTCTCTGCCTAGCCTACGTCTTATCATAACTCAGGTCCGAAAACCCATATTACAGTAGCATGATATTGGAAATTATCTAGCAAAAAGTATATCGTCTACTTCTAGGGTGGGTAAAATCTGGAGAAGAATACCTTGGCAAGCAAAGGGAATCAGAAACTTGACGGATGACGCCCCTTGATTGATGCCAAGGATTTATCCTTGGCAGTAGTCGAGGAAAAATATAATCATAGGGGGGGATATTGAAACATTTACTGATACTATGTCAAGGAACCATGGACACTTGCCAAAGTCAATTTCTTCAGGTAGAACGATGGTCGTGCTTCCATCAGGTGAGATAGTACACGAATAGACCTCTGCTTGAACTCTTCCTTTACTCTTCACAGCCTCAATGTCTGATTCTGAAGTAGCGTTGGAAAAAGTTTTCGACGATTCGAACGATTTGTATTTTGATTCGGACGATTTGGCGGGAGATGGCACACGGCCAGGAACTCTGCAGTTAATATTTGAAGAGTTTTCCTTACACCGACAAGGGAGGATTACTGGATATTTCTGTGAAAAATCTTACAAGCTTTCCCGGAGGTCCACCTATCTTAAATGGATGTCAGAGTTACAGACCCATGTTAACACTACGGAATTCTGCGGAGCTCATTCATAGCAAGGTTCCTAAGAGGAGAATAGCCTCATGATTTCAATGATAGCTTACAAAAGCTATTGAAAAATCTGAACTATTCATGAGATCATTTAAACAAAGAAGAGCATGTGAATGCCAGTAGCATGAAACACTTCGTCCATATTAGCATGAACCGAATGACTAGAAAATTAACGACGAAAAAATATTGCATACTCACCATTGGCTTGTCGTAGAATGGGAATCCTTGCATTCGCTTCAGTGCTTCAGATGCTGACGACACATCTTCAAAGACAACCCAGGCTTGTCCCTTATGCTTTAATGTCTTGAAAGCAAGGACTTCCAATATCTTTCCGAACTGAGAAAAAACGGCATGCAAGGATTTCTTGAGCTCTAGTCAAACAATGCAGATAGATTAGTCAAAAAAATAGCAAAGAATGATGGGAAATTTCCAACCAAAATAAAATAAATAATTAAATAAAGAACTAAAGAACGTTGACAAACGATAGTCTTCATATTATGTTTCGATTAACAATAATAAATGATGATTATTTTCTATTCCAGGCGTTCTCAAACAAAAAGGCAAAGGTTCTCTCATTTGAGCAAACCTCCCTAATCCAGTCCAGAAAACTCATCCCGAATTATCATGACCGAAAAGTTAAAGGCAATTCCTTATCATGGTTCACAATATCAAAATCTTAGTAAACCAAGGCAATTTTTTAAAGAACGCATAGCCTCAATAGGTAATATTAACATTGCAGGAATGAGTCAATAGGCACATGGACCAGCTACAAAGCATTTAATGGGTCAAAGAGTGGCTCGATTTCAATTATCGCAGGAAAACGGAAATCCCTAAAGGCACTTTGTGCAAAATAGTTCCGAATTCATGCAGGAATAAGATCTAAAAAGACCGATCCTACAAAATATATAAGAAAATGATCTTTAGTTGATAGATATATTATCACGTGCGACCACAAGTACAGAGGTCAGACAAAGTAAATGTTTTAAATTAAGACACAAACATGCGTCCGTGTGTACATACACAAATATCATACACAGATATTACACATACATTATGCATATACATCTGCGAATGCATGGATACTCTTGTACATTTTATACAATGACCGATTAAACCACATCCTCCATGAACGCAGTTGGCTCCAGACTTCCATAAGAGAATTCCGACATTGTTTTGACAAGTCACTATTATGTTTGTAGATTTTTTCTTGTTACGCCTCAGGTTTGTTGAGTTCAAAATATTAAAAATAAGCGGTGAAACTTATAACACAACACCTATTAATTCCCAATACCGGTTAACATCGAGTTATGGTTTTATAAGCATCATTGGAACTATACATGAGTAGGCATAATACTTTCTAGACCCAGCGTCCATGATTCCTTCAAACAATTTGTTTAAATACCATGCAACTTTCATAGATGGAATCAGATTCCTTGAAAATACTTATTGATAGAATACAGAAACTTGTTGCAACATGTAAAAATTCAACAAAACAATACGCACAAATGAGACAGGTAAGATTATAAGATGCTACGGGCCTGTAACAACTTCTCAGTCGATCAGTTTTTTTCTGGCAAAATCGGAGTGTAATCTTTCGTATTTTACTTCTTCCGTTGAGTTGAGGACTTAAATTAAATGGCTTTCAAGATCAAAACTAGGTCATTTTGCATCTAATCGAATCTACAAAATCTGAAATTCAAGAGAACAATGCCTCCTTCAGGTGGTCAATCCAACGCCAACTACAAGATTTAGATTTGATGGTTAAGGAAATCATGTACAGACCCATCACATAGAAAAGAATGATGTAAAAAAGAGATATCACAGAGCAAGCCGCATAAACATCAAATCCTTTAATCCATAAATCTCATTGGATGAACCAAGTATGCCATCTCATTTTTTTTCCCCACAAACTGTTTGATCGAACTGCAAATAACGAGATCATATTCTAGCATGCATGAAAAGGAAAAGGAGACGACAAAAAAGAATAAATTAGCACTCTATCGTCCAAAAACATCTTAATACCCATAAGCCAAAAAACTCAATAAAATGCATGAACTTTAAAGCATGAACTTTAAATACCATACAATTATCGGGTAAGCATCGACTTCGGAACTTAAACATGATCAAACTAAATCTTCTAAATCTTCCGGAAACTTTAACATAATAATCTAAGTTGACACATTTTCTTCCATCATGAAAATGCCACCCCTCGTATTTCCCAAGCAATGCGACGTCAAAGCGCAGGAAGTTGTGTAATTATGCATATACAGGTAAGGGCAGGAATTTCATGTGCGTGCAAAGAACGTGAGTCGGCAATGCACGTCAAATATCCATACCAAAACACAAATGCATCAAGGAATGATGTCCGCTCCGGACAGGTGGCAATAAACCCTAGAGCCGGGGTTTACGGTGACAGAGACAGTAGCTTCTACTTTATGACCGCTTTGTTCATCATCTTCCCCAAAACAGCAAAATGAACCACGTCCCTATAAATAGGCGTGAGAGAGGCTTCGCACCGTCGAGCTTGATCTTCTCGTTGAGGTTATTGATGTAGATGGTCATGTTGGGGGGGATGTCATCCGCGGGGGCGCTCATCTCTCGCGCGGCCGTGTGCTTCCTCCTTCCCTCACTTCCCTTCGCAATCGTAGCTTACACGATAACGGAGAAGGAAGTTCCTCCACGCGCCGCCTTTGCCCTTGCGCTTCGCCGACGGGGGACCGAAGGAACAAGAGCTTGAGAAGAGGAAGGGAAGCAACGCCGTCTCTGGCTTTCGCGGCATCTTATTATAATTTTATCCTTAAAAATATCATATTAAACCAAAATACCCTTAAATACATAAATATTGCATAAGGGTTTCCCTCTTATAGAATTCACTGTCGCCTTGCGGTGAATAATTATGTTCCACTATATTCGTGGACATAAACAAGCAGCCTCATAATTGCCGGCGAGGGGCCAGCGAGAAAGAAAAAAAAATTAACTCGATCACCAGTCACGTGCTCCTTGACGACGTTCCGCTTTAACTTCCCCTCATTACACATCTACGTCACGTGTTTATGGGGAGCAGAAATGCCCATTCATAGGTCGGCGAGGGGCCCCCTCCTCCCTCGAGCCGACGGGCCATACTCGGTAGTTGCCGCGTGCGGCGGAGGTAGCTTCGAGAGACAACCGGTGACGTCATCCCTGTCGAGGTGCACATAACTGCGCGCGGGGCGAGACGGCGAATCTTTTAGTCCACCCTCCGCCATGCCCACAGCTCCCTGCGCCCTCGCAGCCCCAGCGCCACGGTGGTGGCCGGTGGTGCTCCTGCTGGTTGTTATCGCCGCCGGCGAGTTGGTGGGGGGGTTGGCAGCTGCGGGGAAGGTGGGGGAAGCCCCGTCCGGCGGGCTATCGGCGTACGAGGTTCTCCGGTCCTACAACTTCCCCGTCGGCATCCTGCCCAAGGGCGTCGTCGGCTACGATCTGGACGCGACCACGGGGGCCTTCTCGGTGCGTCTCAACGGGACCTGCAGCTTCGCCGTGCAGGATTCCTACGAGCTCAGGTACCAGTCGACCATCTCGGGGCGCATCTCGGAGAACCAGCTCAGCAAGCTCAACGGCGTGAGCGTGAAGGTTGTCTTCTTCTGGCTCGACATTGTCAAGCTCACCAGGAAGGAGGACGAGCTCGAGTTCTCCGTCGGCATCATCTCTGCCAGCTTCACCATTGACAACTTCCTCGAGAGCCCCCAGTGCGGTTGCGGATTTGACTGTCTCAACCTGCTGCAGCTGCCCTCGGGGAAGGCGGCCTCACGGGCCAACCGGAGAGCGGCAGCCTGATGCTCCGGAAGCCAGCTCCCTCCGAATAAAGTTAATAATTCGCTCTCGCTCCATGGCTGCTGTTAAACATCCCCTGCCAGACTAATCGCAATCAGTGCAGATACTTATCTATAGATCTTCCCCAATCTATGCAGGAATAGGGATATTCCCCAATGCTATACACTGTCGCTATCTCTGTCTCTGTTGTCTCCTTGATGCCAAAATAACGGGCCAGCGTATGAATCTATGAAAGAATCTTTTTTCCGATCGGCAGGGATGCATCAGAAAGCAGCCACTACGGAAGATACCTTGGAAACCGAGCGTCGGATCAGATATGCCGAGCTGCTACTTGCTGTGCGAGAGCTACAGACACTTCACCTACCCAGAAATTGTAGATATGATGAAGCAAGTGCGGCGCACGCTTTCTCCAGGCCTCCTCGACTCACCGAGGTTGACTGCATGAGGAAAACACCGTCGACATATGAGAGAAAGTTATACGACAGAGATACGAGGAGAGGTCGACCTCCTGGACGAGTGAGCCACGAATGACCACAACCACGAAAACGATATTTTCTTTCCTAGTACGATTAGGATGCTCTCATTTCTGCAAAAAGAGCCATGAGGATGACGTCAAGACTAACTGCAAACTAATCCCCGGAATGGGCATGAAAGAATAAGGAGAGGCACGACGAAAGTTTGAACAAGAGACCACTGCCATGAAGCGGGGAGAGATGCTCAAGAAAGGAAGAGCGAGCAGTGATGCTGAGCAAAAGAGCCATACAGCAAGATGCCACCCAGAGTCGCATAGAAAAAACTGACCACCCTAGCACGTTACACACGCTATCAGAAGGTATCACCGGCGAAACAAAAATGAAAGTGTACTACATATAAACTAGCAAAGGTTCATCTCAATACCAGACGACTACAAATCAAGAACGACTAAAAAAAATCCGTGATATTGCAGTTTTTTTCTAAAATATAAATGAATCATCCAGATTTCGCCCACTGAACACGAGCGTTGGCGGGTCCTGAGGGGCCAAACTTCAGACATTAATAAGCTATGGCGAATTCTATTACAGTTTCTTACTTTTCTCGCTAACAAAATTGCTCCTCAACTTTACTACAGTTTAGCACCCTTGGGTTCATGAATCCATTTCCGAGTTTGCTTGGAACAGACTCAGGTGGTGAAGTCAATTTCGAAAACTGACCAAGATGCACACTAGTAAATTGGACAGGGGCGGTAAGATGGAGATATTCTAAGAAGCATTTAAAGCAATCTTAAAGATACAAACGTCAAACCCCTGTATCCACTAATCCCTCTCCCATTTGCCCACTGGAAGCGGTGGTCGGGGGGAGAAATAGGGCGTCCGTCGTAATAGTGAGCAGACGCTGGAGGAAGACATCAACGATTACAGTAACAGTCTTAACGCAGTGTAATCTGGCACACAACTTTCGAGAATCCCACCCAAGTTCTGCACAATTTGCTTATCGGTTGAATCTCCAAAAGGATCCCACCATTGCAACAAAAAGAATTATGTTGGGACACAGGAATCAGCCTCTGTTAGACCCAGTTGTCCTACGTGTTCGTTACTACCCAGTGTTTCACGTGCTTATGCTTCTAAAAAAGGGAAAAGGGCTAAAATCACGACTGCTTCGTCTTATAGAGAGGAAACCAAGATCAAGTTTGCCTAAATTCCAAAACAGATAAAGACCATGATATCACATACAGGAAAATTCAACCATGATGTGATAGGATTAGGATGGAAAAGTAGTAGTTAGACTGGGAGGAAAAGTAGTAGTTATACTGGCCAGCATTATTCCCGATTGGACTAAAAGAAATGCATCAGATTTCATGAGTGAATTATACAATAAAATCGAAGTTTCTTTAAAATTTTAATAAAAGCTACCAATGACTGCAGATTAATTTTAAGAGATTGAGAGCAGCGGGAGCGAAATACTCATTTGAAGTAGGAACCACCTCTTCCAACAAATCAAAATGCAGAGTTGAAGCGGAAGAATCTATCTCATTGAAGAAATAAAACTCCACACAAACAGAGACGACGGGAATTTAATGGTTCCATAAATCTGAGTGGATTCAAGCGTCAACCATAGATTTCAATAAAACGTTTTCAGCACTAAGAGATACGTCCAGGCAAGAAGACCTAAAGCAAACTTAAAAAAACATGACAGTATTTGAGAAACAAATCTACGGAATTAAAAACAAGAAAATCAAATAAGAAGAACAGAGCCAAAGCTCATTTTGCTTAAAATAATGTAAATGAGAAAGAGAAAAGAAGGAATATTATAAATTAATAACAGTAAACGTTTAAGACACGCAAAAGAGAATTGTATTAAGTGGAAAAACAGTACGTGACATTAGAGAAATGTACGAAACTGGTGAAAAGGTAGGTGCTAAAAGATGCCGCTGAGATGACATAAGAAAAAAGGAAGGCAATATTAAGTGGAAAAAAACGAATCGACGAATGAAAAAGATTGAGGAGAAGAAAGAATGAAAGAATGAAAGCTTGATTAGTAAGAAATTATAACAATTATTTCGAAAAACAGACAGTATAAGAGGAAAGAAGAAAACCACAAAACAACGAATCTCAATGAACAAATTAGGAGCAATAACAACAAACTTATGAAATGACCAAAGAACAATAAAGAAAAAATAAGATAAAAAATAATGAATGAAAGAAGAATGAAGTAAAAATAAAAATAATGAATAACGGAAATCAATTTTCAGTTAAGTCAAAGTCAGAGAATAAAAAAGGGATAGTAAAACAGACAGTCACAATACGTGAGAAAAATACAAAAAATGAAAGCGGTGTAAGAGCAGACCAAAGAAAATCAAAAGGAAAAAAAATACAGAAAACAAAAAAGAAAATGGCATCCCATAAATTAGGAATTAAAGGTTATTTGTGATTTTTTCCTACGTATTTCCTGTCTTTCAGGTGTTTTTCTTTTAATTATTTCCTCTTTCCTGTCTTTTGTTCGTCTGTTTTTTCTTTCTATTGTTTTCCTTATTTTTCTAGTTCTATCTTTTCTTCTGTTCGTCCTTCTCTTCCTTTTGTTCTTTTGGGACTTTTTGTATTGGACCTCTTTGCTCATGAGTAAGATTTTTATTTTGATTGGTAATATGTAATTATTCGGAGCATGTAGGATTCGGACCTGTACCTTTAAAACTTAAAGGACGCGAGACAATCATAAGAAATGCAGGATGCTCTATCACACAAAGAAAGATACAAGAAAGAAATGCGAGCACAATTAAGAACTGAAACAGCCATCAAGACCTTCGAAAGAAAACTGCATGTTTGTCGAAGAAAGCGACGGGAAAAGTATAATGTCAAAATATAACATCAGGAACCTCTCTATAATCAACCAATAATAATCTAGATGTGTGCAGAACATAACACCGTGAAAAGAGTGCGTCATAGACATGATAAAAAAGAAATAAAAATAAAATCTCAGATAATTGCTGATAATTGCTAACCTACAGGTGCTTTGTAGATTTCCGGAATTTGAAGGAAAGTGCATGAAGGCTGAAACATAACGGGTGGTTATCGGCTACCTGGAGAGAACCATTGCGCCACAAAGCAGCAACACCGATTCATTGCCCACTACGACACAAACAACTTCAAAAACATGAGGCAGCAAAACCCACTCTCCTAGCCCTTCTACGCCTAGCATCCGAAGCTCTCGCCGTGGGCAGTCTCCTCCGGCATGAGAGGATTGCGGGGAATCCGGTTTCAAGGAAGATGGAACGGTTTCAAGGAGGATGAGAGGATTGCGGGGAATCCGGGAAGAAGCCATCGATGTCTAGGCATGCTTAACGCAAGAGACCTCCGGCGGCGGGGGATTCTGATGCAGGACGACGGATCCATCAGATTCCCGTCACCCCATGAAGACGGCGGACAACCAACTCGCACCCTCGACGATCCCAGTTTTACAGATCGAAGCTGTCACCCCCCCGGCATAGGAGGACCAGACGACTCTCGACAAAGAGAGAATGCCGCCTGAAACATATTTTCCCGCCCATTCTCGTGGCAGGCTTCTATCAGCCGAATTAACAGGGAACTAATAGCTCAAGATGGCCGTGAGAGGGCGTGACGGGTCAGAGTTTTCTCTGACCGCTGGCTCAGGATAAGCAGATTCCGTGGACCGAGTCTAGCAGATCTTATGTCAATCCGATGGCGGTCAGGTCCGGGCCCGTTCGGCCCGTCCAGCGATCCGACCGAGGGCTGTTTGGGAGATTCCAACTCACACGCTTCCGCAGCCCACGACAACTACCCCCCACACAGCGCGATCACATTCTCCCTCTTCCTCTTCTTCTTCTTCCTCTTCCGTCTTCTTCTTCTCTCTCTCTCTCTCTGGTCGATATTCTCGCAGACCCGAGAATCCCGACGAAATCCCCTTTAGCCTTCGTATAGGGGAGTCAAGGTGAGGGCCTGACCTGCCGCAACCACAGATCTAGTCTGCCGCCCAGTTCCGCCCAGGCCGCCTCTTCCTCATGAGGCAGAAAATCGTCCCGGTCACCGCAGAGGTGGCGATGCGCTCCACCGGGAACGCCAAAGCCGGCGGCGATGGCGGGAAGGTGGACCTGCACCCCGTTTCCTCGGCGATCTGCAACGGCGAGGATCTCGGACCATTCGTGCGCAAGGCTTTCGCCACGGGGAAGCCGGAGACGCTGCTCTCGGCGCTGCGGCACTTTACCCGCGCCAAGGAGTTGGAGATCGAGGACGTATGCCGAGACCACTACCAGGATTTCATCCGCGCCGTTGACGACCTCCGCTCCCTCCTCTCCGACGCGGACTCCCTCAAGTCCTCCCTCTCCGATTCCAATATCCTCCTCCAGGCCGTTGGCGGGCCTCTCCTCTCCTCGCTCGACGCCTACGTCGAGGCCCGCTCGCAGGCTCGCAATATCTCCCTCGCCCTGCGCTCCGCCCGCCTATGCGTCGGCCTTCTCGACCTGTGCCGGCGCGCCAATGCCTACCTTTCCAAGGATGAACTCTACCTTGCCCTTCGCTGCGTCGACAACCTGGAGCGAGATTTCCTCCTCGACTCCCCCGATTGCGAAGAAGGAGAAGGAGGTAACGGCGCGGGTGGCGTTCCCTCCCCCACTCTCCGCCGGATGCTGGAGAGGCAGATCCCCGCTATCCGCGCTCATGTCGAACGCAAGATCGGGAAGGAATTCGGCGATTGGCTTGTTCAGATTCGAGTCGTTAGTCGCAACCTCGGCCAGGTAGCCATCGGCTACGCCTCCGCTGCCCGCCAGCGGGAGGAGGAGCTCCGGATCAAACAGCGTCAGGCGGAGGAGCAGAGCCGCCTCAGCGTCCGCGACTGCATTTATGCCCTCGAGGAGGAGGACGACGGTCCCACCGGCGCCGGAGGGGCTTCTCTTGACGGTTCCGGTAGAGAGAACAGCGGTGATGGAATATTGGGCTTCGACCTAACCCCCCTTTACAGGGCTTACCACATCCACCAGACTCTGGGCCTGGAGGATCGTTTCAAGCTCTATTACTTCGAGAACCGGAAGCTCCAGCTGACCTCTGATTTCCAGGTCTCTTCGATGACACCGTTTTTGGAGTCTCATCAGACATTCTTCGCGCAGATTGCTGGCTTCTTCATTGTAGAGGACAGGATCCTGCGCACGAGTGGTCGGCTTATCTCCAAGATGGAGGTAGAGAGCCTATGGGAGACGGCCATTGCCAAGATGGTGTCTGTGCTAGAGGACCAGTTCTCGCGGATGCAGACTGCCAATCACCTTCTTCTTATCAAGGATTACGTAAGCCTGTTCGGAGTCACACTCCGGCATTATGGTTACACTGTGGATCCTCTCCTTGATGTACTGAGCAAACACCGAGACAAGTACCACGAGTTGCTACTTTCAGACTGCAGGAAGCAGATAGCTGAGGCTGTCTCAGCTGACAAGTTTGAGCAGATGCTGATGAAGAAAGAGTACGAGTATTCGATGAATGTCCTATCATTCCAGATTCAGACATCTGATATCATGCCTGCTTTCCCTTTTGTGGCTCCTTTCTCTTCTACGGTACCCGACTCCTGCCGCATCGTGCGCTCCTTCATTGAGGACTCTGTTAGCTTCATGTCATATGGGGGCCAGCTTGATTTCTATTTTGTAGTGAAAAAGTATTTAGACCGGCTGCTGAATGAGGTCCTAGATGGTGCGTTGCTGAAGCTTGTCGAGTCTTCAGTCCATGGGGTATCCCAGGCCATGCAGGTTGCTGCCAATATGGTGGTACTGGAACGCGCCTGTGATTTTTTCTTTCGCCATGCTGCACACCTTTCAGGCATCCCGCTAAGGATGGCAGAGAGGGGTCGAAGAGAATTCCCGTTGAAGAGAGCACGTGATGCTACAGAAGAGCTATTATTGGGTTTGCTTAGGACAAAGATCGATGATTTCATGCTCCTCACGGAGAACATTAACTGGATGGGAGATGATTACTCCGTTAGTGGAAATGAGTACGCAAATGAGGTGATCATATACCTTGAGACGCTTGTTTCAACTGCACAACAAATATTACCTGTTCAAGTACTGAAACGGGTTCTGCATGGTGTACTTTCTCACATATCAGAGAGGATCGTTGGAGTGTTTCTGAGTGATTCGGTCAAGAGATTCAATGAAAATGCTGTTTCTGGTATTGATGCTGATCTGAAGCTATTTGAGTCTTTTGCGGATAATCAGGCCCATTTCTCTACCAATTCTGAGGAATCTGGAGCGAAGGAGTTGAGGGAAGCCTTAGCTGAAGCAAGGCAGTTGGTTAATTTGCTTCTGAGTAACCATCCAGAAATGTTCATGAACCCGGTGATTCGGGAGAAGAGTTACAACAAATTGGATCATAAGAAGGTACTGTCCATATCAGAAAAATTCAGAGATTCTACAGATCGGCTGTTTGGATCATTTGGGTCAAGGGCAGCGAAGCAGAACCCAAAGAAGAAGGCATTGGATATTTTGACTAGAAGGCTTAGAGAAGCATAGTAGCCTGTGTAAGAAGTCCTATTTTCTTCCTTTACTTTTGGCGGTGATGGGATGTGGAATGTACCTTCAACTTTTATTTTATTCATTGTTTGATAATTTAGCTCCAAATAAGATGTACTGGTATTCCTTTCCTTGTACTTGCGTCTTGAAAAATGCCACATGACGATATTTCCACGTCCATTTGAAATCACTGGACAGCAGTCAGTTAGATCACATCTTATAATTTGATACCTCTTTGTTGTTTAAGTCTTTGTATAGTTTCCGCAAATACTCACTGTGCCTTTTACTTTCACGCAAATGTTTTGGGATAGGTAACATCAGATCTTTTCACTACTCTTCCCAAATCGTCTGTGGGATCTTTTCCCTTATTGCATCTTTAATCATGGGGAGAAGGATTTATAACTGATTGATTAGTAAGATTGAACATCTGGAGTTGACAGAATTTTATCGAGGACGATGACATGTCCAACTTTTCTTCAATTCACCAGTACATATCACTGAATAATGTTCTACTTAGGGTATGGTGGGACTTGGTATGAGGGAAACTCCTGAGCCGTTGTTAGGCAATGGCAGAGAATCCTCTTTTGGGAGGGCAAATGGTGTGGAGAATCTCTAGTGTCATCCTTGAAGGAGCAGATTCCCTCACTTGATGATGCAGAAGAAGGTGGCAGCACAGTTGGTGTTGGTGGAGATATTTTAGTTTACAACAGCGGGTGGAGTTTGGTGTTCGTAGTTCAGAAGGAACTCGATAAGGAAGACCCTTTTCCAACTCGAACGAAACATCACGGGGTCAACGAAAGAGGCAAACTGATAGAGATAGAAACACAATAGAGAAGGAAATCTGGGTGCTTTTTTCTGTCCAACACAACACTTTGGTCAACCGTACCAAACTTGCATGACTTTTATCTATCTGGGATGTAGAGTGAGAAAATTAATGTAGATAATTTGGCGCGTGATGACATTAAAGGGCACTGAACAATATCACAGCTTATTTCGCATGTGATTTTTAGGCCCTTGTGGAATTAGACGATCAGTTGTGTCTACTTGTAAGCTTCGCATTATATATTTCCCTTCCAATGTTATAATGTTTTATGAATGCATTATGTGCGGCGGATGGCTCGTTAGTGAGACGGCCAGTCCCTTGGCCGGTAGTTTTCACTCGAAGCCCGAAATCATTATTAATTTGCTTAGTTGTTCACCTACTCATTTTAGCAAACTCTTAAAGGTGCGTTTGGCATCGATTTGATAGGTATTTATAGTTGTGGTTTATATATATATGATTGGTATTTATTTATTTATTTATCTTGCCCAGAAGCCATCAGCTGCTCAATAGAGGAAACTCCAGGGGAGCAGCAGTGACCGGTGTAAGCATTACCGTCTCTGCAAAGAAATACGAGAAGATTAGCAAGGCCAGGTCGTCTCCCCACGCCTTCCTTCCATGGCGCAAAGCGTGGCATGGGACGGCATATTTTTTTCTAGAAGCTCTCTGGAAGTCAATTTGGAATACGAGAAGCCTGCGGGGAGAAGTACGATCTCTGACGGAGAGGAAGTCAACGGTCTCGAGGTGGGTTGAGATGAGGATGACGTCTGCGGTCTCGTCATCGGTAGATCTGATCTACCATCTGCCTACTGATTTTTTAGCTTTGGGTCTCTGTAAATCATCCCACTTATGGATAATTATCTATGCCATTCGATTTGATGCATTCAATTCCCGCAGAATGTGCAGACCTCGTTGACTCCCCTGTTTGAGTATAGAAGGGGAGAGAGAGAGAGGGAAGTGGGCAAATTGGGTAGTTTTGACCTGGGATGTCTTGGCCGTGGTTAAATTAGCTTATCATTACCGGGGCGAGAAGATGAGGTAACGTCAGCGGACCGTGCGGCTTGCTGACTGTTGGTAGATTTCGTCGCCGAGCACGTCGGTCGTCGGCTGATTGGAAAGAAATGCCCACCCGCATACAAATCTATCACGGAATTATCTCTCGCACTCTCTCGCACTCTCTCTCTCTCTCTCTCTCTCTCTCTCTCTCTCTCTCGTGCTGATGTGCAAGTTGATGGCCTCCGATGAGGCTGGGGGGATGAGAGTTTTACTTTTCAGATTGCTCCTGTTTTTAGTTTTTTACATGTTTCATTTGAGATTTTCATTTGTGAAATTTTCGCACTCTTTTTTAACACCTTCATTTTATCTTAGTAATTTAAAATATAACAGAAAAATTAACGACCCCGTTGACTCTCTCTCTCCCTCTCCGTTAGCTCACGCAGGGCGGCTGCTTGAGGCCCACGTAAGGGAGAGTGGAAGGGAGGGAACAGAAAAATGAAGAGTGGGCCAGGTGCGAGAGAGAGAGAGAGAGAGAGAAAGAGAAGGTCTCGATAATCAGGCCACGTCATCGCCATCAGAGGCCAGACGAGACTGAAACAAAGGCGGCTCCTTTATTTAGATTTGGAAAAAAGACACCACGCACTGTTGCCACCCCTTCGTGGCGTAGGCTCTACGGTCGGGAGCGAGCCGGCGACGACTATTTGACTTTGACAGGCGGCGGCAGTACGGGAAGAAGACGCCAGACGCCGTCTCGTCGAGAGTCAAACGAAGAAATTTCATCAACAAACGGAACTGGTCAGCCTTCCTCTGATGACTAGTCACTTCTTCTCCCCCCGAGAGGGGAGGAGCTAGCCACGCGGGCCTTGCCCATCTTCCCACGTCCGTTCATTTCGCTCTCACCCTCGATAGCTTCCCTTTCAGAACTCGAAATCCTTCTCCTTCCCCATCTATAACTGAGGTTTCCCTGCACTCACCTCACGCTTAGTTTTCTCTGGACTACCCCTAGCTTTGTCCGTCTTCATGGACTCTGCCGCGAAAGGCGAAAGCCGACGCATTCACCGACACCGCAGCCGCCGCGTTGGCCCCGCGGCGGCGGTCTGTCCTCACCTCTGCTCAACGTCCGCCGTCGAACTCACGGTGTGGTGCAGGTCTCTGCTCTTCAACGGGCACGGGTACACCGTCTACGACAGTGCCGACGGGAGGATGATCTTCCGGGTGGACAACTACGCCCACAAGTGGAGGGAGGAGGTTCTCCTCATGGATTCCACCGGCGGCGTCCTCCTCACCGTCCGGCGCCGCCGAAAGGTACGTCTCTATTGGGGCCGTTGATCTCGTGTCGGAATCGCCGTTAGACTTCTCATCTTCTCGGCAGATGCTCGGCATCAAAGACAACTGGGAGGTTTACGAGGGGGAGATCGACGTCTCGTCAACGCCGGCCCGCCGTCAGAGTCCCCTCTTCAGGGTCACCAAGGCGCTGGGAAACCCTAGCTACACTATCTCGCCGTGGGGGAAGAGCACGGCTCCGGCTTACCGGATGAACTGGTCACCCCGCGAGGAATGGTGCCAGATTTTCGCCGGAGCGGCCGTTGCTCCGCCGAGGGCCGAGGTGGGCGCTAAATCTGAGACGCCGCTTATCGGCATTGATGGGTTCTTTGAGTTAACGGCGGGTTTTCTTTCGAAGAGCAGATCACCAGGAAGTGCGGGGGCGTTGCGCGAGGGGAGCTGCTGGGGAGAGATGTACTGGCCGTGAAGATTCAACCGGAGATGGATCAGGCTTTGGTGATGGCTCTCCTCATGATCAACGACGCCATGCGGTGACTGCGACGATACATACCTTCCTGTGATTCTTTCTATTTTTTTCCTCCTCCCGGGAGTCTTCTGTCCCTGATGATCCCCATGAAGATCTACGATTGTTTCTATGATCTTCCTTAAATTTTCCTGGTCACCGATGCCTGGTATCCTCTTCTTCTTCTTCTCTCTCTCTCTCTCTCTCTCTCTCTCCTTCCACTTACTCACTGGTTCGGTTAATATGTACGCTACAAGCTTAGAATTATGCTGCTTTAAATCAGTGGAATATCGTAATCGTATCTGATGAAAGCGCCAATTATCTTCAATCCATGAATCGAGCGACTGGCTGGCCTTAATACTATAACTTCCAGAGGTGTAAAGGGGCAACCCAGAGAGAGAGAGAGAGAGAGAGAGAGAGAGAGAGATTCTACGTCCCATTGTCGTTGGAGAACTTACAAAAGCTGATAGATTTCCTAAAGCGGCAGTCGAAACCCCTGAAGCAGGGAAAGCTCGGACACGCAGCGGCTGATGTTGGACCCCGACTGCAGCCGCAGCTTTCGGGTGGAGGGGATGAAGAAACCCACCGGCTGCGCCATAGATCGTCTTGCCGACTGTGCTCGCCAGGGGATGAAGTGCCGTGCCCGGCGTTCTCAGAGGTTTCAGAGAGGTGGCATGCGGAGAAAAGAATCTCAGATCCTGCTCGAGTGGAATGATGGAGCAGAGAGGGAATGGAGTACACCGAAAGCTCATTGCCCAGCTCCGGTGCTCATCAGAGACCGAAATGGCAAGAGCGAGGGTCCGGCGTAGGCACCTGTTCCTCACTCCATTCTTTAAGGAGCCCTTTCTAGCTCCTTCCCTGACCGCTTGCAGAAGAGATGCTAGAAAGGATCCAAGCGCCTGCCGGAGATCTAAAGGCTTCTCTCGCGAGCATCTTTCCTCTCTCTCTCTCTCTCTCGCGTGTACAGCTTCAGCCTCATCGTGACGCAAGTCTTAGCCACTCGATTGCTCCACACCTCACAAGAAAATAATCTCTGAGACTCCATCTCTCTCTCTCTCTCTCTCTCTCTCTCTTTCTGTGGGTGCTTCTTGTTGTTGTATTATACGAGAGGGGATTCTTCTCCTCCGTCTATATAGAGGGGCGTCGTCTTCTTTTCCTGTATCTTCTTCAGTGCCCCCATCAGCATGGTGGTCTCCGTCTAGCCGGGCGAGGAAGCCCCTGCTGGAGAAGCAGGGCACGTGCAGGGCCCCCTCCCCAACTTCTCCTTTGCACGTGCTCCCTTTCTCCAACACGGGTTCCTCACCCTCTCCTCTTCCAAAGGGCCGCACTCTCTCTCTCTCTCTCTATCTCCAACTCTCTCGCTGCTCGGACTACATGGTAGCTGTAAGCTTTTGGAACCTTTTGGGCCACGAGGGAGCGTCTCATGGTATCCGACGTCCGGCCCATTTTGCTTTAGAATCTGGAGTAGATGGATAAATACTAAGAATTTGGGTTATAAACTGAAAATTCGTAATTTGGGGGGTCTGAAAAATCAATAGCAGAAGAAGAAGACAGTGGGGTTGGGGGGAGCTTCAGGAGCGGAGCGCGGGGGAGGATGGCGTCCCTCGGCAGTTGTGGGACGGCGAGGTACCTTGTTCTTCACACTCTTCCCCCCGTCTCGCCTTGGTTTTCCGATCATACATGTAAGACAAATCTGGAGGTCGATGCCCGGAAGAGGAAGGTAATCGTCCGGTTGTTCGCCGGACGCGGCGGCGCCGGCGGGGAACGCGCCTCCAATCACGACCTTCAAGCTGAAGCGGCAAGAGCGGCCTCGATTCGCTTCAATGAGTCCCTTCGTCCTGGTAATCTTCTCTTTCTCCCTTCTTTGTTGCTCTTCCTCCCCAGCAGAGTTCATGATTCGGCGGATCGCTTTACTTGAGGGCGGACAGAGACGGTGATCGTCTGGCATTGATCGTCAGTTTTTTGGAAGAAGAGAACCTTGTTCTGGCGAATACTACGGAATGTCTATCCTGTTGGTAGCTTTGAGAGCCTGTTTCTGTTCATCTGGTGGTTCTCTGTATTGCAACCGTGGAGATTCATACTCGAACTCATAATAAACTGGACTATGGAAGAAGCGTTGTCGCTCGAGGTTTTTGCATGCTTTTCTGCATGCCATTTACTCTCTCTCTCTCTCTCTAACGTCGTTATGGGTGTGCATTCACATGTTTAGCCAAATGTCATTAACTCTGGTGTGCGTCACCCCAGTCACGCTACTTGGTTTTGGTTATTCGTTAGAACTTATAATTTTTTTCAAAATTTCAGATCCTCTCTTGATTGACTTGTACGCCGGCTGTCTTCTTTCCTCCGGTGATCGCCCTGAAGATGGCGGAAAAGAGCAGTACTCGGTTCCAGTGGGTTCTTTGTCCCCGTGCCATTACACTCTCGCCACTAAGTTTATCGACGAGAAGTTACTCAGCTTGGTGAGGGGCGTTGATGGAGTTAAGCAGGTATGAGGCTTCTTACAGGCATGGTTCAACCATATGCCATCCCCTTGAAACTCTCTGCTCCCCTCTTCACACCGCTGAAGTCTGATGCCCTACAGATTGTTCTGTTCACAGATGGCTTCGATACGCGACCCTACAGGGTTAAATGGCCGCCCAGAACCTTAATATACGACGTTTCAGTGGAAAGCGTCTTCAGCACGGCCATTCGGAAGCTCGAGTGTATTTCCTCTACTCTTTGTTCTGTAGATACCGAAAGGGTTTCTTTGTTGTGACCGTGATGTACTTGGGGAAGTAACTTAAATTTGCGATGCACGTCTTCTTCAAGCCCTAAAAACACCTTGTACACTTCACTGTGTGGAATTTCAGCTGTTGGAGCAAAAATTATGAAAACCTGCAAACATATTCACGTGCCCTCTGAGTCTCCTGATTTACAAGCGGCTCTGTGCAGCGAAGGATTTAATGGCGGGAATCCGAGTTTATGGGTTTTTCAGGTGATCCCGTATGCATAATGTTCGGACGCTATTATCTTCTATCATTTCTTTCCATCTGTGGATGGGAATTCATTTCTAATCTTGAATGACATTCTTTTCGAAATCTCATTTTTCTTGTATGGAAGGGTCTGTTTCATGTTTTATGGTCTATTCTCATAATCCCCTCATCCATCTCCATGTGATTATGCATCCTTTTATCATCTGATAGAAGTACTATTGCGTTGACGGTAAAAGGATAAAGCTAATATACAAGTCATGCGGAATGATAGTTAGTTACCCTGTACGGCCGATATATTGAAAGGATGACTGACGGTGACTGCTGGGGGCCTTGCAGGGATTTCCTGTGACGACATTAGCAACGTTCAAAGAAATTCTTTTCCTGGTCAGCAATTTAGCCATGAAAGGGTCTATTTTTGTTGGAGAACTGCCTGGATGGTTGGTTGATACTGAAACAGGAAACAAGGTCAGCTCCTCCATGTCAAAATCTCAAGAATCCATGTATCATGCGCAGTCTGTGGCTGGGTCTCGGATTATTCCAACATTCTATGAGAAGTTCAGTCTGCTATTATTGTAAATCCAAGCACCGGTTCTAGTTTCATATTCTATGAGAAGATTTTTTAATTCATTTTACCTTCGTTTCTATCCCCCCCTTTATTTCTTATTTAACATATTCCACAATATACCTTAAAAAAATTCATTCCTTGTATTTTTTTTTCCTATTCTCCAGGTTGCTTCATGTTTCTCGCTTTGAACAAAAAATGTCTCTTATTGACTGCGTTTCCGTCTCCTTGGCATAGATTACCGCACAAAAAGGGGTGGACAAGATTTTCATGAGTCATGGCTTCCGGGTAAAGATCATTGACTATCATGAAATCGCGAAAGAGTTTCACGTAACCCCCCCATCAGGGGATTACAATAACCTCCTTTTTGTAGCAGAACAGCTGCAATTTTCCGACAAACAGGTAGCATTTCCTCAGGTTTTCTATACTTAGTAGCTAAGATATGCATGTGATATGTCCTGGTGGCCTTGCACGTCTCTTCAGAGGGCTGTGTCTATCTCTCTCTTCTAAACTGGTCTTTTCTTTCTTAATCTGATGAGCATCCTATAATTACAAAGCTCTTTTTTTCATTCGGCAACAGATTGGAGTTACTGTGGGGGTTTAGCTGTTAGTATCTCCAGTGGGCAGTATTTTTGGCTTAGTATCGGGGGTCAGACAAACTAGCGCTATAGAAACCAGCGTGAACCAGATAATTGGGGAAGAAAAAACGATGAACCCAGATCATGATTTGTTTTTGGTTTATCCTACTTCTGATTGCCAAACCACTGAAAGCCCTGATCGAAACCCTAATCTGTTCACCTTCTGGGGCTCCCGTGAGAACCTTTCATAGTCGCCTCTACTGAACCGGCCTCGCACATGTTCTACAGATGGAGGATTGGAGGAAGGAATTCCTGAGGATGGAGGACGAAGGCGACGAGGATGGATTCGAGGATCTAATCTGAGGCCGGTGTCGCTGCTTCCAGTGAGGAACTACTCAGCTTTATCCTACTGTCAACAGGACGATTCTTGTCCGCCCACAGTTTCTGTGTCGGGAACGCCTCCAAGTTCATATGAATACGATCTGCCCCTATGAGAGAGGAAGCTAATCCTCGATAAGTATCATCTATTGTCCAATTGCACATAGAATAAAGATAGCCAGAGAACGCGCCTTGACCGCAGATTTCTTTTAGGATCCAGATGAAGCTGAGAAGTCCTCGCCTTCTTGAGAGCGAAGCAACAGATTGAAGCTTCATAGATCAGATTTTTGACTTGAAAAAAAAAGGAAAATGAGTGCAAAAAATGTTCAGACGGGGCGCCATAAAATAATGGAAAACTGTATCGAGCAGGAAGGCGGATCCTCGAAAAGTTGAATAGCTCATGAAGAAATCAATGTTCGCCCAAAACAGGATTTTTACTGCATTTCAAATTTAGAATAGAAAATAAGTTAACAATGGTAGGTCTTTGGGAGGAAAAAAATAAAATAAAGATCTAGGAACCCAAATATTTCCCTCGAATCTAATCGCAGGCGCGTAGCAACACCATCAGTCTTCCTCTTCTGCCTCATTCTCTGCAATGTTGAAGTACCGGAGCTCATATACACTTCGGTCCTTGTTGGAGGCAATCACGCGGAGCCAATCTCGGACATTGTGCTTCTTCAAGTATTTCTTCGTCAGGTACTTGAGATATCTGGGAGTTTGAAGGCAAGTGAAGATGTCACCATCTGATTATGAAAGCTGGTGAAGATGAATAGCCTAAAAAACGCACACACTTGTGTGGGTAACGTTAAATCCATAAGAATATCTATCATGGGCTAGCTCTCATGGAATGATCAACGAAGGGAGTATAAACAATAATTTCTCTTTGGATACATATCGTTACATCTCTTTCTATGAGTTGCAGAATGGAAGTCAACTGCTAAAAACGGGAAATACGCCAGGTGACTGATTCTATCCACCTTAATTAATTTCCCATGTATTAATGGACAAATGTCTGACGGAACAAGGCCGATTCAGTGCGTCCAACACAGTAAGCTAACAAAAAATGTAGAATTATCATTGATTTCCTAGCATACGAACGCATTTGACATAGATGAAGCCAATGCTTTCGATAAGCACCCACTTCTCCAAAACGAAAAAAATATACAGTTTCCTGTTCTGTTGAGGGGTTTAACTTGAGGTTCTTACCCAACTTTAGTTTTTTTTCCAATAAAGTTGACTAATAAGGAGAGAATCAATACGGCAGCATCGACAGGACTAATGAAAGTACCAAGTATCCAGAGCTACAAGAGTTCCTTCCCTGCAATGCTCCCCCTCAGCACCCACACACTAAAAGCTACTGAGCTGGCCTTCATGTTCCCATGTTTAATTGTATGAAAATACCATAGGACAATGCACTTATTCATGCCACATGGTACATATCTCATCAACTAAAAGATAACAAGCGCATTCACCATTCTCATCCCGGTTTTGATAATAAGGAGAGAAACGTCAAATCAATGGAAAAGTAAAAAGAGAAATTGAATCTCGATTGAGGAAATATAAAGACCATCGTTGCGTGAAGAGAATTGAATTCTTTTAAGAATAACACTAAAATCATATATAGCATGTATTTTGAGTCATCATACTTCAAAAACTATATAGAGATCAATTAACCTACTCATTTAGAAACAGGAAGAGATACCGTCCAGAACTAATATAGAGGACATTTTTGTGGAGACACAGATACATAACTGCATCATAACCTTTTAACTAATCAACGGTTATCTGGCCCTACTGGAGACGTGCCATTCTCACTAGACCAACCCCTAGCACGGATGCATAAGGAAATCCAAGGACGTACGCAAATAAAATGGAAGAAAAGCTCTCCAAAACTACGTGCATTCAAAATTTCAACTGAGAAGCAGCGAAACTTTACCGCTTAGAGAATGGACCCTCGGACGTCACAGTGATCTTACTCTTCTCCCTCGAGACAGTGACGGCGTCTCCAAGGGCGCCGGGCTTGCCGCCGGCGACCTTGATGCGCTCCTGTAGGAACTTCTCGAGGGAGGCGATGTCCATGATCTTGTCCTCTACTGGCTTTGCGCAGTCGATCGTGAAGGTCGTGACTCCTTTCTTCTTCCCCACTTTCGCCCCCGCCGACGCAGCGGTCGCCCTGCGACTCATCTCTCCGGCCAATCTTCCACCAGCGGCGAAAGCCCAAAGTTTTCGACACCTCTGAGTCTCCCGACTCTCTCCTAGGGTTTTGAATCCGACGGCGCTTCGCAAGTCTTTACTGCCTCCATTGTGATGACCCGCGGAGCAGAATTAGACGTGGGATGTCGCGCTGACTAGACAATTCAAATATATTTCTTCTTCGTTAATGGGCCAGATCAGCCCTGCCCAGAGAAGACTCGGGTAGCCACAACCGGCTTTCCACAAGAGAAAAACCCTAGCTCCGGCTGTCGACTCTCCCGCTCTCGGCTTTCTCGCATCACATTCTCGAAGGCGATCATCTCCCGGCGACGGCAGCTTCTCCTCAGATAATCTTCAGAGATATCTTCATTCCGTGCGTACCTTTTAACTTTGTATCTCTCTCTCTCTCTCTCTCTCTCCCTCTCTCTGCCTCTCTTTTTCCGTCTACTCTTCTCCGGCTGCTTTCCTGAGTCCCTTTGCCTCCTCCCACATACGCTCGTCGCCTTCGATAACCTCGGCGGGAATAGCATATCCTTCTGATGTGAGTCAGGGTGGTGGTAACAGATTCGATATCGTTCTATTAAGATGAATATCAGCTGCGGTCCGGTACCTAAGGAAACTTTGAAGGGCTTTTTAACGAGAATGTGCCCTAGAATCCTTTACTGTTCGCAATATTTCTCAGTAATTTAGGTTTCTCATTGGAAGTTTGTCGCAAAACACGTATGATCGCGTATGCACGTTCGTTGTCGTCCCGAGTTTGATTTTTACGGTATTTTAAATGTGCGATCTGGATGGAACAGAAACGTTGATCTCCAATTTGTGAACTGACTCTAGTTGTATCTCTAATTTCTCGCAGAAGTTCTCCTTCTTGGCTTAAGTTTGATCATTTTTCGGATGTTTACAGTATTGTCTGCGTTCTCGTGTGTGTTGTGTTCTTATTCTATTTTTTGATAATTGTGGTTGTGTTCTTATTCTTATTCCATTTTTTTGATAATTTTTAGGGGGAGCGCTTCTAAAATTATACTGGTACTTGAATTATTTTGCCTTGGGGATTCGGAATTTATAACTATAATTTATTTATAAATTATATTCTGTCATTTGGCTTGTCTAGGGGATTCGGAATGTGCATTTCGAGCGAAATGCTACTTTATAATTAAAATCTTATGGAGTTACCTATTTCATTATGTTTTTTTTCACGATCTTCTGCTGGTACTACGCGGAAGAAGGAGGTGCTCATTCATCATATCTGTTTATGTTAATTAAATTTATTTCATTTAGTAAAAAACTTCATTAAACTTGGTTACTTAAAAACGAAAAATAAAATTCACAAGGTCTATTGTTAAACCAGCTGTTCATGTGGCCACTCGTAGGATCTACTCAAATTGTTGTTTTGGTCTAGTCTGCTGTGCTTTTGAAACACAGGAAATTTATTTCATATCCAAGGACATTTGAATGCCTATACCCTCATATTTCATCTAGGGCCATATCTTTTTAAGTCGGGTCTTGTTTGATAGTTTCTTTGTTGGTCGGCATTGTCTTGCCTTAGAGTGCCTCTGGAGCGTGGCAATCATGCAGTATAAAAAAAAAAGAAGAAAAGGGAAAAAATAAGGTTGACTTTCTTGATGCTTTATATGGTAGTGGATATATGCTTTTATTTCTTTCCTTGGTCGTCGAGTGGAAAAACTCTTTCTCGCCTACCTCTTCTCCCTGTGTATATCTTTCTTTCCTTATGGATGTATTCATCGTTGAGACAACGTGTAAGGTCACTATCTTATTTTGGGCAACTATTTTATTGTTGTTCGCAATGGATGGCTACAATTTTTCGATTGTAGACGCATCCTCAATGCTCTATGTTGTTTCAGTCGGTTAGTCGTAATGGTTATTGGTGTATTATTGCTGGGTTTTGAGTTCTGCCTAGTCAAAATTTTAAGTGTTTTCAAAAGGGTGAACGAGCATCAACTTTAGTACTGTTGAAAAAACACTTCAAATATCTGAACATCACCGTAGGAAAGTCTTATTGGATGATACATGAATTGCAGGTTTTAAGCCTACTTGGTACCATGTCAGTATAGTTTTCTTTGCATTTGACCATGCAAGTTTGTAATATAATACTTTAACCACCTCTTATACTTACAATTCTTATGCTTTTTAATGCAGCATACCAAATGGAAGAGGATGGAGTAGTAAGTTATCTCAACATGAACATCTTAATTATGCCTTCTACGAATATCATGATTTGAATTGCATGCTGTTTCTAATAATGTATTTTAGAACTTGTTCAACCGTTTTAAACAGCTTATGTTTTAGAATATTCCAATTAAAAATTCCTTTAAACTCTAGTTCTCTAGTAGGAAAAGAATTGAGAAAAATGGACATTTGAGCTTTTAGGTTGAAGGAAATAAGATGTCTCTACATTCTTTTCGTTGACTTGATTTTTCTTATTTTAAATGGTTGTTTGTGGAGAAATTTAAGGTTCATTTTTTTATGACGAAAAGAAGAGAAACATGGAGGATAAGACGCGGACAAGGGTTTTTGTTACAATATTTGGTATGAAAATAGTAATGTGACAGAAACTCCTAATATACTTGTGATGATACCTTATTTTTAACTTATGCCGAGGAACAAAACAAAGAGCAGCAGAGAGCACTGCCGAAAGAAATTGTAGGGTAAGGGTATATCCTCAGCCGAATGAAGAAAACCGTACCGTACTGCTCTTGCAACTTCTGCAAAGACTGGCAGGACTGACCCAGTTGCAACTAGTTACTTTAATTTTGCAAATGATCTTTGTCATAATGCCCATATGGTCATAAAACCGATTTAGGATCAATCTAGGCACCAAGATCCAGGGGTTTTTTATGGTAAAACATCTTCCAATCTTGGTCTTCTTTGTCATCCTTACTGTAAAATGGGTAGAAAGCCTGTGTGGCTGTATTTTAGTGGAATAACAGCTTAAGGCCGGCCAGAGAGTTTATTTCAGGCAACTTGGTGATGGCAGGCTTATTGTATGAAGCACTAATCATTGCCATTGTGATGAGATTGCTGATGTGCCGGGCCATGTCCCTTCAATCAAGTCAGATCCTCATAATTTTGACAGCTGTCGGGCATCTCTAAATAGCTGAAGTGTTATTTTTGATCGGGGCTCGACTTTTTTCTTTCATAGAAAGTGGCATTCAGTGGACCTCACGATTGGATCTTTGAAGCCAAGCTTCTCTTGCAATGGTGGAGTAAAAAATGATGAACTGGGTTGAACTTTGTCGGTGGTGATATTTAAATTAAAGCAAAGACGAACTTAAAGAAAAGCGCACGAAATATATAAAACCATGAAATAAATTTATTCATATTATATACGGGCAGCACGGTCTAACTTTCCAGGGTGAAATTACCTTTTTCAGGTTAAGAAAGAAGAGGAGGAATTCAACACCGGACCGCTCTCAGTTCTGATGATGAGCGTTAAGAACAACACTCAGGCTGGCCTCTCTCTCTCTCTGTCGCTTTCATTTCTTACGCTTACAACCATCTCACGATATGCTTCCAACTCCCTTTCGGGATTTCCTTCAGGTCCTAATCAACTGCCGAAACAACAAGAAACTCCTCGGCCGTGTGAGAGCTTTCGACCGCCACTGCAACATGGTCCTCGAGAACGTCCGAGAGATGTGGACCGAGGTACGGCCAGCCTATCTATACCCTCACCCCTCTTCTTCTCTTCCTCTTCCCTTCTGCTTAGCGCCATCGCCTTCTCTCTCTCCTCACAGGTACCCAAGACGGGCAAGGGCAAGAAGAAGGCGCAGCCCATCAACAAGGATAGGTTCATCAGCAAGATGTTCCTACGCGGCGATTCTGTGATCATCGTCCTCAGGAACCCTAAGTGAGGAAGGAGGTCCCCGGCGGCGTATTGTTGTTAGCCTCTACATTGTGATCGTCACAGTGACCTTTTATCGAACACCCTTGCCCACCTTGGGGAGCAGAACTGATGATTTAGGTAAATCTTCGTCTCCTTCGTTTTGCTTTGCTGCCCTTGGGTTCTGAATTCAGGAAATCTACGGACCCTGCTATCTTGACTCGGTATAGTTCTTGTTTACTCGTACAATGAAAGGCAAGCACGGCAAAAAAGGAAAAAAAGGAAAAAAAGGAAAAGAGGCAACGAGGAAGAAGGGATCCTCGTAAGGATTTAGGTAAAGACCCTGATCTACAGACGAAGGGGCAGCAATTCCTTCAGTCCCCATTTGGTCTCTTTTCCTCTACACAGCGGCGCATATGCCGAAGAGAAAGAGCCGCCGTGTGTTCGTTCAAGACGACGTGTTGGTGGCGGTCTCGCCGCTGTCGGCGTGGTCGCCGAAGATGCGCTTCCTGAAGTCGGAGACCATGTGGGGGAGGCCCTTTCTTAGCGGGACGGTGGGTTCCCAGCCCAGCTTCTCCTTCGCCTTGGTGATGTCTGGCTTCCGCTTGTGCGGGTCGTCCTGCGTGTTGGGCCTGAACTCGATCTTGGCGTTCGGGTCAATGGTCTCTTGAACCACCTAGGTAAGAGGCAACAAAAGTCAACGCCCATCTGCCCCCGGAACTATACTGCAGGAGAGAGAGAGAGAGAGGGGGAACCTTGGCGAGCTCGAGCATGGTGAATTCGCCAGGGTTGCCTAGATTGAAAGGGCCCACGTGCTCCCCTTCCATCAGTCTCATCAATCCTTCCACCTGTGCCACCAAGAACCATGCCCATCAACCCACCACCCACCACCCACCAAGGGCGACCGCCGCGCCAGAAAACCGAGGAATTGGTGAGGATGGAAAGGGGGGAGGCAGGGGTATACCAGGTCGGAGACGTATTGGAAACTCCTGGTTTGCTTGCCGTCGCCGTAAACAGTCAGAGGCTCCTTCCTCAGAGCCTGGCGGACGTCATTCGGATTTGTCGGCAATTCAGTTTAAAAATATGGGGGCAAATGAGATCGGGATGAAGCAAATTGGGTGAGAAGATCACCTGGGCAACGAAATTACTGACGACTCGGCCGTCGTCGATGCACATCCGAGGCCCGTAGGTGTTGAAGATTCGGGCGATCCTCACCTGCAGCCGACAGGGGTTCCTCAGATTACAGAAGTGAACAAACGCCGGGCACGTTTCGAGGGTAATTCGAGTTTCAACAGCTGGGTTCGCAGATCGGGGAGATCCGTACCTCCACGTTGGCTCCGCGGTGGTAGTCCATGGTCAGAGTCTCAGCCGTGCGCTTCCCCTCGTCGTAGCAGCTTCGAACACCTGTTTAGCGAGGGAGGGACCAGAGCTCCATGAAAAATTGAGCACAAGAAAATACGACAAAATGTATACTGATGGGGTTGCCTCAATTAGGGGAGTTAGAATCCAGCTATGGTCGGGAAGGTCAGGGAAGTACGGCGCTCCCGTGCATATGATGAATGGAGACCGGCTGAAGATCATACGGAGGCGATGATTATCCATGGCGGACTACCGAGCAAATCTTCTCGGGCCGTATCGTGAGGCCACGCTGGTCACGGAGAACTGGCAAAAGACGACAAAAAGGACTTACCGATGGGATTGACGTTGCCCCAGTAGGTCTCCACCTGGGGGTGCTGGAGAGGGTCGCCGTAAACCTCGCTGGTACTGGTGAGCAAGAATCGCGCGCCCACCCGCTTGGCCAGCCCCAGCATGTTGAGCGTTCCCACAACGTTGGTCTTGTGCAAGAGGCGAAGAAGTTAAGGAAGAAGACGGGATCATACCATTCGCTCAGCGAGGGGAACATCGAGTGCCATGGGATTTCATGAAAAAAGATCAACGAAATAACGAGAAGCAGACGTTGTGTCGTCATCGCACCGAACAGAGATTTAGTGGGGGAAGGGATGCCCATAAGCTACACGGCCATGGGAGAAGAGGAAAGCCTTGCCCTGTTCTGGAGGAATGAATTCCCGTCGTTTACCAGAAAAAAAATAAATAATAAAGAACGGAGAGCTCAACTGAAACCGATTTTGCGAGAGGACAGAAGATCCTCCTTTACCGAATTGGCGGTGGCCCGAATAGACGACGGAATGTTACAGGCAATGAAGAAATAATTCTGAGGGACAAATCTCATAAATCCGAATGGGAAAGCTAAAGCAACATGGAGTAGGTGAGGCGTCAATTTTCTTCAGATCCAACGTAACAGAGGAAGCCGGATCTAAAACCCTCGGTTCCGTCCAGAAAGCTAACGAATCAAACGCGATCTCTTTTATTTTATTAGGGGAAACGTAAAATCGAAATTGGAAACACGATGACAAGAATCGAAGTGAGGATGAGAGGGAGATAAGACCATCAAGAAGCAAAATGGAAAAAAAGGATATGATAGTCTTGACGGGGTTGAATTTGTAGTGGACGGGGGATGCCGGGCATGCGAGGTGATAGATCTGATCGACCTCCAAGAGCAGCGGCTCCACGACGTCGTGGCGAATCAGCTCGAAGCGGGGATTTCCGAAATGGTGCATGACGTTCTCCTTCCTCCCCGTGAAGAAGTTGTCCACGACGATCACGCTGTCCCCCCTCTCCATCAGCCGGTCCACAAGGTGCGACCCCACAAATCCGGCCCCTCCAGTAACGACGATCCTCATGCTCTTCCGCTTGAGGCCCAGCGGAATCTTACCGCCGGTCGCCCCCGCCAGCATCCCGCCGCCGAGCCGGTGTCCCAACACGCCGGCGCTGCCGTCCATCACCGGATCTCTCTCGTACGCGGATCTGAAACGGCTGTCAACCGCACGCGGCACAGGCAGATAAGAGCCGGCGGCGGCAGAAGACGCTGGCGACGAGGAAAACGGCGACAGCACTGGGGCCAAACGGAAGAACGCGGAGGCGATGGCCATGCCGACGAGCACGAAGAGGAGGCGCTGCTCCCGAAGCAGGTAGCGGATGGGGCGGCAGGACGATATGAGCCACCGCTTATCTCGCTTGGGGGAGTACCCACCGGAGGTGCTGCCGCCGGCCTGGGGCAGGGGCTCCTCATGGCCCCGGTATATCAAGTCAGACCCCATCTCTCGCGGACGGAGAGCTCCGAGCAGCGGTCCTTCAGATCGACGGTGGCGGTCAGGAAGGAGGACACAAAACCGGAAAGCAAAAGAGGAACCAAGAAGGAAGGGGCCACTATCCAACCAATGTTTCCCCAGAGGAACTCGGAGGGCTAACTGCTACACCTACCTGGCAACCAAACCAGGGGGTGACGCTGCGTGGAAGGAGCTGGAACTGCAGAGGCGAGAGACTCCCTCCCTTGCTCCTCGTCTCCTCGTCTTCTCCCTCCTCCCGACCTGCTTTATGCCCTTCCTCTGGCCGCCCTTTGCTATGTATCTATTTGTACCCCTGGCTGGCCCTCCATAATTTATTTTCCTTCATATGTTATGAGGAAAGCGTATACGAGTTCTGCTGTTCCCCCGGAGCATCTTTGGCCTCATCTTTATTTTCCTTCATATGTTAGGAGGAAAGCGTGTACGAGTTCTGCTGTTCCCCCGGACCATCTTTGGTCTCATCGCTCACTTCCTCCCCAGCGAACGAGCGAGCGAAACAGGCAGAGGGGACAGGTTGTCTCGCGGAGGAGTACAAGTGATGTCAGGGAACGTTGGTGCCGAGGCAAGCCACGTATAATTACCTAAATGTCGCCACATTTGCCTCGGCCGTTATGCTGAACCAACTGGGGGAGGGTTGATGGCGGAGACCCCTATTTGCAATTAAAACCCGATTCTGGCAAATCTGTACCCGACGAGCCTGTAGTACGTTTAGCCACGCACGTACGCCGAATGCGCCCACGTGCTGTCGCAACTCGCCCACGCGCCGACAAGCTGTATCCTCGACGGACCAGCTTGCGTTCTTTGCGGGGCCCGTCCCTGGTCTGACTAGTCAAAGAGGGCCCGGTGCACGTGGCCGGCGTGCGTACCGTCAAGATGGACTCTCGCGCCTCTCTCTCTCTCTCTCTCTCTTTTCGCCGCTGCGCATCAAGTCGCTTAAGGACATTTCCCAGAGAGGTTACGTCATTAGTTGACTTGATCTCCTCTATGTATGAATAAGATAAGCGTCCTCTAAGAAAACCCCGTCCCTCCGCGCGGCGGTCCTATCCGTTCGGGAGCTTAGCCAGAACCCTTGGTCGTACCCTCTCTCTCTCTCTCGCTCACTCTCTAAATAAATGGAAAAGAGTAAGCAGGCTGTAGAAAGGGATGGATGGCCACCGGAGTAAGGCTTCCAGATTCGGGGGGCCAAAGGGGGGGGGGGGGAGACTTTCTTTGGTGTGTTTCAGGGGGTTGACAAAGCTGATTAGGGGACCCAATAAAAGTCGAAGTAGGAAGCGGGCAGGGGAACTGTGGCCATCAGCATGTGGCATGACGGAATCCTGGGGGTTTGGGTAGGCGAAAGATGGCAGGTGGGAGGTGAGGCTGCCTTCCAAGCGACGTCGAGCCGCCGGCGGCAGCTGCGGCGGCGATTGGTCCCCGTCTCCGGTGACAAACAGCGTGCAATCATCAAATGGCGTACTTTTCAACGCTCTGAGAGTACCATCAACTCCCTGTCCATGACACGTGTACAGATAATATACACCGAACGTGAAGAACCCAGGTAAATTAAACGACGAGGAACTGGTCACTGGGATGTGGGCTCCCCATCGTCTTCCTGATCCCCTTCTGTAGATTCTTTCTCTGGGGAAGAAAGGAAGGGTAGATGCGTTAGAGCTGACTTGGAGAAGAAATATTTCCAAAATTGGAGGGAGGTTTTCATATGCTCTTCAGAAAAAAAGAAAAGAAAAGGAGAATACTGGATTTTGCTGAATGAAGTATTTAGGATATTGCATTATCGGGGCTGAAATCAGGAGTTTGACTTACCATACTCGTTGAATATGACAGAGCCGGAGCATAAGCCTTCCTCGACTTTGATCAGTTGCAGTGTCATTCTGGGTCCGATCTCCTGAAGCTTGATGGCGCTTCGGTTTGAGGCGCGGTTGACTCGGCCGACATCACTTGCCAAACTCACGGTCGCCGCTTCATCATCTGCCTCACTCTCCGACCCATAACCAGCCCTTCAGGGATTAACAACATCGAGGAAACCTGGTCAGCAGGCTATCCATGATGCAATTTCGTGTGAATTGGAGAGTGAAAAAAAAAAGAAAAAAAAAAGCATGCGGTTCTTCAGATGGAAACGGGAACGTCAATCGTATCCTTCCAAATTAAAGGCTGGGATTCAGAGAACAGTCCGGCTACTTGTAGAGGGGTGGCTCCTTTCATCTACTACCTTGAAAAAATTTCAGATTACGTACAGAAAAGAACATTATAAGTATGATACGGTTTGACCTATTACTACCAACATCCTAATATATACTTCAAAATCCTTGATGAATGAATGAAATTGGTCCCTGCAGAACACTGGAACAGTCAACAGCTTTCCCAAAGCGAGAAGCAGCAACTCGGCAGCTGTAAGGGACGAGGTGTAGTGTCTGGTGCTAGCCGAGGTCTAAATCTCAAATTAATAATAAAACTTACATAAGGTAAATTCATCATTAAATAAGCTAAGCTACAAAAAAATGTGAATTTAGTCTGCATACGTAATAATAAAACCATATAAAATTAATACTCATGGGTCCGAGTGTGACATTCTTACAGACATGAATTAAAACAGAGTGCTCCTGTTTTAGAAAATTTGAAATCATTTTTTAATAAAAATAATTCATTCAATAGATTATTTGTCAGCCTTCCGAACACATTCAAAGTAGATTTGTGTTGAGAAAGAGCCCTGTAAACTCATGTGATGTCCACCCAATCTTAGTTTGCATTTGCGTGTTGCCTTGTTCAATTGGCTCGGGTGCTTACTCGGCCATAGCCTCAAAAACTATAGCATGGCGAGCTTAGGTCCAATAAGTTAGGATCAAGAGTTATGAAGATACAATTTTCAAGAACGGGTCAGCACTACCGTTTACATAGCCACTGAGTCCTTGTCAGCAACGTCAACAGGATCACAATCTATCTCCACTTGCATCTCGAATCAAATACTGAACAGACCATGTCATAAGGAAATAAATATCATTTATGTTTTCCCCAAAATAACAGTAAAATATATTGCATGTTTACGTCCTGAAGATAGGAAATCTTCAAACACCTGTTCGGATATAGAATTTCTACGGTGATGAGTAGGGTTGGGTTTCATCATCCGAAATATTGATGCTTCTCCTGAACCCACATCCTTTCCACAACAGAAAGGATTGTTCTGCTTAATGACGGTTATCATGGCTAAACTATCTTGAGGCACCCAACCTCCATTGAAGGTACCTAGACAGTACATCTACCTAATCTCCATTCAAGGCACCAGCAAGAAGGTAGTGGTAATATTTTGCTAGTATTTTTTCTATGAAGTAAAAAACGGACAAATGCTTTAAGATTTAATTTCCAAATTTCTTCTTGTGTTTTAAGCGTCCAAACTAGACCAGAAGTTTAACGTCAAGTTTATAAAACAGAATCATGATCTTTACTACGTAACAAACCGACTAAAATAAATGTGAAAAATAGCAGGATAATCAGTGAGGTTACACCATCTTAAGGGTATGCATGGTGGCTATTTGAGATATCTCTACTCTAAGGATACCTAGAAGACGACTCGATTAACGAAAAATGAAATGAAACTATTCACTATTGTAATTCATCTAGGCTGTAGAGAGAGAGAGAACCCTGTGGAATTCCCCATTAAATGCAGATTTAGTCCCCAGCGGCATATTCTTATTCACGATGATAAGTTCAAGTTCTTTTCCCATGTAAACGTTCTGAACTTCCAGACACACAGTAGACCAACATCTGGGATCCATGCTCCATGTGGTAATATAACTAGCGAGAGAGAGAGAGAGAGAGAGAGAGAGAGAGAGAGAGAGAGAGAGAGAGAGAGAGAGAGAGAGAGAGAGAGAGAGAGAGAGAGAGAGAGAGATTCTTAGAAAACACTATGAATTTCTTTCATCATACATGACATGGATGTGTCGACCTTACAAAGGCCAAGCATGCTTCTATAGAATAAAATGTGACAACATTTAAGAATCACAAGTTCTCAAAAAACGGATGCGAAATTAAATCACAGAAAGCATTGTGGTATTCCCTTAAGTTTTGTCTCCATTATTCATGAAATGTATACCTAGGGAGAGGAATCTACTAAGCAGTTCGTGGTAAATAAAGACTTACTTGGTGATAAATTCGCTAACATCTTGAAGATTTCTCAAGTCTGGCACTTGATGGCTTTGAACAAATTTTCTGATCCTACGAGTAACACCGACAGGTTGCAAGCGAATCGAGTAATGACGAAAGTCAATCAGCTTTGTGTCTTTGTCATAATTTAGCAACACTATCCGCTTGCAGGTGGAGAGATTGACCTGAGATTCAAGACAGAAGGGAAAAACACAATATGAATGAGTTTGTGCAAGAAAGATAAATGGAAAAAGCTGCACCTGATATGTTATTTATAGAAAAAATATGTAGAGTACTGACAGTGTTAATATCGATGGCAGGAAATATATTCTGAAACATGATGGTTGTGAGCTTCAAGTGTTGTCCTCCAGACCCAAAACCAGAGAGTACGATCTGTAAATAAGAACTCCAAACGTGAGCTTTCATCCCAAACCTCTCCATAAATATGTGAAAATATGAAAAGTCCTTAACTTTTCATAAAGTTAATAGAAGTACAAGACGACATCATGAAATTTTTAAAGGAGCTATTGAAGAGCGATAGACTACATCACGAGGCTTAGGAAACTTATAAGCCACAGAAGATTACCAATGGGGAGTTCTTGAACAAGTCAGGAGGACACCTGGGACGCGCTTGGGATCGAGCAATGTCAGAGGCCAACGCATACTCGTGTATTTTGAATGACAATGTTGGGCCTTGAGGAGTCCTGGCAAGACGTAAGTAAGGAGAACTTGCAGTTTTTGCCAACATCAAAAAGTGAGTGACACCCATAGGTCCAGCAACATTCAAAAAATCCTTCAGATTATTCCGCTTCTTTTCCTGCCATCGTGAACCACGTAAAATAATTAACCCGCATAAATCTATAAATATCGGAACAGCAAGAAGAAACTTGTTAAAATAAACGAGCTCTCAGATTCAGTTTCATAGACCCCGCACAGAGGGAGAATTAAACCAGGAAAAGAAAAGATCAGCAGACCAATGATATTAAATCCCAAGAAAGAATTGGTCAACATAATTTACTCCATAAGGCCGCGGAGGCAGTTGAAATGCGTATGATACGGGCATGCAAAAGCAAGAAAATAAGGATTCAAGGCACAGTTGCGGACCTTCAACTTGAGGGCGGTGTGGGGGGCCATCAGCTTACGCAGGTCGAGCTTCAGCTGCTTGAGGGGTCCGGGTAAGTTGCCGCGGGCGAAGACGAAGCTCTTCGGGATCTTCTCACCCGTGACTTGATCAACGGCGGGCTTATTCTTCACCACGACCGGCTTGTGAAACGGCTTCCGCCTCGTCTGCATTGGATCAAAGACAACATCGAAGAGGAAGGGAAGTGAACATCAACGACAACAGAGAAGCACGACCAAACGAGTGCGCATCTCAAATCCCCCCCTCAAATCTCCCACTAGCTGGTCCCAGAAGCGCGAAATCCTTACGTTTCTGAGGCGGGCCATTGACGGGCGCCGGGGGAGGAACACAGGCGAGAGGAAGAAGAGGGTTTTTAGGTTTAGACTGCTCATTTCAAGGTTTCCTCAATCTGGGCTCATTAAAAAGGCATATATCTGGGCTTGTTAAGAAGGCCCATAAGCCTCTTTCCTCTTGGGGCCGTGTATGGACAGCTTTATGGGCCTTGAGGAGCCCAGTTTAGCCCTAAATAATTAGGCCTTCTACGGCCCAGGAGATTATCAAAACTCGCCGCCAGAACGGCCGATCCGCGGACTCGGGGTGTGCAGCGTCCGAGTCTCGACTCGCTTTCATCTCCTAGCCTCCCCTTGATGGTTGCCCTCACCGGTCCTCTCGCCGGCGGTGGCTCACCTGGAGAACCAGAAAGAAACCAGGAAAGCGGCGAAGGGGCGAGAGACTCATGAGGGCCGTCTCCTTCCCCCTCGTGATCCCCCACCGACCCATCCGCCCTCTTTAAAACACCCTCGTCTCGGTTCCAGATGGCCGCCGACCCATCTTCCGGCGAAGTCTCCGGCGAGATTGCCGGCGATCATGGCGAACCTAATGCTGAGAGGTCACATAGTCCTCCAGCTGCCACCACTACTGCTGCTGCTACCCATCATCGTTCTGTCCTCGCCCGGCGACGCCGCGGCGGACGTGGGCGGCGTGTGCGCACTGACGCAGCACCAGTCCGTCTGCAAGCGCTCCATGGCGCCGTTCTCGGGGACGGAGAGGCAGAGCCCTCACTGGTGGGCGCGTGTGGCCGTGTCGGTCACCATTGCCGAGACGAGGAAGGTGGCGCTCTACCTGGCCCGGCTGAAGAGGAGCGGCCGGCTGGGGAGCGGCGCCGTGGGGGCACTCTCCGACTGCGTGGAGTGCTTCGACGAGGCCCTGAGACTGCTCGGCGGCGCGCTTGGGGAGCTGCGGCGGCTCCGGCGGAGGAGCTTCGGGTGGCAGACGAGCAAGGTGCAGACGTGGGTCAGCGCGGCGCTCACCGACGAGCAGACCTGCCTGGACGGCTTCATTGGAGTCGCCGCCGCCCCGCCGGCTGCGCTGCTGCGGGGTAGGGTCAGGAAGGTCACGTACTTGGCGAGCAACGCCCTGGCCTTTGTAAACAACCTGGCGTCCTCCGGTGGGGGGAAGTAGCGGCGCCGCCCACATGACCGGCGCCGAAGGATTCAACGAGAACACTCTCCAGGCCCGCTACCAGTATTCAGATATTTCTATCAAAGAATAATAAAAATATTTATCGGGAAGAACCATATGTCATCGCTTTGCTTCTCATCCGAGACTTTCACAGCACGAGGAATATACAGGAACATGCCGCTGCTCCTCCACCTTCCTATCTTCTTCGTCGAGTATATGAATATCCTAATCTTTGTTTTTTTTTTTACACGCGTTCTATGGACAAGCTCCGGCGATCTGATTCTCCAAGGCGGCCGTCGTCTCACAGAGGGATCCAGCCCTGCGAGTCGACGGGAAGTCATCACACAGTAAACTAAACACCAAACCCAAGCAGAAGATTAAGGAACTCAAGAAGGCATGAACACAGACAGGACACGATCAACAAACAGTACCTTGATCAACCCGTTTTCGGTGCCGCACAGAACGATGTCGTTGGCTGTGAGGAGGCTGACAATCTTGCTGCCCGCTGATAGCCTCCCTACCTTCTTCTGTTGTCCTCTCAACCATATCTGAACCCACAATAACCCTAATTTATGATGAGAAGAGCTGTGCTTTCTGTCCAAAAACTGTGGATAACCGAGGGAAGCCAGGAAATTACCTGGAGCGTGCTCGGAGAGGAGCTGCTGGTCAGGTAAATGAAGTCTTCGATCACGGCCATCTCCAACACGCCACTCCCTCGGGGCATCCCTATTCTGACGTCGGGCTTGCTTCGTCTCCTCCAATCCTGCATTTCAAACCCCGACAGCCAAAACACAGTCACATCGCTCTACATTCGGTGGCCCCTTTCAAAGAACCCGCCTGGTTCTGCGCGATCTTTACCTTAAATTTCGACCCTTCAACGCTGCTACCTGCGTGGTAAACCCAGCCCTTGTAGAAAACGAGCGAGCTCACGGGCCTGTTGTTCATCGTCCAGCCATTTGTTGGCGGCTTGATCTCTTCCTTCCGACCATCGACGACATCTATCTCCTGAAGAACGAATGTTCAAACCCACAGAAGCAAGCACTTGCGCGGGCTGCATTCAATCAGATGGGAAGAACACCGGCCATCTGGCTAACCTGTATGCTGGAGTCTGTGCACCCGACGTAGATCTTGCCCTGAGAAATCGCCACGCACCGCAAGTACTTGTTCTTGCAAAAGGTTTGCACGATTTTTGATGAGCGGCAGACCTAAAAATTCAACGACCACCGTGTAAATAAAAGGCTATAGTTATGATTATGATGCCATCGGTTGCTGCATGGGTTCGGGCACCTTGAGGCCACGGCTCTGTGTAATGGCGAAAATCATGTCCCCGTAGGATTCAAGCTTTTGAACTGGTCTCTTCATATCGATCGTCCCCAGGCATTCCAGTTTCCTCTGAACCATCTGCCAAACCTGCAACGGGTAGCCACAGGCCGATGTTAGATCATCTTCTTCCACAGGAGGTCCCTAGGTAATCAGTTCCAGTCCATTAATAGGATGCCTTCCGTGGAGGGCCCTGGCTGCCGGCTTCATGAACCAAGTGTCGCTAACAATTACCCGAATGGTTCTATCCGCTGATCCACTCAGGAGGTTTCCAGGCTCCGCGAGAGCAAAGCAAGTCACCGCCTTTTTGTGCTCCCTGACCGCCAACAACAGCTTAGTCGTCTGTCCTTTGATTTCCCAGACCTATTTTTATTCCACAGTCGATGTTAGATAGAACCTTGGCATGGAATTGATCCCATGGAAACAGCTCGGTCTTCTCTGTTTGGTCAACAACGGGTACGATTATTTTAACCAGATCTGTGCATGACAAGAGATTACCTTAATCGAGCCATCAGAATATCCGGCAAACAACTGTCCCCTGTAAAAGATAAGGGCAGTAGCAGCTCCATTGCCAGCGCCACCAGCCTCCAGGATTTGCGAATGAACACAAGACACATGCTGTTCTTCCCGAGAAAAAAATAAAAATAAAATCAGAGGATTGACGACGAACACAGATGATATAAATGCCTCCCATTCACCAGTTACGTTCCTGATGCAGGATCTAGTGCGGCATTACCCAATTAATTCCTGACGAGCCTATGGTTACCCAACTTCAAATACGTATATGTTGTGAAATCATACGGTTACGATTCTCATGGGATAAACGGTGACAATAAGCATTTAAAATGTCAAAATTGGTGCGTGGAGAGAAAAAAAAATGAAACTTTTTTGTACTTGCGCTCACCGCTTTGGTAGGAAGGAAATAATCAGTGACTCTGAGCAATTCTTCAGCCATCCATGTGACACCTGAGAGGCGTCTAAATGACTCCCGTAGGCCCTCAGAGAAGTTCATCACTTTCTGCATGCCTGAGTACCAGAGAATTTTAAAAGAGGTCATGCATCGACATGACTCATAATCTAAACACCATTAATTTTAGAAAAAAATTAACGATGAGGTAAAGCTATCAATTAAGGATGTGCCATGAATGGCAAAAAGAACCCCCCCATGCTCCCAGAAGAATTACGATGCTGCTGCATGGTGTATAACCTAGAGAAACCTAAAAAATGATCTTCACCTTTGCCTGAAGCATAATTATAGACACACTGGCAGGCTAGAACTCTCTCATCGAGCTCCCACCCTGGATGGAGAAAATTCCAAACCCCTTGCAGTAGAATATCGCAAGCGGAATATCTTAAGTTGCTCGGTCCCATAGTGGCCATTTCGAACCCGAGCCATGTGATGGCGATGAGGCAATCCCGAGAGACGCTCCTCGTCCTGCTTTGAATTCCTCTGGCTAAGGCATTGAAGACGGAGCTCCCAAATCTGATGACGCTTCTTGCAACCTTGCTGCTCCACGCATCCATTTCAGCTTCCTAATAAATTATCCATAAGTGATAATACTGTATTTAAATAAACATATCATGAAAGAAGAACTTTAGTTGTTTGGGACGCTTGAAGACGACTCGTTAGTACTACACCTGGAGGCAGGGATCACACCAGTCCACATTTTTTATCATATTCCTATGGCAGTTGGAGGACAGACCTCCCTTTTTTACAAGCCATGAGGCTGTATACGGTTCACCGGTCCAAGCATATGTTCCACCTAAGTTTGAAAGAATAAATCCAGATAGAATCTGGGTACTCGGTGTATCTTCAGATGCAATCCCTTCGAGCAGAACTTCCATGGCTTCCTCTTTGAATACGCTTTTTCCAAGGGAATCCTCCTGTAAAATTAAGCATTACTCTCGCAGGTTAGAAGAGGTAGAGCTATCTGAAAGACTAGTATATAATTTTTCAGAAGGATAAGTCGGTCAAAAACATTTGTAGCTGGTCTTTCATATCCAGGAAATCTCTAGTCAGATGGAGTGACAATGTGGTCTTACGAGCATGTCCAATTGAAGCAAAAGATTCGCAGCCAGAAGTTTGTGCTCTAGACGTGCTTGGTGTACACAAGACATCAACGTGTGCATGATGTTGATGTTACCCTGCTGACGTATCTGGTGCAGCAAGACAATCGCGGGTGATCTGACAAAAAAACACCACAGATTTCAAGGCCGCACCATGGCTATGTCAATCCGAGTATTCCTCCCCTAGATTAAGCATAGATACGAACGATGTATTTAAAGTTAATAATAAAGAATGCATAGATCATAGCGTAATGAGCAAATTAGCGAGCATATGAAGGACAGAACTTCAATCCTTTAGACATTCAAAAGCTGCCTCAGAAATAATAAGCAAGGGATTCATTCCAAAGGGAGAAACGTATTAGCAATATTTTTCCAACCCACAGGGCAAGGATTTCGAGGATCTATTCACATTGGAAGAAGTGTCTAAATAAATACAGTCGGGATCTGGAAGAGGGCAAGTTTTCCGTCTACAGATGATTGGAAATATGCGTACATTATCTCTTTATTCACAAAATATGAAACATTTAAAATTTATGAGATGATGCGTAGGTGTCATGGAAATACCATCAAGTAAACAATGTACGTGGGCATATTCAAGTATGATGGTTTTGACAATAAGATGAAATACTGATAGTTATATTCCCTCACAACAGCAAATTTTGCAAATGGGTTTTCTTTGAAAGACATCATCAATGGCGTGTTTTTACTATAATTTCGTCAGATTTTAGAAAGACATCCCGCGTATATAGTAAAATAAAGAGATAAAAAGTGTACACAATCCAACCCCCAGTGCATGGAACAGTTGGCCATACCGCGGCATGCGAAGAATTTCGTGAAAATATTCAAGTGCAGCGTACTTCGCACGCAACTCGCTGCTCCTCAGAAGATGGAGAAAGGGATCAACAGGCGTCACCTGCGAAAGAAACTTTCTACAGTTTCCACTCAAACGCATACATCTCACGAGTACAGCTGCCAAGGCAACACCTTCTTCCAAGTTCTTGTTATTTGCAACACTGATGAGTTTGGAGAGAATCTGGGGAGAACTGATTGCAGCCAAGTGCAAATTATTTGTCACATAATCAAAGGCAGTTACTAAAATCTCGATCATTGAAATTGAGGCTGCTATCGGTGACAGTGGAAACGATAAGTTGGCCCCCTTGTAGCCGGGACGTGGATTGCATGCGACCTCAACAAGAGCAGGTAGGAGCTCGAGATCCTTTATCTCTGAAGGTGTTGGCTTAAGCAAATAGATAAGGATGACGGCCTCCTGTACATTTGTCTTCAGAGCTCTAGCAAGGCAGTACAAATGTAATTCCTTTTTCTTGATATCGTCAATCACCGAGTTGTCTTCTGATATTAGGACTAAAAGTATGTATACCGATGTTCTAATGACTCTCTCTTCTTTGGAAGAGGAAATTATATCAAGTAACTGATGGAGAATCCCTTGCTTCAGAGAACCATATCCTGCCTCCGGTTTATTGGTCAGCATTTCCCACACGGATGTCACTTCTAGCCCAGCATCTTCACATTTTCCCAGACCCTGTGAGAAGCATAAGGTCGAAACTGCCTTCTCAAATCTCCCCAGAAACTCGATGCGATTATCATTCTCATTGCTTGAGTGCCCATCAGTCCAGTCCTTCTCAATGCTTGAAAAGTTGAGTTTCTTCCTTGTGAAGCTCCCACAATGAACCAGCTCAGGGAAATTGCACCTTCTAAGAAATTTAGATGGAAATTGCCCAAAACATCTGAAATCGCGCGCAGGAGACCTGCTTGGAGGTGTATTTATTTCCAAATAGCGTTTGTAGGAAGGGCACGGGCCAGCATCTCTTATATCCAACACAGACAGACTTAGGTCGCTGAACGAACCAAGCGTTTTACTTGAAACAATATAGCTAGTTTTCAATCCAAACGCTTGCATAGGACATCTGCGAGCATCATCTCGACATATTTGTCCACAAGCAGGAGATGATACAGGCAGTTCGCCTTGCGTTTTGCTGCAGATTTCCAGAAAACAAAATTTTAACCGCTAACGGCCAGGCAGTGTGATCAAGGCCTCTGGCCAAAAGATGAAAATAAATTTGGAAAATAATATATTGAAAGATAATTTCTAACTTAATTCCAAACCCACCGCCTAGAATTTAATTCTGGATTTTCTGATAGAAGCTCTGCTGGATTTTCCCGCTTACGCATTCTCACCTGGTTCAGGAAGTATCTATCAATAGAATATCTCGCAGTAAAGACCAAGGATAGTTGCCAGATCATTTCAAACATAATCAAGAATGGAAAGAGGAAGTTATGATGTCCAAGAACAAACAAAACCACAAGTTTTATGTTCCATACTATATATATCCCTTGCCATAAGATCTAATAACTTGATCCTCACAATATTTTCCAAGCAATATGAGGAATGCCATTTTCCTATATTTTAGAGAATTACCTCCGAGTCACTTTCTTCTTGAGAGTAACAGGATGTATCTGACTGAGAATCCTCCAGCATTTCCTGGAGTTGCTTGATATCGAAGTCTTCTCCGTTTTCATTGTAGATGCTACAGTCCAACTTTATGAAGAGATTCACTCCATCCTCAGTGTCTAAACAATTGTCCCTTCTTATAAAATTTCTGACTGAAGCTTTAGCAGAAATCCTTTTTTCTCCATCGTTATCTTCTGCAAGGAACTGAGGAATTTGCACCATAACTGTATCAGGTTATAAACACGTGTTTTTTTAAAACAATTGTGAGTCAAAGTAATAGCAGAAACAAGATGCAAACATCTGTGATGTGTCTCCACATCTGCCACATTATAAGGATTCCAAGGCTTCATGACGCCAATGAATGACCAGGCCATTGAGAAAGAATAATCACTCCTATCTTCGGCATCACATTGAATAAAGCATGATACAGAGAAAGATAAACAGACCGAGGCTTGGCACGTGACCATAGAGTGAGCCAAATTAAAGCTATCGTTTAGATGTCGATATTAAGGGTCTTGGATGTGATAATGAGAAATAAACATTCATATATATATATATATCAAGATATGAGTAAGGCAGGAAGCAGAAATAAGATTCATATTATTAGAGAATATCTAGACAGTGGAAGCCAAAATTCGTAAACCTTGGGGCAAGTCGAGTGAAATTCCATGCAGGAATCGAGGAAACTCGTAAATTTTTAGTAATCTTACTTACTTTATGAAAAACCTGCCAGAAGCCTTCTTGCTCTGCTGGGCCTGTGTGTCTGGAACCCGGAGATTTTTTATGCCTGCCATTTAAGAAAAGAATAATTGAACCAACGTGGTTGAAGAAGTTGGAAAGTCTAAAACATGGGCTCAAATAGAGAGACGACAGAAAAAAAGAAGAAAAAAAAATGTATCAACTCTTTGGGAGTCAAATAAGAAATATAGAAATAAGAGTCGGAACTTTGAGTTCCTCATTTATGGATGAACAGCACTCGATTAACTTATACCCTCTTGAACGATCATCAGATGGAAACTTTCTTCACCTGATCGGCATCATTTGGTGGGCAGAGGGCAAAATTCTACGAGCAGCACTTGGAGTTTCACCCCAGGATCCCTGTTTCGCTCTGGATGGCAGGATTCGTCACTGCCACCAATTTCTCTCTCCCTTGGCTTTGTCATAATTTCCGACCAAGGACTGCATGTAAAGCTCCAGGAAAATAACGTCTCTAGAAGCTTTGGACCCTTAACATCTTTAAGCCAGGAGGAAAAATGAAATCACTGATTCTTTGTTTATTTCGGCTAATAGTTCAAGAACTTTGGTCTCGGGATGGCACTAACTCGTAGATCTTACATTGTGTTATCCGATCACGAGACCGAGAACAAAGAGTTCTACTTTGTGACAATCACCTTCTGCTGGATGTCAATATCCCGACATGTCCCGATTTCAATCATCATTGGCAAAGGGAAGATAGGAGCATCAGTTATAACGGGCAAGAGGAAGAAGGAGAGAGAGAGAGAGAGAAAGGGTAAAAGGAAAGGTCCTTACGGGTAGCTCTGCGGGTCTCTACATCCAGGCTCCTCGATGGCGCGAACCCCCCTCCTCCACAGGGGATTCTCGCCGTAAGACAGGACCCTGTAGTACATCAGCCAGTCCTTGTACCTCCTTGCAAGTTGCCCGGTTGCCTCGTCCACGGCATCCTCGCATCCGCCGCTAGCGATCCGCGGGACGAAAAGATTACCGCAGAGCCCCGGGGCGAACTCCGTCCGCACAAAGTGAGGGGAGACGATGATGGCCTGAAGCAGGTGAATGGCCATCTGCCACTCGTCCCCCTGGAGCCTCCGAACAAGCGAGAGGTAAAAGTATGAACAGCAGACGATGTAGCGGTTGGATATCCCTGCCGTACTCCCTTCCTCTTCCAGCATGGCCGGGATTTGCAGCATCCTCTCGGAGGACACCAGCCGGGCTCTGCGCTCTTCGGGGGCCTGCGTCTTGACGGCAGCCTCCACGTTCTCGACGCCCCAGTAAAGGTTGGACAAGACGGAGTCCTCGGAGAACACGAAGTGCCCCCGCCTCTTGGCCGCCGCGAGACGAGCGGTGCACCGCCCCTGGAGCTCGGCGCGGGCGTCATCGTCGGAGATGAAGCGGTGAACATGGTGGTCCACCGAGGAAATCAGGCCGTGGATGGCATCCAAATCCAGCCGCTGGCTGAGGTGGTTCACAATGCTCGGTGAGGCCGGCGCCGGCGAGTAGTTCACCAACGCGGCCATCCTCGTCGGCGCTGCGTGCTTACAGAAGGTTCAGAGCCCCCTCTCTAGCTTGACATTGCCCGGAGGAACAGACAGACCGAAACCAGAGGAATAAGAGGAAGAGGAGGAGGAGGAGGTGGTGGGGAGGAGGTGTGTGTGGGTGGGAGAGGCTTGCTGGGGTTCGTTCAGTGGGGGCAGACATGGCGGCGAAATGGATAGAACGTTCGCTCGTGACTGCCCGGCGCTGCGCGGGTCGAGAAGAAGACAAAGAGTCCCCCCACCACCGGTGACAAGTTTGTGACCGTTGCTTGGCTTCTGTGGCACATCGGGTCCTTCTACAATCTTGCCTCATACATCCCAAAGTTTTTGTCTTCCGTTCCCAATCACCACCACTAAACCTTCTTAAACGAACGCCCAGAAACAAACACCTGGTGGTGCAGTTTATTTTTATCAGGGAGTCGGGCGCGTTTATTTCGGAGGTTTCAGAAGACTGAACGACAAAGCTCCTACCTTCTTCCCCCCGGGGTAGCTTTCCGCCTTCCCTATCTCGTCTCCTACCGGCCTGTGGAAGAGGCCGCCGTCTGAGAGAGCTGCACGTTGAACGCCGCCCCCTGTCAGCGCAAGAGGCCTCTCGAGGGACGACGGCCTGCACTTTAAAGGTCATCGGGGCGCTCGCTTCTCCTGTGTTCTCTCTGCTGGAGGGGCGGGCCTGGGTGACACCGTCGCCCTGTAGCTGCTGCCGCATGACTGCTCTGGCGTGAGCTCCGGCGGGGCTGTCGTGCCCTCTCAGGCGCCGTCGGCGTCGGAAGGCTCGCCGAGTCGACCGGGAAGCCCGCCGGAGATGATTATCGCGCCGATCATGCGTTAAGAACAACATCGTCCGTCACACAAGGGTTACAGAGGCTCAAAAACTCATTTATTTAGCTGTTTTAATGATTTAGTAGAACTCGAACAGAAACTTTCATCATTTTGCAAAACCCAAAACGCGATTTTTAAGATTTATCCAAGGTCATTTACTCGTTTTTGGGATTTTATGAAGACTCAATATGCGATTTTATAAAATATCGTGGTTGATCATAGAAACTCATGAGCGGAGCTTGGAAAATCTGGCCGTCTTTACGTGCGTGGACCCCGGGAAAATATATTTCTCCAGTTTGCCTCCGTTATGCCTCCCTCCGTTCATACCGCCTTCGCCCAATAGATACGTTGTTATGTACCCAAATAAGGGGATTCCAGATTCTAAATACTTTTTCGGGAAAGTACCGTTCGACGGGAAGGGCCGTCACGTGGGGTTTCAACTGTTTCGGTCAGGACAAACCCCCGACACTAATCTAGTTCAATTGTAACCTTGATGAATCGCATTGCGAAGCGTGCCCCGAAATGATCTTCTGACAGGATCGCCGAATAAAGTGAGAGTCAGCGGCCGGAAATGTCCAGCTCTCTCTCTCTCTACACGGATCGGAATAGGTAGGGTTATAGAGGACTGTAGAAACATTCCAACCCATGTGCGGCTAATGGTTTGATTACAGGACAACTATTCCCCATGCAATAAGAAGCCGAGAGAGAACAAGAGAGGGGAGGTGGGAAGAATCTGTTTCGTATCTGGTGTTGTTTCTTCCAGGATTTTTAATTTAGCAACCTGTATCTACGGTGCAATGAGAGCCTCTCTCTCTCTCTCTCTCTCTCTCTCTTCAATCTCTTGACAGGTAGATATCGATGCTTGGCCATGTTGCATAGTATCTCTTCCATCCACAGATGTATATCTATGATTTACTGGGTCACACTCTCTCCCTTTCTTTATATATGAATCTCGCTCCCCCAGTAGAGAGAGAGTGAGAGAGAAAGAGAGAGGAGGCTGAAGAACGGATTTGCCGTTATTTCTTCCGGCATTTTGACGTCAGCATACTGAATGTGGTTTCCAACGACAGCGATGGTATTTCTTCGCTCAACTCCGCGTTACTCTCTCTCTCGCTCTCCCCATATATGATTCTCTATGTGTAGCCCCACTACCACTCAACTCCGCGTTACCGGGGCCATCCGACCAGGAAACTATGGTCCGCCGACGGGCACCTAAGCGACGAATTGCCTATTTTCTGTCGCAGGTCATGCGGTTAAAGAATTTTTCGTGGTACGAAAAACTTCATGCAGTATAATTATTTATTCCGTAATATCCCGCGAAAGTCGTTAAACCCTCGAGAAAATTTCACTTACGTCGTATAAACCGGAATTAAAACTATAAACGTACTACGCCGCAGAATTGGGCCAATTTTAGCGTTAACATTCCGAACATTGGGTTAGATTGCATTTCGCCTGCTTTTTTTATTGAAATACGAACGCTCAAAGTTCTATATTTTATGCTCAGATAATCAAACAGCCACATTCACAGTCGATTTCTAGGAAGCTCCGAGCGTCAGATGCTCCGTCTCCAGATCCTGCCGCGACATGGGCGGTCTCTGGTGCATCGTCTCTAATAGCCGACCTCCAACAGGAGCCGCGCCCGCTGTTGACCCGCAGGTTTCGACGGAGGGAAGAAGACAGGAAAGGGTCAGACTTTTCCCCGCGGCCGGAAGCTTTGACGACGGGGCTTCTTGTCCGAGCGTGGGATCCCCTCACGGGTCGGTCTCCCGTGCAAGGAATCCCTGTCTGAGAGGTGGGGGCTCCTCGTGGAGTCACGTCTCTGATCTACCCACGTTGTTGGTATGAACAGGCGACCAGGCCGCCAATGAATTAGACGTGCGTTTAGATCGGGGTATACAGACGTTATGATCTTAAGTTGGAAAGCTTGAGGGAATCAGACAGAGAGAGAAGGTGAGAGAAGGATCGGAGATGGATTGCTCTCACCTGCTCGCGCTGGTGGTCCCCATGGTTCTTCTGGCCATCGTCCTCTCCGTTCACGGCGGCCGCCGCCGCCGCCGCCGCCGCCGTGTCTACCTGGTGGACTTCCGCTGCCACCGGCCGGCGGGGAGCTTGCGGACGCCCGTTGCGGCCTTCGCTGAGCACGTCTGGTTCAACACCAGCGGAGACGAGGAGGCGGTCGACTTCCACCTCAAGGTGCTGGAGCGATCGGGCATCAGTGGGGAAAGCGCCATGCCCGACGCCGTCCACGAGATCCCTGCAAACATGTCCCTCCGTGGGATGCGGGAGGAGATGGAGGTCATCCTCTTTCCGATAGTGGCGGACCTGCTCGCGGCCAGCGGCGTTCACCCCTGGTCCATCGATGCCGTCGTCTCCAACTGCAGCCTCTCCTCCCCGATGCCGTCCCTGTCGGCGATGCTGGTGAACAGGTTCGGCCTCCGGAGGGACGTGCTGAGCTACAGCCTGAGCGGGATGGGGTGCAGCGCCGGGCTGCTGGCAGTGGACTTGGTGAGGGACTTGATGAAGGTGCGCAGCGAGTTCCTCGCGCTAGTCGTCAGCATGGAGGCCGTCGGCCCCCATGGGTACTGCGGCAAGGCCAAATCCATGATTGTCACTAATTGCCTCTTCCGCATGGGCGGCGCCGCTCTCCTCCTCTCCAACAGGGAGAGCTCCCGCGCAAGCTCCAAGTACGTCCTGCAGCACCTCGTGCGGACTCACCTTGGCCATGACGACAAGGCCTACAGGTAACTCTCCTTCCCTCCCTCCCTCCTCCCTCCCTCCCTCCTCGTCGGCGAAGGACTGGCATGGTTGTGGGTACTCCCAGTGATGGGGCACGATGGTTGGCTAGGTCCGTCTATCAGGAGCCTGACGAAGAGGGCGGCGGAGTGGGGGTGTCACTGTCCAGGGCGCTGCTGCACATCGCCGGGAGGGCGCTGTCGGCGAACATCGCATCGCTAGCGCCGCTGGTGCTGCCGTACTCGGAGCAGGCCAGATACGCGTGGTCGGGGGCGGCGGCGTGGCTGTTTCCGGCGTCTTCGCCAGGGAGTTTCCCCGTGCCGAACTTCCGGCGGGCTTTCGAGCACCTGTGCGTGCACGCCGGCGGCCGGGCGGTGATCGATGGCATTGAGGAGCGGCTGAATCTGAGACCGGAGGACATGGAGGCGTCCAGGATGACGCTGTACCGCTTCGGGAACACGTCCTCGTCCTCGATTTGGTATGAACTGAGCTACCTGGAGGCGAAGGGGCGGCTGCGCAGGGGAGACAGGGTGTGGCAGATCAGCTTCGGCAGCGGGTTCAAGTGCAACAGCGCCATGTGGCGCTGCGTCTCCGATGCCGCCGCCGCCCCCAGCCGCTGCAACGTCTGGCACAACATCATCCACCAGTTCCCTGTGGCCGTCCCAGAGGTGCTCGATCACTGAGCCGCCAAACCCACCGTCCGAAGCCGCAGGCGATCCGTCTTACTTTCCTAGTTTCAGATTAATGCAGTCGATAAAAACAACGTCGCTCCACGAATCTGTCGATCGACCTTCAGTTGCACAGTAAAAATCCGCCCGCTGTCAAATCGTCCCATCGTGCTGATTATTCGCAGCGCGCCTGATGAGATAATTCCGTCACGTGATTAAAATATCCAAGTTACTCCTCGGTTTCTTCTATGATGATCATAGAGCTTGGACACGCATGGATTGACTTCCACAGTCGAGGTTGTAATCGTTCTCTCATGACCGTCGTCATCATCGTCATCGTTCCAGGGTCATCTCATTGGGAGACAAAACGCGTCAGATTTCACGACGGATGGGCGAGGAACAACGAAGCTGTCCATGGCTGAAGGCCTAAAAATGTCCTCCTCTTCTGCGTAAAATAAGGGTGGGGGCGAGGGGGTAATGTTGCAAGTGCGGCCCGACTTTCGGGAAATCCCGGGACGGAGCACGCGTTGCACCGGCCAGTCACTTCACTCAGACGTCATCGGCGAGTCGAAGCGAGGAGCCGGCGCCGCAAGCATGAAGTCTGCCTCCCTTCACCCCTGCGGGAGATGGAGTTCTCTTTCTTCCTCCGTCTGGGCACCGCCCTCTTGTGCATCTGATGAAGCTCTCCAACCACCATAGACCCGTTCTCACCACAATCGCCCACGACTTTACCCGCACGACCCTAGGTACTCACCGGAAGCTCCGCAACATCAGGACGCACCAACTGCACGAACGCCATTTCTTCCACGACGCAGCAGGCTCCAACAAATCACGTTCCAGCATTATTTAAACACGGAAGCTCCTACCGCGAGGCGCAGGAAAGAAGTACTCGTGGAGTCTGACCCGCTCTAAGGGTCATTATCATCTTCCATCCGTCTCCCTCACGTCGTCTCTCTTTCTTGTAATCTCCCTTCGTCCTCTAGTGTGAGTCTTCATTTGGATTTCGGCTCACCATGCTCCCGTGTCACCGTCTCATCCCCTCTTGTTCACGCGGGGGATCCACCAGCTTCCTGTCCCCTTATCTCGGCTCCGCTGCGGTTCCCCCTTTGCTCGCGGCTGCCGAGCCTCTTCTTCATCGCCTTAATCTCCGGCGTCCCCATCTCCGCCTACGTCGAACATTCTGCGATCTCCGGCAGTTCGACGGAGTAAGAATGAGATCGCCGGAGAGATCGGTGTCTTTGGGAACGAGGCTGGCATGCCGGCGGAAACCCACCAGATGCTTCGTTCGTGGAGGTGGAGACCGTCTTCTTCATCGCCGCCGGTAAGGAGCTCGCTCTTGTCGCTGCTGGAGGTCCCTCCTCAACGTCGGCCGCCGTCCAGACAATGCCTGGTTCACCGGACAGGACCCATGAACTCGCTCCTCGGGTTCCAGAAGGGTTAGATCATTCATAGTTTGTACTATGTCACAGATGTTTCGTACCTAAAACTCCACTGCACGCGTTTTAAAAAAAATCTCCTCTTCTAATCTCGCTCCGGTGTAGTTTTAGTCATTTGGCGGATAATAATATTCAATTACTCATATCGCAACTTATATTTTTAAGAAAATTTGCCAGGAAGGTGGGCAAAGTACTAATAGCCGCACCGGTTGGCTCCCATAAAACACCTTGGATGTTATTTTCTAATTTTTTTCTCTATTATGATACTACACTCTCATCTATCTTCGTCCAGCCCAGCGTCGGCCGTGGTTGAGCTGCAAGTGTTTCGATAAATGGGCCGGCCCATGCATGGTCTATTGCGACCTGGGCCTTGGGCCCAGAAGTCTTTTACCAGGGACTTCATTCGGCGTCACGATTAATGGTCGAAGAGCAACGAGGCGACTACTGTCAGCGGAGCGGTATTTACTGCGAATCATTGGGTCTAATTAGGTCCATCAGTGGGGCCTATCAAGTTCAGAGTCCACGTCAGTTACCGATCACGGGCAACTTCTGATCGGAGAACAGGTCCAGCTTGTCCCCAGCAGGTTGCTCTCATCCTCCCTCTCTCTCTCTCTCTCATACTACGCCATGTAAAATATGAAGATGCTGTGTTTACGGTCAAACCAGGTCATGCAACCCACTCCCACCATCGCGGATCCTAATCATAGATGACTTTTAAATGAATCATCACAGTACGCGTCTGATTCAAAACTAAATTACATGGTTTTGCAATAAAATGGAACAAATCGTAGAAAAGTACTGCTTCGAGGATAGTACCCACCCACCAAGGGAAAAAAGAATTTTGATAAAGTCCGAGAAGAACCTACTCGGGAAAACCAGTGGGTCTTGAAGCGCAGCGGTCGCTCTGATTCTCCGCAAACTTATCCAAGGCCTCGCCAGCCGCAGCTCCGGGCCCGTGTCTCCCATCATGGTCTCTCTCTCTCTCTCTCGTCCCCTCTCTCTCTCTTTCTTGGGCGGTATTATCTTAGTTCTGGGAAAAGACGGGGTCGGAGAGCTTGCGGAAGACGGAGGGAGAATGGACGATGGGGATCTAGGGAGAGACGGACTGGTCTGGCTGCGGAGGAGCCCACGGGAGATCCACATCGTCTCTCTAAGATGTGGTTGAGGTGATGAGTGGTCGCTGACGAGAAGTTGGAATAAGTTACGTTTAGATCCGAGCGGACCTTCCCACGTGCTCCTCAAATTACTGGTGGATTTGGTTTTGGATCATGCATTTTGCCTGCCCGCTGACGATGTTGACGTTTACGTGTGGCTCTCAGGTCCACGGAGGAGGGTTTCCCGAGAGCGGGCGGCGAACTGGGCTAGCGAGGTTCTTCCCTGCATCAAGCACGCTGCGGTCACCTCGTCCGCAGAACCTTCTGCTTTCCGACCGCCGCCCTCGCCCGGCGAGTCCTGCGATGCCCTCGTGACACGCCGCTCCTCGTCGGAGCCGGCCGCCGTCGAGGGGAGTGATCGTGTTTGCTCTCTTCTGATCGAGATCTTCGCCGGCGGACGCGGCTCCGGCAGGGATGAGACGAGACAAGAGACGATAATGGGACCTGTAGCAATCCCAGCGCCGCCGAAGGGTTTTATCTGGGTCGGAGAGAACGAAACTGAAATCTGATAGGGTCCTTCATAACATATGGCGAATATTTCCGGTGAAGATGAATAAGAGAGAGAGAGAGAAACAGGTCAGTAGAGAAGGGAGAACGAGAACGATATTGATAAAGTGATGTTAGAGAGATACAGAGAGAAGGAGAGAGAGAGAGCGAGAGAGCGAGAGAGGGAGAGAGAGAGAGAGAGAGAGAGAGAGAGAGAGAGAGAGAGAGATGGTGAGAGAATAATGAGATACTCTGAGAGAGACACAGACGTCTACTCTCTCTGCTTACGGGAGAGGGAACGGGAAGGTGAGATAACGGGGAAGATGGGAAGACCCTGAGAGATACTGAGATACTCATAAGAGGGAGAAACTTAGGACTCGACTCAGACATACATTAGAGAACACAATAGTATCTCCAGATTTGGTTCTCAGGTTTGCACGTTCACAACTTCAGTTGCAATGAAGGAGTGTTGACGCTGATGTGGTGGACGTAAGTTTGACTTTTTCTTCTTGGGGACATGGCTGTTATCCATGAACTTACCAATGCCCTCACTTCTGAAAGCAATCTTGTCTTCAAGACTAAAAGTTAGAAATTGTTGACAGAAATGGCTCATTGGTTCCTAGGTGGCTTCGAAGGCTAGTATCCCTTTCCATTGGTTCCTTTGGATGTCTTTCTGGTGTATAGTACTACTTTTGGTTCAATGTTTCATTCTAGATCTTCAATTAGAATAGATGTGAGCAGATAGATGTGTGTGGTCTATGGTAGGTCTAGTTGATAAGCCATAGATTCAATGTGCTTGATGACACGATAAGGATCAAAATATTTAGGAGATAATTTCTTATTTGTGTGCCAAGCTAAAGTGTGCAAACAATATGGTCATAACAGCTATCGGGTGACAACTATTAGAGAGTCACAAAGTCATCATTTTTTTATTCTGTCGAGTGACAATTGTCAAAGATGATTTAATGACCCATTTTATTTATCTATAGACTTCGCAAGAAGATCTAGAGATTTCTCATGTCATCTTTATCTAAAGAGAGCTTTTTAGACCGTGGACACTACATGACAATTCTTCCAAACTCTTAGGATTCTAATGCATCATTGACGCATCACTGTCGCGACATCAGAGCTCTGATTTTTCTACTTTCAACTTAATTTTTACTTCATTTAGAAATAATTTATGTGATTAAAAATTTTCAAACTATTATTCATTCAATTACGATTCTTTCGACTTTTACATATCTTAATTTGATTAATTAAATCATCTGTAATCACTTATTTAAGAATCACTAGGTGAAACTCTATTTTTGCCTAATTTGTGTTTGTTAGGTGATGATGTCATCTTGACATCCGCATCCTTATTTCCCTTTTTTATGAATTTTAAATATCTTTTATTTTTATTTCTTAGTGTAAAATTTATAAAAATCATATTATTTGAGAAAAAATCTAAAATATTACCTTATAATATATTACATCTCTATGATCAACTTAGAATTTTTATTATTATTTTTTTTATTAAAATATAATTATACTTTTAAATATTTGAAAAAATATAATTTTTTATTTTATAAATTTTAAATTTACATGATTTATTATGCAATAAGTCACGTCACTAGTCTAAGACTCTTTACAAATTTTGTGCTGACTGTGGTATTCTTCATCAAACCACATGTCTACACATATTCTAACAAAATAATGTTGTTGAATGAAAACATCATTAACTATTTGACATTACTCATACACTACTGATTGAGATAAATGCTCATCATTATCTATGATCTGACGCTATCTTGACAACCACATATCTCTAGAATTGACTTCCTTTCACTCCACTTGATAGGGTCATTCCACTTCATCATTTCTCACTTGATTTTTCTCTTCTTTCCTTACCCCTTGTGTCTTTGGATGTACTGTTTTCATTTAAGACCACTATTATTCT